CTGGGATCCAGAATCTCAATCTTAGTGTCCGAGATGAGACGGGTGAGCGGACAAACACTGTTCTTCGTGTCTTCTAGGGTGACCTCGTGTACTAAAGAGAAGATACAGCATTCCGTGGGACCGTAGCAATTGAACAGGTGATTCGGGGGCCCTTGCTCCAGGGCCATCTTCATCGCGGGAAGGTTTGGCATCTCGCCACCGCTATAGACCACCTGCATGCCGGAGAAGACGGTGGGCATGGCGAAAACGACCATGGGAAGCAGCGATGCGGGAACCAGCATGACGGTCACGCGGAGCTCACGCCATGTGCGAGCTAAACGCGGGACATCGGACAGCAGGGTGCGAGACATAGGCACAATCGTGGCCCCACGTAACAACGTCACCCAGATCTCGAACAAAGAGATATCGAAGCTGACCATGGCCATCTGGGCCGTCCGGTCTTCATACCCAATGGGCACATTGCGATCATCCCGAGAGAGATGCAGCAGAGACTTTGCCTGGATCTGAACCGTCTTGGGCTTGCCGGTCGAACCAGACGTGTGCATCAGGTGGGTTCGATGCCCAGTGCCCATCGCCCTCGGCGGTACTGCCAACTCAGCGGTTACCTGGCTCGGCGTGAGGACCTCGAGTCGGATCGGCATCACCTCGAACTCCTTCAACCGATTGCTATTTTCCTGATCCACCAGACAGATCCGAGCTCCGGCATTGGTCAAGCGATATTGCAGCTGCGCGAAGGGCAGGGTTGGGTCGAGAGCGCAACAAGTGCATCCGGCATAAACCACCGCGGCCTGGGCGACGATCTGCTCGAACCCGGTCCCGGTCATGATCCCGATTGCCTCTTCCCGGTTGACTCCCTTTCGGGACAATTCTTTGGCAAGCAAGGCTGCATGGCAATGTAGTTGCGCGTAACTGATTATCTGGCCGTCAAATTCAATGGCCGGCGCACTGGGGCTCTCTCGGGCTCTGCGGTAAATGGCGCCAGCCAAGCCCAAAGAGTCGTCCGGTTCGCCATCTGGAGATAGCGAGGTGCAACTGGTCAAGGCAGTTACTTTGGTATCGAGAAGTGATATGTGGTTGGAAAGATCCATCGCGGAGTGCGGTCACCAACGACAAGAAAAGTGAGAAAGTACAATGGAGAGTAATTCAGAGTACGGTTTTCAGTCAACAATCCACATTTAATATTCATTGCTGGCGCTATGATCATTAACTACTTCCTACAGTCCTCTCTCACGCTTCCATTACCCGGTTGCCAAAGTCAGACAAAATGCCCAGATCAGCAGCCTCCTTGCATACGTAGGGATCACCTACCGCATGCACGTAATGGACCTAGATAATTGGGGCCACATACTACCCCTGCGCACGCTGCAGCTACACCACCACTCTTCCAGCTGACCTCGCATTGGTGTCTCAACTAGGGGTCGTAGACAGCCCTAGATCTCGCGAGTACGGCGATGGTGCTGATCTCACCCCTAGCAGATGCCATTCCAACGGCTGCTGGGAAACTAGCTACTAGCAATGACACTAGTTCCGGCCTCCTCCTATAGACATTATGTGACAATATTCAACTACAACGGACAGGGTTAATGAGGGCATGATTCTAGTCAGTATCCAGATACGATTCCGATTCAACAAGCAACTCGTTCCCTTGTGGATATCGCCCTTGGTAGTCACGTCATGAAGCTTTTCTTAGCAAATCGACTCGAACGCACAACGCAAGAGGTGCGTTGCGGACTCACCCTCCCTCAGTCCCTCTCTTGTCAGCCCTGCCCCCAGTTCACTTCGGATAAGTCAGCGATGCAAGGGTTGAGTTCCGTACGGTGGCGTCTGGCCATGACCTGAGGCCTCTGTGCTACTTCAGACGTGTGGGTCCGTCCCCCCAGTCCGCGATGGAAGGGTTGAATTCCGTACGGTGGCGTCTCACGATAACTTGATGCCTCCCTGCTACTTCACAGACGTGTGGGTCTGTCCCCCCAGTCCACGATGGAAGGGTTGAATTCCATCAGGTGGCGTCTGGCCATGACCTGAGGCCACCATGCTACTTCACAGACGCGTGGGTCTGTCCTCTTAGTCCACGATGGGAAGGTTGAATTCCCGTACGGTGGCGTCTGGCCATGGCCTGATGTCTCCCTGCTACCCCACAGACGTGTGGGTCCGTCCACCTAGTAAAGAACACGCTCACCGCAATATGCCCGAATTTTAGAGCTTTCATGGTTCTTGGTCCCGTGGAGATGTGGAAGCAAGATCAGGTTGAGTAGCTTAGCCTCATCTCGCCCCTGGTATGGTCGGTGTGTGTTCCTTGCATCGCATACGCGGGGCAGAATACCAAGACATGTATCCCGTTGTTGGTGAGCTTCTCTAATTTAAAATCTGGAAGTGGCAGGGAGGTCTCAACAGACTGATACGTACATGCATTAGTACGACAAGGGGGGAAACGTTCGATATCAGGACACTCCATAAGAGAACAATAACGAAACGAAAGGGAGCTAAGAACGATGGAACGCTATGTAAAGTAGCTCCATATTTTGATGACAACATATAACTAACAATATATCATTGTGTCCACTATGATAAATATCCAAGAACTGTGGTCTGAAAAGAACAGGACTGATTGATTATACGAGAATCCTGCATATAAAAAATTCTAATCAGAAAACCGGCCCAGACCTCTATCGCAGCCGTTCATTCCTCGGGCTTAAGCTTGGTACCCAGAGCCTCGGTAGTTCGCCTTGCATCACGTCGCCTGACAGATACCGAGATAGTGGGACTTGGCACATAGATCCCTAACAACCATATCTGCAGAGGCACGTCCTTATCTTCCATCTGACCCACATCGTAGTCCATCAGGATCTTGGCAAACAGCGCCTGGCATGTTCGCGTACCCACGAGCCGGGCAGGACAAGCGCTGGTCCCAATGCCGAATGGGAGCCACGCCTCCGACGGTGCCAGCGTCTTCTGCACATTGCAAGTCCCGGAGGCTTCGTCGTAGAAACGATAGCCGTTGAAGGTCATGGGATCAGGGTAATTTTCCGGATCGGTATGGATGAAGCGGGAGGGCAGGCTGATGTGTGTCCCACGTTCCAGAGCCAAGCCTAGTGACGGGATCGTGATGGGTTCCATCACACATCTGGCACCACTGACTGATAATGGGGAGCGAGATTAGCACAATGTCATCCCAATTCAAGGAGATGACTTACTTGATGTGGGATTGTGGAGACGCAGAATCTCTCGCGTGAAGCTCTCCATCTTGGGAGTGTGATTGAAGATCTCGAAGCTCCACTCACCACCGCAAAGTTCGAGGGCTCTTTCTAATTCCTCCCGCAACGGAGCAACGTATTCAGGGTGGCGCATGATGCGGAACACCATGCAAGTGGCCACGAGGTGGAAAGGGGCCACGGTCTCCATGTACATGAACATTATTTCGTCGACGATGAGCTCCTCGATGGTCTCCTGCTCGCCCGTTTTGCCCTCGCGACACAGAGTGCCACGTTTTAGCGCTTGTTTAATCAGGAGATCGGACAGGAGGAAGCAACTGTCCTTGTCGTTGCTTCTGATCTGCTGGATCCGGCGACGAACCTCGGGCACCACGATCTGTCTGATGGTCTGGATTGTGGATTGGAATTTACGGCACCGTGGTGAGAGCCGCCACACCAGATGCTCGAGGATGAAGGGTGATTCTTGTCGGGCAAACCACTGGTCTGCGAGTCCGTCCATATATGCCGACATTTGCCGACGTAGCCCACCTTCTTCTCCGAACCCGGGGTTGAAAAACAAACAGAGAGCGAGATCCCTGACAAAAGAGTTCATCATGTCGGACCCATTGACCTGTCGCCATTCTAGACAACGGCAAATCTTAGCTCTGGAGCCGGAAACGTTCCTTTTGGGATGGGTGCTTCGCAAAACTTACCATCATCACCAGGTCCGGGCAAGAACAAGGGGAGGACACGGTCGAGGTGGTCGAAAATCACCCTGCCAAGACGCTCTATTTCGCGCGCGTTAGTATCAATGTTGGGGCAGCACTCCCCATCTTTGTTGAATACCTACCCATAGGAGCACTCTGCGAGCTGATTTGGACGGCTTCAACGGGGACCCTCCAAGTCACATCCACCACGGTATTCAAAAACATCTCCTGTTAGAGCGCTCCAAGGTCAGCATCCTATCATTTGCTAGCAGCCATCATCTCGTCGCAGACTCACATTTCGAACCCAGTGCATGAAGCTGCACTTCTCCCGCGGCAAGCTGTAATATTCTTTGCCGCATTCCGGCGGGATGATAATAACGATGTCCAACCCGTTCTGTGTCTTCCACGCAAAAGGCTTGCCGTTCTTGCTATACTACATGCGATCACGGCGAAATCCGAAGTGAGCGAGGTATTGCATTCCTTCATTGAGAAGATATCTTACTTTCTTGTACGCGCGCGCCATCTCGGATTCTGCATCGAAGGACGGTCTCCGCCACTGGAGGCTGGGGCTAAGCCAGCTCCCATCATGAATCAGAGGAATCTGGCCGACAGAGCGTCTCTTCTGCCAATGACGGTAAAAGTCCGCAGCGACAATGGTGACGGAGGTGATCACGATGACAGCAAGCGCCGCCCCAGTGAGCCTCCAGAGCATCCAGCCCGACGGACTCACTACATCATCTAGAGGCGACATCGTCAATTGTGTCGGTAAGCAAAAGAGCAGGTACGAAAAGTGCAAGACCGCTGTGTTGAGAACCGAAGAGTCACCACGAGCTCTCTATCAAGCGGCTTGTTGGGGCTTCCTCGGTCCGCACCACAGAACGGGTGGCATGCCTGCTTTGGCATTCAACCGAACACCCTTCGCAAGGGAGCAAAGCACCTTGGCAGCATGGTTGATTACTGCAGTAAGGGGCTAACGTCATAACCCCCCAGCGTCCTGGGAATGATGTGGCGGTGGCCACCCCCTTAGCTGCATAACACGAGGCGCCTTGCATGTGTTGTCCCAAAGCCGATAGACAGGGGGCATATAACCATTCTCATGGGAACTTGCGTCGTATTCCTGCCTTGGAACATTGCTGGCGAGCGCAACGAGGTTACACAGCAGTACAAAACTACCGAAGCAAGGTATTACTGTAGAAGATAACGACAATGCTGATTGATTAATCTAACTGGCCCGGTAGACCTCCACAGGATAGTCACACCGGAGCACGGATCTCATTGACTGATTCTCTCTCAATGCGTGCATATGCTGTGACTTCAAGGTAACCATCACCTCCCATATGTCATTCCCACTTGAGTCACACCGACTTGGTTTGATGATACATTCCCCTTCAATAGCAAACTTAGGGACGAGCTCTAGCGCGGCGAGACCGCCGAGTATGGGGCCAAAATCCAAACTAAAAGAATTCCATAACCGCAGGCTGGACACGACCACGTCGCCCGGGCGAGCGAGCAGTGTTTCCCAGTCACTAGCGTGGTGTGCTCGACGGAGAGATACTCTCAAAGACTCGTCATCCACCGTGGTGATACTTGAGCGGACTCGGTGAGCGAGCAGAGAGAGTAGCCGGATGCTTTGAGTAGACGTCTCCCCCAGATGACCATCGTCGTTCAGGCATTGTAACTCTGAAAGGGCTAGCTTACTCTCGGTCACGAGCACGGCATTTCCCAAGTAGTTGTCCGGTAGGGAGGGGGAGAATCTCGTCCGCGTATTCACGGGGACACTCACAAATGACTCCTCCCGCGGCTGCGTTGGTTTTAATTTCACTTGATTGATGCTCATCCACAATAGCGCCGTGAGGACATCGTTGGATGAGACTAGTGAGCGTTGGTCTCTGACGGTTGTCTCTGTATTAGCCGGCCCAGTACTAGCTGCTGGGAACATCTCCGCCAAAATTGCATTGCATCGAGCTTTAAGCGCTTTGATTTGAGTGTCTGAAAACACAAGTGTATGATTCGCATAAGATTTCCCAGGCTCGAAAATGTCTCCCGCGACGTCGGTAGGATCATTACCAGAATGGACACCGTCGGGCAGCCGGCCTTGTGTTCCCAAATCCTGTAAATAACGCCTGGTGCTCTTCTGGATTGCATCACACCGGCGCAGATAATCCACCGAGCCTTCACCCCCTCGACATGCGGTAGCCAGTACGTCGATCAAGGCTCCCGTCCCGGTCCCGTCAATCACCATGTGGTTGATGGCCAGACAGAGGACTATCCCGTCGGCGAGGATGTTGATCTGGGCACGAAATACAGGGGCCGGGATGGACGAGTAATCAAATTCGGGCACAATGGCTCCTGGCAAATCCACACAGCGAGCATGGTGCTGTCCTGCGCCCGTTCCCTTCTCTGGTGTCGGGGTGGAGGACAGGACGAACTGTGGATGCTCCTTGACCTGCACAATCGAAGTTTCGTGTGTAGTAGTCGGGCTAGGCTGAACTTGCATTACATTCTTTTTTGTGGCATCCGGACAAGGGCCGACTTCCCCCGTGAGGAAGGGAAGCTGGTCGACCACCCGTAAGATGGCAGACTTGAGAGTGGGGATCGCATCCTGAGGTTTTTGGATAGCGAACGAGAGCGCCACGAAATGATAAAAGGCTGGTGGGAAGGAGTGGTCGAAAGAGGTCAGGGTATAGGGCTCAAACTGATGGATTTCATTCATTTTGCTTGATTCAATTCAGAACCCATTCCTTCGGAGCGTATATCAAGCCACGAGGGTCGTTGGAACGCAAGACCGTGGGTGTTGCCCTGCAGCCTTTTCAGGAAAACTGTTCTCTAATGTAAGGATTATCCGCAACCATTTCCTGTGGCGACTGGACCATTCGAACTTGCGGTGAGCCTAGCGGGGTGGTAGATGCCAGGGATATCTACACACATTGCGGCAACCTGTCTCTGCAAGGGTCACTACAGGGTATGCCTTTCCCGGATTCCGGCACTGCCCCTCACACTTGTCGTGCTTCGTGCCACCAATCCATCCTGTTTTGGCGGATACGGGTCATTCGTTGACTGTCGTAGTGCAATCTGCAAGTTGTCCGAGTCTCATGCTAGAATCTTAGGGTGTGGATGAGGTCCAAGCAAACCACAAACCATGCCCTAGCCCTAATTGCGCTGTTCCTCCCCTTATTTTTACCCTCTTATGTATAGATGATCTATCCCACTTGGTTTATTCTGACAGCTGCTGTTATCTACCTAACTGACCTACTGGCCTTTTGACCTAATTGATCCACCGAGAGCCCTAAAACCATTCCTTATCCTTTCCGGCAAAATGACCATCCCATCTGCCTCGAAGAAACTAGTCACCGTGTACGGGGCTACTGGTGCTCAGGGAGGCTCAGTCGTCCGATCACTACTGCAAAACACCGAGTTTGCCGTCAGAGCAATCACTCGAAATGCTTCGTCAACCGCGGCACAAAACCTCACGGCCCTCGGCGCAGAGGTGGTTCAGGCAGACGGATGGAACAAGAGCCAAGTGCAGGAAGCCTTTTCGGGCTCCTGGGCTGCTTTCTTGAACACCAACTCCGAAGATCCGGTTTGACTCTCCTCCGGTAAACATCTAGAAAACCTCTTTTTTCTGTCTGACACGAATATGTAGATGTTTATGAATGACAACGGGCCGACCGAGTTCGATCTCGGAAAACTTATCATTGATGGCATCGTCGAATCCGGATCGGTAGAGCACCTGGTCTACAGCTCGGCCGTATCCACCTCGGCATTTACCCAGGGCGAAGTCGCTGCCAAAGCAGCCGAAAGTAAGCCCTCAATTCCACATTTGCTCCTGCACACAAAAAGAGCATGTGACTGAGTCGTCCCCAGTGAAATCTCGCGTTGAGAAGTACGCCATTGGCACGGGTTATTTCAAATCCGTTTGTCCTGTCTACGCGGGATGGTATATGGAACTGTTCAACAATACCGATTTTGCGAGGGTTTTCGGCGGGTTTCCCAAGTTTCCAGACGACGAGGGATACCTGACTCTCAGCACCCCACGCTGGGGAGCCAAGACCGACATGCCAGTTCCCTGGGTTGCCGTGGAGAAGGACTTTGGAGACATTGTCCACGGCGTGCTTTTGGCGCCGGAGAGGTACAACGGCAAAGTGATTCCCGCCTTGAGCGATGCTTCTTCCTTCCCGCAGGTCGTCGACGCATTCCAATCTGGTATGTGGAATACCCTTCTTCGTCTGTGCGATATCAAACGTGCCCTAGACTAATAGATACCGTGCCGGTAGCTACGGGCAAGAATGTGCGATACGTGCGGCAGGCCAAGTGGGACATGTTCGGAGCGGGAATTCCGGAGCTGGAAGATCAGCGTCGTCTTTTCCACTTCGGTGAACTAACCAACGGAAAATACTTTGGTGATGAGCCGACTTCTACTACGGTTCCGGCTCATCTGAAAGCTGAAGCGGCTAAGGCCAAGGACAAGGGTGCTAACGATGAGGCCGAGTTGCTCACGCTGAATCAATGGTTCCAGTCAGGTTTCCGCCAGTAGAGGTCAACAGGGCCGGGTATTATTATTGTTCATTAACAATAACTCGAACTTTTACTTGACATAAGAATGCAGTGTTACGCTTTCTCGAGCTACGCGGTCCCGCTAACTCCCTATATACAGCTGTATTACCGTAGATATCCTGAATCGGACTACAGATCACATCCACGGTCTTCTAGCAAAAGTCTCCGCAGAAATATCATTCCATCTTCTGAGTTTCAGCTTCTACATCTTTGATGTAAACTACACGGCTCGTTATAAATTAAGAGGCAAGTATGCCCCGTTCGTAACGATCTCAGAACGATGAGATATGTCTGGATGTAGAGCCAAAAGTCTTAACTTTGCATACTAGTCTTATTGGATAATTGACTACTCTTAGCCAGTGCACCAAAAAGCCAAACGGCAGTTTGGGAGGGATGGCCCCCTACGTCTACACCGACCCTGTGCAACGGCATATCAAGCAAGGGATGAAGGCACGAGCCGAGATACCCAAGCAGCGGTGAGTCGATCCTTACTCCCGGAATATTGGGGCCCTCTTGCTGTCATTATTCCAGTCCTTGTTCGCAGCTCATATTGCGTGCAATAGTCGTAGGTAAGTGGATAGTGCCCTATCGTTTCTAAGCCTGGGATAGTTTGAGAAGACCAGAAGCATCGCGTTCTCTATTTCTTTATTTGTTTCTGGCAGACAATCGTTCCCATTTCCGATCAACGTAAGCCAGAGCAGGGCAAGATGGATAAAGGTGCGCAGCTCATGTTCCTGTGTTTTGTTTCTTTCTAACACGCCTGATTATCGAACAGCATTGGTTTCTCACCAAGAAGTGAGTGTCCTATTCGTACTATCGGCCGAACAGGCGCCATCTAACCCGCACAGGGAGACCAGCTATACGACGGTACGGCCAGGCCAGACCCAAGCCGTGCGCGGCAACCACCCATTTGAACCGAATTCTCACACTCAGAACCCATCTGTAGAACTGTGCCATGCGTTCTTTGTCCGCTCAAACAAGGGATTGCTCCATTTAGCGCCCGTTGAACGTCCGCTATGCGTCCTCGACCTGGGCTGCGGCGCTGGCGTATGGGCAACGGAGTTCGGTGAGAGACTCTCCGATCTTGAAATCCTGCGGAGTTGGGCGCTGAATACAAGCAATTGCAGCCAAGGCGTATCCTTCATGTCAGGTTCGTATGCCCAAATTCCCTGTCTTATCCAGAAGAGTGAGGGGTTGTGGCGGGGGCTGCTTTGTTGACTTTGGAAGGTCCTTGGCGTTGACTTGAACCCTGGAATCAATGCACGGTAAGACTGTTGCCTACATCCCCTCCTAATTTGCAACTTTGGCGGGCACCGCGTTTATTGATCCACGGTACAAGGAACCTCCCTAATTGTCAATTCATCTCGGCCGACATCCAAAACGAGTGGACCTGGCTCCCCCAACAGAAGATCGATTTGATCCATATTCGTGGTTTGGTGGGCTTCATTCGCAGCTGGCCCGATCTGCTGCGTCAGGTACACGCGTAAGTAGTGCGCCTGTGCCCTAAGAACCGGCATCCATTGCACGTGCTGACCAAAGAGCAACAGGAGCCTTGCGCCAGGGGGATGGCTGGAGATCGCCGACCTAGGGCCCCATACACTCAGCGACGACGGATCATTGAGCCAGGCGCAGGGTCTTCTCCAATTTGACATGATGTCGGATAAAATGATGGGAATCATGGGCCAACAGGTGGGGTTGGTCACGAGTCTCGGGGACGTGATGGAAACGGCCGGGTTCCAGGATGTCTCGGAGACGACTCGCAAAACCCCGTTGTCTGACTGGTCGGACGATCCCGATATGAGACAGATGGCGTCGACGTCGGCTGCGCTGCACGAGATGGACTTCCGGATGATTGCTGGGAGAGGATTACAGCCGGTTCTCAATCTACCCTCGGAGCAGGTGGAAAATGTGCTCTCTGGTGCACTACATGATATGCACAACAAGCGTATCCATGCTTATAAGCTACGGTCCGTATGCATCAATTACTTGAATAGGTCAATGAGCTGATCAGTGACGGTAAATCTAGGCATACGTTTATGGGGTGCAAGCGGGATTGACAGATCGAATACAGTAACCTGGTTATTCCATTTCGGGCTGTTGCTAGACAGTGATATCCAGAGCTTCACTCTGGGTCAGTATTTGAAATAATGATAAGAGATTGGACCCCATACAAGCAAGGTGTTTGAGACACTACGTATATATCTGCCATGCAACGACTCTCCTGTAAAGTAGTAAGTATCTCTGTTAGATGTGCCATACTCAACCCTCCTCAAATATGTAAGTTAGTAGATAGACAGTCGTGTATCAGGTGAGAAGGCCAGTTAGAATGGTCAAAAGAGGGATGGTATTCACTTAGAGCTGTGACAGATTGTAGGTAATTGCAAAACACGAAGAGTCGAGATAACACTTTTTACGGAAACACGACGCGAGTCAGCTAACATCTGGATTGCTCACAGTTCTATAATATTCAGTCAGCCTGATAGGTCTGATGGATGGTTGGTTTACCTAAACGGGGTGTATCATGATCACATTGGCAATGAGGCAGGTATTCAGTAGGATATATATCTGTGTCTTCACACATTCGCCAGTTTGCCAAACAAGAGTCTGGTGCGGCTTAATGTAGTGAATATCCCAACACTGTATACATTTATACATTTATACATTTGTAGTTCAATTTATTCAAACCCTGTCATCTGTTTAGGTTCTGGTTTTTGAAACCTTGAGTCCAGTATTCCCAAGTCGGATAGTGACCCATTTCTTGGCGACACATATTAGCACAATTTCCAACGCATAGAAAAGGTCTCCACTCCTGGCATCATCTAGCTTCCTTGGATTCAAAATCATGCTGCGTGGTAAGGATAAACACGGTTCCAAGATACTAACTAAATGAAGAAAAAGGAAAAATGAAAAACATACAACAGCCGGGATTCGCATGTGGTCACCCACCATACTACTAACCGGCCGGCGTGTGGCTTAAGTACGGCTGAGCGGACGGGAAGCCCTGTTCTCCACACCCTATGGTCGTATGTACTGGGTAATCAACTACTCTGTTATATATAAATCTCGAGGGATTGCCAGAAAAAACAGAAACGCGAGGCGCCAGCATGTGCCATGTCCTCTGATATTCGCAGCTTTGTCTAGCATTTCGGACTACACTGTAGACGCAATACCACATAAGCAAGCTGTATCTAAACTATGTCCATCGGAGGTTTTCATATTGTGACTTGCGTGACTTGGGGTTTCTCTTCTTATTAAGTATATAACTAACAAGACAGTAAGACGGATATAAAAGGATTGTTTCAAGAAGAGTGTCGTCAGAATATAATAATACCCATTGATCAACAAAGAATACAACGCACGGTTTCCTTGGATAAACAAGTAGTGGAGCTAAGACATCAACGGGAACCGAGGAATGACCACATTGTTGGAAGCATCCAAGACTTCAATGGAAGAGAAGTCCACCGCAAACACAGCCCTCCAAAGCTTCGTACCCGGTACATCTTCGTTTCGATTAGCAATTCGATGTAGACATAGATCAAGACGTCCGTGATGTTTACTTACTGTAAGGGCGAGGAGGTGAAGTCCGGCAGTCTATGATCAACCAGTCACGCAATTCGCCTTGCTCGATCCACCGAGTGTAACTTCCGTTGTCTACAAATCGGGAGCAGTGGGCGTCCAATCTATCTCCATCTCGTAACAATTCAATACCCCATGCGAGGTCAGCAATTCTGAAGTCAATGCGGCCATTGCCACCGCCAGACCATTCACTGGAGACGTTTGACGAGAACCCAAGAACCTCATGTAAACATCGATAAAATTCGTCTTGATAACAAGCTTCAACGGGCCGGACAACGGCCCCAGTGCCTACTCGTGTTATAGAGGAGAGATTTCGTAGCGAAAATCGCCTTAGTGCTGCTTCCGACAGATCTCCAATGGTGGGGTATCTCTGTATGGGGAAGGGCACCGAAGAAGCGGTTAGATAATGTTCAACGTATCTATCCAGATTAGTAGAGTGTTTATAGAATAACAACAAGCAAGTCTTACTTGGCATGTAGTCTTGTTGGAAATACACAAACAATACTGCTCGCATCGGCATCAAGCGGTTCCGAGTGCAACCATCCAGATTCATAACAATTCCTAATGCCGTCATTGCTAAGGTCACGTTGAACGCTTCCATTCTTCAAGACTTCTCGGAGAGTGTCCGCTGCATGGTGACTGAGCCTTCGTCGGTCTACAAAAGACCGTTTCACCACTGATTGCCCAAGAATGCGGAAAGACTCTTCTTCGTTATCTAACATTGTTATTATATGATCCTTTCCCACCTCACTGATTTTCCCATGTTTGATTTTCGACCGGTAGACCTGCAATTCATTCAATAAGCATCCTTTCAGTTGGGATAAAAAACCAAGACTAAGGCAGACCTGATAAATCATGTCGAGCACACTGTAAACCGCACCGGGGTGACCGTTAGTCAGAGAGAAAATATAATCCGCTGCGTCATGATGAAGCGGGACCGGACGCCGATCGTCCGTACATATCCGTTGTACAACGTCATCAAATTCGCTCCGGGTGTAGAAGAGACTAATCTGTGGAGAGCCTCTAATCTTCGATGGAGTGATAGATATTCGCTGTTGGACCCCCAGGTATGTAAGTGGGCTACCAGTGGGGTAATTGTCTGGTCCCTCAGAGGGGCTGCCGTAGGACGTAAACAAGCAGATTCTGGGTCCATATCGGCGGCCATTCTGGGTCTTGATAAAGTCTAACCATAGCCCATAATCTTCATAGGACATCTGTGCCTCGTCGATGAGAAAGGTAACATCTGTATCCCTGATAGTGTCTGGAGTCACGGAAGTTAAGCCGGCATCTCTTGCGTGCTGGACGAGGATGTTGATGTAGATGTTGGTGTGCGCGGAGTTCTTCGTCTGAGGCCAACCTACTATCAAGACTGATGGTATGTGGTTCTGCCTGTTGTGACTGTGGAGAAGTTTGGCGAGGGTAGACTTGCCGGAGGCTGGTGTTCCTCTCACATGGACCACCTGTTCCTCGTCAAGTATTGTAGCAAGCTTCCTCACGGTTTCACTACGTGAACACAACAGTGGATCCGCTGCATCAAATCAGTTACACCTTGTCACAAATACAAGATGATATCAGGAAAGCCAGAGTCATAGACCTACCCATGATGAGCGGCTGCGGGGATTTGGAGCTTGTCGGTTGAGGGTCGGAGCTCGCCGCTGTCGTTTCTCGACCTATCAGCCTCTTAAGATATTCCATTGTGATAGAACACTGAATGATGTTGAACAAAGCTCTTTTTCTTCCAGGAAGGTAGGATGAGGAATGATGAATAGGAAGAGGAAGGAGCATGGCGGGAGATGATGAGGTGGTGAGGTCTGACAGAGGGGCAAGCCAATGGGAATTATTTCCGCCCTCCATTTGTGCCTGAATACCTAGGCAATAGGTATGTGTATATACTTTGAGCTTGTGTTGATACCTGTCGTCATGATTACATCTTATAACTCAATAGATTCCTAATCCAGCTGACCGGTCAAATCATCATAACTTGATAAGATCACTCAAGTGAATCCATTGAACATGTGAGTAGTGTTTTCCAAAGCTCCTTGCTTCGGCGCTTACCGAAAAGCTGTGACTCAACTTGTAGGTGATGTAGACTAACTGAAGTCACTGGTCGCCTCTAATGCCAGATGAAGGTAAGGCGGTTTATACCCGTCAGATACGTGTTTACTAGTATAACTTTATCTCTGTGTGGCATGAGAACACACCCATGATATATATAAAAGTAAAGTGAATCCGTCTCTCAAAAGGGTCGACAAAGTTTCGTATAGAATTAGTTTCACTTGTTGTGTTCTTCATGTAGAGATAGTCCAAGAAGCCGTATATAGTAGCGCACCGGATTGGTTGGGCCAGACCACTGGATATGGAATCACAGAGGTGCCTCTCTCGCCATGCACCTGATGGTCATCCACAAGTCATATGATCATGGCCTGGTAACCAGTTATCCACATTTAACATCCCCCTCACAGTCAGAATATTTCCGCTTTCTCAATCGCCGGCGCATCATGAAATACCAAAACCCAAGAGTAAGCGCCGTCAAGGGCACGGCAATAACCACGAAGATCCAGAATTGCGGAGATATTGTGAACTTCGTATTGCCGTTGGGGTCGTTGAAATCGAATAGGTTCATTCCAAGAAGAGTCTGTGGGTACTTGATTAGACCTTTGGACTGCTTACAATTCTGTATTGTACAGGTATGTATACATACTGAAACAAAGCTGGCAGGTAGATAAGTCAAAGTGACCAGTGTAACAACTCGCACAGTCGCATTGTCGTCGACCGACTCTCGGTTCATGTCTAGCGACCGATTATTGATCTCGATGGTCACAGACTGGTTTCTCAGGTTGAGTGCAACGGCCAGCTGTATGCAGCTGTTGTTAGCGAGACATATGAGGCTCTCAGAAAGTACGAGCGGAATGGTTGTTGGAAACATACCAGCTGTGATATTCCCCGGACCTTCCTTTCCAGCGCCGTCACACTGTCTAGGTGCCCTTCCAGGCTCACGCAGTGATGGCCCAGCACATTGTCAGTCTCCAACAACTGGGACTCTTTAATGATGCCCTTGGAGTAAAGTTGGGCGTTCAACTCCCCCAGCCTGCGGACTATTTGCAGCGCAACGCCTACCTGTGACTTTACTGGGGCAAGGTTATCCTCCAAGTACTGAGGCTTAAGCAGGTTCAGGGGACTCGACTGATTGACAGATTGCAGGTCGGCATCATTCAGAGTGAGTGCCATTTCCACCTTCGTCCCTGATCAGCAGGGCTTCAAGCGTCCAGTGACGCACAAGGCTTACTATGCGTTCAATGCCATCCCCCAAGTAACGAATATACCACCGCCAGTTCCAGAGATAGGTAGCAAGAGCCAGCAGGTGAAACGAGCACCAGCTCGTCTCAAACGAGAGGACACCAGAGGAAATGTCGGCCTCAATGGTCGTCTGTAGTTTGGTGCGTGGACCCGCGTGGAGAAATATCCACAGGTTTTCGTTCCCAGAGGGGTCGAGTCGGTGAAAAACGCAAGTCTGTCGGGTCGTCCATGCTACGGACTGGCCGTTGTCATAGCCTTCTGGATATGCGAACAGGTAGTGAGCATCTACTGGTGTTAGCTGTTATACCTTGTGGATATAGGTCAGGGATAATTTACCATATGATCCATACTCCCTACGCTGCACGACCAAACCTCCATGCCCTGCATCTGAGCAGCGCGGCTTATCACCGAACGAAAGAACACGATCGAGGTATGAGTGATGGATATTATAGGCATTGATGAGCGCTCGCAAAGAGGTTTCTGTAATGCCGAGGGGCTGGGTTGAAATGCGACTAGCGATGGAACTGCACAATATGAGCTTTGGGGTCGGCGGTTTCAGAATCAAGAAATTACATTATTCGTGTGGAGGGCTTCGGGGTCGTCGATATATATTTATCGAATTCTTCGCTGTCCGTGAAGGTCAGGATGCTGGGTTGTACGGTAGAATCGAAGATGGAAATGTTTGATTTCTTGGGGTTAGAGACAAGGGCGGGTCTGTGAAGGTATGGCTGGACGGCCTGATAGTAACTCATAATGATTTCGTCCATACTCCGTGGAAGATAGGGTATCACTATTGACAATTGACAGTTGACGATAGTGCCAGTAATAGTGTGGTAGGAAATCCTTGGCCAAAGAGCCACAGGTGTTCTGGAAAGAGCCCAGGAACCTTTAAACTGCACAAACTTCTCAAAAGACAGATCAAATGGATTGAGGTACGCCTTACAGGAGACAAAAAGGCTCCAAAGAAATATCAACATTCAGTGCACCGCCCAGATCAGTTACGCCTTGCTACAACTGACAGCGAAACTCGAGGCTCGCCTACCAAGCCATGTACAAAAGTATAAACATGAATGTTGGCTGGAAAACAAGCCATGACACCACCTTCTTTGAACCATCGGGATCCGCTCAGCCTCCACTTAGTTCACACGGAAGGGCTCCTGGAGATCGCTATGATCCGTTCAGTCGACGATCAGTCAGGGATCCCAGGTGGGGTTGGGGGATCGGGCCAGTCATACTCGATTTCATCCTGCCTCGGTGGCGTAGTTAGTTTCACCCACTGGATAGCTCACGTGCAAGAGGAATAAGGGGGGAAGACGTGCCTCGTTTACTAGTCTCGGCGCGTCAAAATAGAATAACCCATTATAGTGCTGAGTGCCTCGAGAGTCAGCTGGGGTATGGAGTGGTGGGCCATAAGAAGGGACTTGCGGAAACTATGATCTCTTCTTGGAAGATACTGCGAAGACGGTCTTGCAGTTTCTCTCTCTTGATATATCCCGTCAGGCCTGAATTAACGATGTTTTTGACCATAGTTTTTGCGGTGGCAAAATTTCGGATGCAAGGATGTTATTTCGCACAAGGAAGAAATCCTGCCGTAGAGATGGGCCAACACTAAGTAGTAGTGAAATATCCACGTTCTAATAGCCACAGACCCCTCAAACCGCCCAATGAGGCTCAAAATTGGGTTCTGTTACTGCGGGGGTTCCCTTGGCCTTGGGGTTGCATCAAGTCGAGGATCTATCATGCCGATGACTGTCACCCGAATCGCATCATGGTGCAAGCTTTATTTCCCGCGGGCAACGTGGTTGCATGCAGGCCCAGCGAGAAATTAACACAATGATTTCTTGCCTTGCATACGTCTAGTCATGACCGAAGCAATGATCTACGACGCAATATAATTTGGGGTTGAAAGGAGTGCCTTGGTAAGAAGGGTTAGTGCCGGGACACTTCACAAGATCTCTATGGCAAAAACTATGCTCGGAGACCTGTTTGTCTCATATTCAAAATAGACATTTCGCGCGGCAAAGAGGCAATAAACAAGCGAGGTATAGGCAGTGATAGGCAGTGATAGGCAGTGATGGGCGAAAATTGCTCGGACCCAGATTAGTAGATGTTGATTTGATACGAGGTGGAGGCCAAGGCCTAGCCTTAGCCCTAGCCTTAGCCCACCAATTGGTCTACCCTCAGTCTATCGCCTGTGTCACAGACAACCAGAAGGGCGAACAAGGCTGTGAGCGGCTAAACAGACAAGATAGTCAATGACTGGTGACGGAGTCCAGGCCTCCGGGAAACGACAGGGATCTCTGGCGAATACGGAGAAGGATACCATCCCCATTCCCCATACTCCCAGGCCGGGGATGGTGTCTAGTATGAGGCTGCCAATAGAACTTCGGTAGTACGGTGTGGTGTTTTATATCCAGTTCAACCATCCGTCGTATAGCATGGTGCGTAAGGTCAGATTCATCCGTTAAAATGCATCAAGGGACTGACTCAATACCCTTGTCCAGGTAAGTGGCCAATACCCCTTAATGCATACAGCATAAAATTCTCCCCCCGATTATCCGCTGCTCTTGTCTTTGCGTGTCACGTTGAGTCCTCCCAGGTCCTGACATAGGCAGAATAAGTAGGGACCAACATGCCCTTCGAGACCGTCCTCCTGACGAAATCAGACGAGATGTGGAAAGGTTCCATGAGCTCTATGAGCTGGAAAACATTGTCAGCGTTCAGACCCTGCAAGAGGGAGCCAAGCTAGGGTATGACAGTATAAATCCCAACGATCGGAGCGGTCCGACGGACGAGTCGGTCAACGGGGAGGAGCAACCGGGGTTTTTTCACCAGACAAAGGGGCTCAGGGCAATCATTCTCACCACAGCATGTGCCGCAATCACACAGTAATTTGTCCCAAAGCCAGGCATTCTGCATATTTGCACCAGTCTAATTGACGAATAGAGGATGGCAGCAATCAACTATTAACGCCAGCTCTAAAGCGTGGAGGGTAGCCCTCGACAAGGACGATAACGATTATCTAGCCGGATTGATAGATGCTGCACCTTGGCTATCTGCAAGTGTCATGTTAGAAACCCGTCTCATATGAGGTATTGTAGCTAATATTCCCAAGAGGTGCCTGGTTGAGTGACCAGCTACAGGAAGCGACAGCCGGAAGGCGACCGGCTCTCTTTCTATCATCCATATTTTGTGCGGCCTTTGCGCTTGGTATGTAACCAGGTGATTTGCTGCTATCATCAGCCGTCCTACTGACACTCTGGATGCGAAGGGTCCGCCCGCTGCGAGAGCTGGGTACAGCTTCTTATATGTCGGATTTGCCTTGGGATTGGCGTAGGTTTATTGCTATAATGCTATATCAGAACCTCTCCTGACATTGAGATTTGCAGATTGGAGCCAAAGCATCAATTGCGCCGGTGTTTGCAGCAGAAGCAGCGGCCGACCATCTCAGGGGCCGCCTGTTGATAATGTGGCAATTCTTTGATGCGGGGTATGTTGTTTCCCCTTTCATACGAGTCACGTACTTATGTCGGTAGTGGCATATTTCTAGGCTTCCTTACTGTATGGATTGTTGATCATTCTTGGAGAGCCTTGCTGGCAAGCGCCGCTATTCCTGCCCTGATAATGTTGTTCCTGGTATTCCTCTGTCCGGAGTCCCCGCGATTATTGATACGAAGAGGAGATTACCATGCCGCATTTGGTGTGCTATGTCAGCTCCGCCCAACGGAGGTCCAAGCTGCGAGAGATCTCTTCTACATCCATAGCCAGTTGCAGAAGGAGGCGGCCCTTATCGAAGGCCAGAAGACACCTGATCAGCAAGCGTGGAGGGATTCAAGGAGTGGAACGCCGCTAGAACACCCGCTGGATCAGGCTGGTGATGATCGATACCTAAAGATGATTCAGAAGAGCAGCTATCCACACAGAGTTGGCGCGCTGTGGAAAATCCCGAGGAACAGAAACGCCTGTATAGCGGCTTTCATCGTGATGGCGTCCCAGCAGCTTTGCGGAGTGGGTCGTCCTTTTCATGATACATACTTTGTATGGATAGCTAACTGGTGCAACAGATCAATGTCTTGTCGTTCTATTCGTCGAAGCTCTACGACGACGTCCATCAACCGACTAACAAAGGTCGAGAACCTGCTACTATCGAGCTACAAAGGAGAACGAGGGTAGCATGGTTAAATTTTGGTTTGTTATGGTATGAGCAGAATTTCAAGCATGGACTGACCGTACAATTCTAGGTTTTGGGTTGGCAAACTTTCTGTGTACTCTACCGGCCTTTAGGTTGATCGACAGGTATAGCCGCAGACAACTCCTTCTCACCTCTCTGGGAGCGATGTTTTTCTGCTTGGTGGCCATTGGTGGCTTTTATGAAATAGATGACGTTAATATCCGACTGGGACCAATCGCCACCTTTACGGTAGTCCTTTTTAACGTGGCATATGGGGTGGGGGCGGGCCCTATCCCATTCACGTTCAGCGCAGAAGCCTTCCCTCTTTCATATCGAGGCATGCATCACCCGAGCCCTAACTTATACATGTCCCATCTAATCGGTCTTCTTGTCTATAGAAGTCGGAATGAGCTTCAGTGTCATGGTCAATTTCCTTGGGCTTGGCTTGCTGGTGCTCTTCGTGCCCAGACTGACGCAGGCTCTGGGAAAGCCCGAGCTGCTCTTCCTGTTCTCGTTAGTTGCACCGCGCTTTCTGTTAGTACAGCAAAAATGATTTTAACTTGATGCAGTGGCCTAGATGTGATTGCATTTATATTGGTATTTCTCTTTGTGAGTCGCCCTACGGCGCCCTGGCTATTTCGCCCTCAACATTGCGCCCTAACCTTACATCCAGGTCCCAAGCGCCTCATCAAAATACACGCTAGAGGAGATGAACAGCATATGTAAGCAATTCTCAATGTTTACCTTTCCTGTCAGTTGCTTATACGACGTGTCCTATAGTCAAACATAAAATGGTGTGCCACGTGAGATGGCACCTCTCGGTGTTTTGTGTTTTGCGTGGCCAGGAAAGAGGAGATTTCGATGATTTCTGTGTCTGTGAAGGTTCCGGCGAGTAGCCTGCTGTCTTATAATTATTGGAAGCATGTCAATGTTATGTGAGAGCCAAAGTTAATATGGTCGTCAACAACATTAACAGGGCTGTTGGAATGAAGGAAATGTGTACTGATGTTATTTCAGATTGTGCAAGTTGGCCTTACAGGCAGGGTATGTCTTCAATGTGCATAAGAGTTATCTCATGGAATTATTTCGTATCTTTTTTGTTGCGAAAGGATGATGTCGTCTTAGTTACTTTAGATATTGATCAGTGCTCTTCAATGGTTCCACGTCACGACAGGCATTAGTAGAATACTAATCACGTCCCTCGTATATAAGTGGACAAGTATTTTTAGCACCCAGTAGGCACCAGCATATAACCCTGGCCAACGAGGCACCGAAGAGTAAGATGTCCAGGGGTGTGAACCATTAGGAGCATCCCGACACCCAACCAGAGCGGCGCAGGCCCACCATCCAGCCCTGAGTGTATGGGGATACCCAATTGGTCACAAGGATATTGCGTGCAGCCTTGCAGAACTGACTTGTCTAATGCCCTGTCTTTTTTTTAAAAAAAAAAAAAAAATACGGTTGCTTTCAGGCGGGGAAGCAATCAGGGGCTCAGTGCTCCATGACATCGCCTTGCGTCGAAGCAGGGCTATGCCTAAAACTCGATGGCATTTGTCAATGGATCAATCTTAAATAAATACCCCGTATCGACAGGTGACTTCTTACATCCCATCGCCCACGTTATTGTGAATAGACCAGTGTGGCTGTGGCTATCAGCCACTTCAAAGGTCCTTTTTGCCACATGTTGACTCAATACCTAGACTATTACAGCAATGACTTGAGCTGCAAAAGACCCTAGTGAGCCTCATCAGAGTGCAAATCCTGGATTCTGTGGTGCCGGGGTTTATTTTCGTGTTGAATTCGTCTAGAAAACCCCGCTTTCCACCCCTAATAACATGCTCTCGCTTCCATTTCGATTGCGTCCTTTGGTCTTTGATCCCTGCCCGGAGGCCCCCCTTGAGATATGGAGGGAACCGGGCCTAGTGGTCCACAAAATTTTATGAGAGAGCTTTGGACCAACATCCAGGCGAGAATGCACAAGAAAGGCGACTCGTCTGCGACATTCATCCCTCGAGATGCCATAGATGACATCTGGACCAACGACCGCCTGGAACTGTTTATCCAGCACACGAAGCCTGGTTTCGACTCATCAAGGATACCGACTATAAAGGCCTCTCATTTGAAGACGATCTCAACTTTAATCTCCATCGGCTGGGATGAGTGGACACGGTTCTCCCATATATTTATACACACCGAGGGTCGGACTGATCAGGATATTCCCCGCTACGACCTCGCGGCGCTCCGTGATACCAATTTCCTGGGGGAGGAATGGGCGTTCAAATTTTTATTTGAGCGAGTCATATTTTGGCCGATTGATATTGAGGAGGGAGAGAATAATGTCAAGCCCAAGGACTGGAGATTGCCTTTCTTAGAGGCACGGTCCGAGGACCTGGGCCGAGGAGCATACGGAAGTGTCACGAAAGAGGTCATTCCCGCCGTCCACTATCGGCCGTCTGAAGAAAGATCATTCCACAGAGGCCCCGCTGGCGTGAGTTTGACCGCACTACAAATCGGGAACTGTCCCAACCGCAGCTAACCCCGGTTGTCGCATAGGGAGAGGTACCCGTAGCCTGCAAACGGTTTTCGAACAGCAGCGAGTTCAAGTACGAGACCAAAAACCTGCAGACGCTCAAGAAAAGTCTCATCAAACATGATCGGATCGTCTCTTCCCTTGCGACAATCGAAGTTGGAAACGACTTTTATATTCTATACCCCCTGGCGATGATGGACCTGGAAAGATTTCTCGAAGGAGGCCTGAATAACGGCGCTGGGTTCACCGTCCCAGAGATCCTCCGCGAGGCTTCAAATCTCGCCAGTGCCCTTGCCTTCTTGCATGATGGGCTTGAAATTGACTCACGCCCAGTCTGCTGTCACATGGATCTCAAGCCGGCCAATATCCTGGTATACCCGAACCCCAAAGCCCCCGCAGTGGGAAACTGGCAGATCACGGATTTCGGAATATCCATGATGACCCAAACCCAGGGGGGTCTTATGGTGCCTACCAATCCCGATGGCTCTGCATATACAATACAACGATCTCCGTTAGTCCGAGGGGAAATGCCTTACCATCCGCCTGAAGTTCTGTACGGACAGTTCGGACGTAGAAGTGACGTCTGGTCGCTGGGTTGTATCCTCGTGCGTATAATAGCCTTTGCACTGAATGGGGCAAGTGGACTGCGAGAGTTGGATCTGAAACGACGGAAAGATACGGATGGAATCACCGACTACCCCGACGATCATTTTCACCGCACCTCCCCCGAACTGAGTTCCCATGTCCTGAATCCACACATCAAGTCGTGGCTGGATGGGCTCCCTCACGCCGGATACAACTTGCACTCGGACCTGCTGAATGGGTTGTGTGATTTGCTATCGCTCACGCTGAGAATCGAGAAAGCTAGTCGTCCGTGTGCAAGCGAAGTAAAGGACATACTTCGCCATTTGGCACTAGTCGCAGAAGGCTCTATTCAAGGCTACCACGTCAGAAAGGAATCTCTGTCGTCAGTGAACACCATCCGCACATCCGAAGGAGATCTAACGTCTCTAGACTCCAAAGCCACAGCCATCACTCCTTCAGACTGTACGAGCGCTCCCACTCCACCGGCGGACGCCCGTTTGATCGATGCAGTGACAAACTCTCTCACCCAAGATCTGGAATTGCTTCTGTCCGAGAAGCCGACACCCGACCTCGACCGGCAAAGCTCTGACAAGAAAACACCTTTGTACCTTGCCGTAGAGCGGGGAAGCCTTGACATGGTCCAGACTCTATTGGAGGCAGGCGCAGCGGTCGACGCGCCATCCGCAGATAAGCTAACAGCGCTCATGAAGGCCGCGCGAGACGGCAATATCGACATTGTCTCAAAGCTGTTACTCTCCGGCGCCGATGCTACGGCGACCTCAGCAGACGGGCTGACTAGCCTGCATTATGCAACCTACTGCAGAGCAGAAGGAGCGATCCTGATCAATTGTTTCAAAGAACGCGTACCGGAATTAGAATTAGACCTGCCCAACTGCCACACTAAAGAAACGCCTCTCCTGACCCTATTGAAGAACTACGAGGGCGGCATCCTATGGCGCGACAAATTTCTAGCTTTGCTAGATGGTGGCGCTAACATGAACTGCGCTGATCACAGGGGCGTTACCCCGTTCTCCTTCGCCGTCAGCCGAGATTTCTACCAGGTTGTGCGTGTGCTTCTCAGTACGAAAACAGTCCCTAAGACAATTCCTCCCAAATCAAAGCTGTCCCAAAAGATGATTAAGGTCTTCAGAGAAGCAAACGTTGCTTTGCCGGCCAGGCCTTCATCCGACTTTTTCCGTTTCCTGCGCCGTTGATGTCTCCGGTGGTGACCTTGTTTTATATTAGCATATTATACCCATGCTTGAGTGTTGTCTGTATAGTCTATCTCTAAGTGATAGAATATTGTCTTAGAACTTTATACAATCTTCGTTTCAACTTCAAGAACTTTCAAGGCAATTCAGAAACGATGAAAAATCTTGAAATCAATTTATTTCTGTCCACTTTGTTCTTTCACTTTCGGTCAACTCAGCCTTGAAGTAGCATAGACGTTGCGAAAAGAAAGCACGGCCTATGCCAGAGGACATTCAGAGATAGGTGACAGTTAAAGAGGCAGTAACGCGATATACTTAGGGCTATTGTAGTATATGCTGTCAAACTATATTGAGTGCGACTACTACTCAAAGTTCCAGTCGGCCTTTGACAGCCCCCATTCCTCGCACAGGGTCCCCAGCCACTTCGACACAGAAACCAACTCCTCGTCTCCATCGTCGTTCTTCATCAAGACTAGCTCTTTACACGCACGGAAATATTGTTCCACCGTGAGCGGCGGTAAGTCATACCACTCGTGTGTGCTGCTGCAAACCAAAGAGTGGGCTGCCTTGCCCGATCTCATATCATTCCAGCAGGCGTCGCAAAGATCCACATTATAGCAGTATTTGCACGCGTGAAGGCCGAGGTCATAATCCCACCACCGATTGCAGTTGGCGCAAGCAATCCCCCAGTCATTTCTTTTTTCGTGATCGTCCAAGATATATTCGACTTTCCTATAGCAAGCCGCCTGCTCCTCGTCGACTGCATCTGCTCGGTCTGCTGATCTGACCACTTCCGCCTTGATCTCCATAAGCTTTTCCCAAGGTAGCTTTTTGTGTAGACAATTAGTCTGATAGAACTCCACGAGTTCTGCGCCGATCGCTGCGACCACGGGCTCCTGTTCGGCCAGAAGCCCTTCGATGGCAGCCTCATCAAATTGATTTTTCGGAAACAGCAACGCAGCTCGCAGAGCATTCTCATAATCCCCAGTTCGGTCGAGAAGGTTACGAAGCATCGTGAAACCGTCAACATCATTGAACGAGATGTCATCAACCAGTATGTTGAATACCTCCACCATATCGGATCGAAAGATGTCATGAGCCATACCCGTCCGTCCCTTGAGCGAGTATAGACTTGCAAGTACTGACTTGGGGCCATCGAAAACAGGGTTATTCTCGTGAATTTGCCGTAATAACCCCACGTTTGTCTCTAGGTCCTCCTCGTCCATTTGCATGCATCTCTCAAAATAGAACATGCTCAGGTGGATAGCGGCTGGCTGTTCGATGAAAAAAAGCGGTTTTTGGCCTTCCGAAACAGTGTTATCCCTAACTATGTCCAAACACTCGCGCAGGTGACGTGCGGAGATGGCTAATTGCTCAGCAGAGTTCCTGTAGACATAATACCTGGCTCTGCCCAGCTGCAATAGCAGAATCGCAATCTCATCAGTTTTGGCTTCCGCCCGCGCAGTGTCAATTGCCAACTCCATCTCATGCTGGAAGACTTCCCACAATCCCGCGCACGAGGAGACCAAGGCAAATATTGCCTTGAATAAGAGCAATGTGCCCCTCTCATCACGCACGGTTGATGTTAACATATGCACCAGCTGATTAGACGCCGTTCCTGGAACTTTATGGGTAACGGCTTTTTGGATGATAGAACGCGCATCGTCCTCTTGTCCAATGGCGACATATTGTCGGAACACCTCAAGAAGAACCTCCATATTATCTTCATCCAACTTGGAGGCTTCCTTTAGATATTTGAAAGAGATTTCTGGGTCGGTTGCGCATCTGCTTAGAGCTTTGAATGCTTCTCGTAGCTGCTCCTTGTTGACGGGGTCCTGAGCTTGGAGAATCGTGGTAGCCTGTTGATTTCTCATTAGGTCTCGGCTCATTCTACGCGGATTGAGAGTATCATACTTTCTTGTAATGCTCACTCGCAGCAGCGTAATCCCAAAATTGAGCGTAGGTGTCGCCTAGTCGCATACACCATGTGTAGTCCACTTCGGGCACTTTCAAAGCCTGCTTGCACCATTGCTCGCATCTGGCGATACATTCCAAAGGGGGCTCCCCGGGATTAATCATAATTCTCCCGTCATCTTCGTCGAAGCCTTCAACTTCCTCAGACATATGGCCATCCTCATCGCGCTGTGATTCGGCCCCCTACATTTGAGATCGGCAAGGATTAGACTGAGGCAAACAATGGGATTCAACAAGCACTTACCAACGTTAGGAACCCTTGGATCCATAAAAATGGCCCCGTGACGCTCCATTCGGTTTTCTGTAGCCAGTTCCGAGCAAGCATGGTCATCATGGGAGTCAACAGGCTTGAATTGCGATGTTTGTCCCTCTTGCAGTCTTCGAGCCATCGTTTGTCCCGAGGCCCTAGGCGGCTAATCGCGACAGGGTCGTCTAGCCATTTCCAAAACGTGTCCATCTGGTCATTACCGGAGAACCATGGAGCCCAGATCGAGCAGAATTCCCAATTTCGCTCGATGATGTTATCGTCGTTGAACAAATCATACACGCTAGATCCAATGAACTGCTTATCTGCCGGCTGGAGCTCGTCGAGACCAGTTACCTCGGACAGGGCTTTGAGATGCAATGGGATAGAACTCATCAAGTATTCCCCTAGCGCCTTCCCCCTTTTATCGATAATTGGTTGTAAGAACAAATGGAAGGCCCGTCTGACAATCTCCAGGTGAGCGTCGGCTTCGTTCACCTGGATCTTCCGCTGGCCTACGTTAGTCATATCGGCTGTGGACTGAAACGTAAATCCACCTAGGAAGGAGTGATTATTCAAGTCCCAAAAGAACCGCTGGACCAGCTTGTGGTCTGCGTTTGTGATGCTGATAGTGGCCGTGATCTTCGGGTTATCTTCGGACTGGCGAGGTCTGTCTCGTTGAACAACAACGCAGTCTCGAACGTGCTCTCTGAGTACTACGGCCTTTTCACTAGACGTCGTAGAAACTATGCTGAAGAGTCTGGAGTACTTCCCGATGATCTTTTCGCCGAGTGGCTGAAGAGAGACGGCGTTAAATCGGAGGAACAAGGCCGCTTCCAGCTCATCTAAAAGCATATCACGATCTGCAGCCACCACCCATACCATAAGCTCATTGATCTCCTCAATTTCCCGAGGCTTGAGCGTCGCTTCCAATGTTTCGATATCCAATCGCACTTGGTGCTGTGGATCTGTACTCGACTCGTGCAAGACCCGGCTGAGCTCCTCCTCCGTGCCGCCTGACACGACGATATCTTTGACTTTGCGCATATCCTGCTGGATTGTTGAATAGGTATTGTCGGAACGCGCCAGGAGTAGTTCCTCGACCATCCTTTTCCGACGCTGCGAGTCCTCATCTGCTCCTTGGAAGAGGGACTCCCTCTTCAGCTCCTCCTTAATGAACGCTTTGACGTCAAACTCGTTGTATGTGGTAATGTCGATCGTTTTAATCCGAGACGAGAGCAGCTGATCCCTTTTGAACACCCCTGGCTCACAGCTGATAAGCACTCTAACGCGGCTGAACCCGTCCTGCTTGACCTCCTGAATTACCCTCATGAGCCGCTCACGGTCTTCTGCGCTGAGCGTGCCAACCGAGTCGAGAAGGATGTAATGCGTCGTATTTTCCCCCGGCATTCCTATTCTTAACGTCGCCCAGAGATCTGTACAGCCGGCGTCCCTGAAATACTTTTCGTTTCTCCCTGGCTCACTGCACATAGTACACACATTCCTCCCGTAAGCTAGGTCCTGCTCCGCCAGTTGAACACAGATAGACTTGATCGCCGCCTCCAGTGGTCGTCTATCGCCGTCAGTTCCTCCTTTTTTCTCCCCCATGGCGAAGGGGTAATATCCGATCAAGCTACGCTCAGCTTTTGTAGGCAAGTTTCCAGACTTGATTTCCTCCGCAATCGCAGAAATCAGTATAGACTTTCCCGTTCCAGGCGCACCGGTCAAGACGAGCAGGGGCTCTGCTGTGCTACTACTGTCAATCCACTTCTTATATGCGTCAATTTCGTTCAACCATTTTCCGCTATCTTTCACTGCGCCCTTCCACATTCGATCACGGGCCTCGATAATCGCGGCTGCTGTGTCATCCTGCAGCCCAAGCTTGGTCTTTATGATACCCAAAATGCGCTTTCGGTTGCCTTCCAATGTGCGCTTGTTCTCCGCCTCCACGAGTCCAGTCACGTCACCTTTGATGGCCTTCGTATTTGTATCAATCTCGAGCGTGGTGGCCTTTATGAATTTGACGTGCAGGCCTGTTTCCACTGCAGCCTCGAGAGTTAGAGTTGCCTGGACGTTCAACTGGTCCTGAGTGAGCTTTTTGAAATTTGTCAACTCGCCCTGCACAGACCCATCGTCCAATAGGATCCGTTTGGCATTGCGCTTGAAGCCTTTCCATCTACCCTCATGGTGGATATTAATGCAGTCGGCGCAGAGGTTCACGAAACTCGTCATGACCTGGTAAATGGACAGTAGCAGAGCCTCGTCCAGCTTGGCGCTGTCTTCCATCCGTTCGTAGATCCGAAACTGGGCAAGAGCGGGACCGACTTCCGCAAAGATAGCATCGATCTCGCCATGGAACTCATGGACCTTTTTCGGAATATCCAAAAGAAAGGACAGGGCGTTGAAACACAGTCCCGCCGGGGCGAAAGCCTAAAGTCTAGATCAGCGTCCCTTCTTACGATCTTATAGCACAGACAATGCGGTATTGTTATCACTTACCATGGACGCACCCTGGGACGCAATCCCACCCAGCAGCTGGATACAATGTATCATTTGGAACCCCGTCGCTTTAGCCTTCGACACACTTTTACCGTCCGCCTGTGCCGCATAATGCGCGTCGAGGAGTCTTCGCAGGTCATCCGGACGCTGTGAGACACCATCCAGCCTTTGGCCCGTGCGCTCTTGGAAGCGCACGATGGTATTCTCCCAGATCTCCTTCACGGACGCGGGGGCCCTTTCCTTCTCAGGCTCCTTGGCCATTGTGTCTGTTGAAATTTTGAATTCAGGTTTCTCTTTTCCGTGGGCGCTTTTTGAACTCTTATTAGTTATCCTGTGGGAACCGGGCTGCCCTTTATACGCAACGGCCTGAATCCATCATCCAGCCGCAAAGGCGGGGCAAACTACGCTACCACGTCTGCCCCGCCCACACGAAGGTCGAGAGGGTAGCTGTCAGCCTTGGGGGCTGAAAGGGCCATACTCGAGCCAATCGCAGCTACGACCTTATCGGAAGAATATTATGGAGGCGTTTATCATGGACCGTTAGAGTGGCCGAAGAAACCTCTTCTCATGCATAGAGCATTGGTGGCCACTCATTAGCTTTGATAAGATGACCATATTATGATTACTGCATGGAGTACTCAAGCATGGAGTACTCAAGCATGGAGTCAGGTACTGAAGAAAGTCTCCCACACAGATTCCCAGTGGAAATGGAACTAGTCAACCCTAGGCAGGTACAGATGGGGTTAGCATGGCTAGCCTGATAACCCTAATAGATGATGACAGGACAATGCAGGTGTCAGGCCAGTTCTTAGACGCTAGATCAGACATTAGAGAATACTGGAGGCCACTGCTTGTTTACATCAATTATAAGAATTATCATACTTAGACACATATCTTCGCATTTCTATCGAAAGTCCGTAGCGTTCCATCTAGTCAATATAGGAATAGCGCACTTTATTGCCATTTCCCTTGTGATAATATATACAATAGTTCGAGAATCATGCAAATATCAAATTGCTATATATTCCCTGTCTTCTATGAAGCTAGATACAATTTAGTATATTTTGGAAATCAAATATCACTCGGCTACAAGAAGATATCATAACACTTCTACCTCTATGCTATATATAAAAATTGTCTTGTGTTCCATACTCTAGGCCCGCAGTTCCGTTACCCAACGTCTAGATATCTCTATACTAACTACTTGAGTGTAAATCAGTCGAAAAAGCATGGCTACCCAAAGATTATACCCACAAGCAAAAAAAAAAACAAAAACATACAACAGCCGGGATTCGCATGTGGTCACCCACCATACTACTAACCGGCCGGCGTGTGGCTTAAGTACGGCTGAGCGGACGGGAAGCCCTGTTCTCCACACCCTATGGTCGTATGTGCTTGTTCATTCTAATGAATGAATTATATAACCGATAAATGGGCTGCTGGATAGCATCAGCCAACGACACGGCTGTTAAGTGTGCGCACAGGTCTTTCGATATCGGTATATAAGCTCTTGCGCGTGCCGCTGCACATCCACTCATGACAACCCCTAAAGATAAGATTGTATAAGATTATATATACTTGCAGTCTTTTAGAATTAGCAGAATCATCTTACTACCTTTAAACGTAAGTTATCCTATACAAATATAATAAGTTAATATATCTTCGCAGAAACGGCTTCTTATGTAGATATGTAAAATTTAATTGGGATATCTTAGGGGATTGATAGCCGGTAATGACCAACAGAAACCCTGTTTAATCGAAGGAGATGACATGTATGCCTTGATATGTCATGCTCTTAGGTCGCACGGCTGTCGGCGCAATCTCATGAACGGTGTGCCACAGCACCGTCCTGCCACATTCCGATAAATATTTTTTTTTGATTACTCACTCCACCTTGATCATTCACCTCACCTTCTTGATCAGAGGGTCCGTAGTCGCTTGACTCTACGGAATCTTCCCTATCAACCAAAGGCCCCAACCATTCATGTTCCCAAAAGGGCTTTTCTTCTCTTCTGATACCTTGGGCGAAAAATGACCAAGAAGGTATATTCCGTGTGGCCAGTCGAACGGGGGAATAGACAACCAACAGGCCTTTTTGAAAAGGGGAAGATCGCAAGTATGACATAGAAACTTAGGCTTTGGTGCAATTGACCATGTTGAATAGTTCCCCAAGAATAAGTATCCACCTCCAGCGCATTCTGTAACCTCACTAGATCGAGGGATGGAAGGTGTTCTATCAAGGAGGCCTTTTATCTTGCTGCAGGGATAAGGCAACCCGTTTGCTGATTGCGATGGTAGTATTGCCCGTCATGTTGACTCAGAACGACTCAAAACGTGGGATAAAAGGCGGGAACTTGGACACCGCACATCGTGGTGATGCTGACCCATAGGTGTGAGTGGTGCTGGCGGCTGTTAGGGATGCTTGAAGCCGAAGTGTTCGGTATCAGTTTTTCTGTAAACCCGACAAAGGAACACCCCAGGCAACCAATTCAGTTAAACTAATAGCTGACAGCCGAACCGATATATCAAGTTATGATTTATCACATTTACTATGTGTTTTGGGGTGGCCCACTCCCTTGTGGGGGCCAATGGCTTGAGGAATATTTTAACGTTTCACATAAATTTAGCGCTTAGGAGGTTGCGATACATTGTTGTATTGCCGATGTCACTAGGAGGGGTCCACTGCTAAGAGCACCCCTGAAACCTTTAGCGAATGCCGAAAACATCTCCACTTAAAATGGGCTTTCAATCAACGTAGGAGGCTGATGCTTAATAGAGTATCGTGGAATCAAAATCTTTTGCGTCCCTGGATCTCGCTGCCTTGCGGGCGGCAATTTTGGTCTCGATACCCCTAGTTACTATGTTGTATGCCATGACGAATGTGTCTTCGTGTGCGCCTCGTTGGATCTCGGCTGGGTTATAACTGAGCACGGTTTAAACTAGTACTCGGCGCGATTCAGAACATGGCGCTAAAACCCTGAACCACTCCATATTATTACCCCACATATACTGAGCCTGGTTCAAAAAATTAGGCTCCTTCAAAGTACCCGCACTAAGAGTCCTAGATGATACTCGCATAGAATTTTGCGAAGATATCTGTGTATAGCCCGTAAAGCAGCTATATAGAGCCCTTGTGTCCAGTAGGGTCCAGTAGGATTCTAGTAGGATTCCTCGTAATATTCTTTGTAGGGGTTCTTAGGTACTTTTAGGGGCTCCACGCAGGGTGTGTTTACAGACTACACGAGCACTTCTAGAGGAAGATGATATAGCTAAGCATGACTCAGGTAGTGTGGGTCATGCTCTTAATCAGGAAGGTGACTCTTTGAACCACACTAAATATTTTTCCAGTTCTGTTTTGAACCGCGCTTAACTGCTAACCCAATCTTGGCAGAGATCTGTGGGAAAGGCCTCTTTCCGTGAAATGCTAAGAAAAAGTGTATCCGGAAACAGGGCGTTGAAACCAGGCCACATCTCAGGCGGCTACAAGCACTATGTCGATCAGCCACTGCATCAGGGGCTATTAGATTGCCTCGCCTGTAGGATTGATTCATTTAGATTAACTCGAGATTTAGTTACTCCATAGTTTCATCTAATTTCATCTATTCAGACCTACGACAAGGCCTGGTGATGGAATGGAAGAAGATGAACTAACTAACCCCAAGCCCCCATAGATAATGGATATGTTCCAAGGGTGAGCGCAGTTCGAAGGCGTATATTTAAATACCTTAGTATCCCCTTCCTCTCTTCTACTCATCAGTAGGTCCATTTGTCCATTTTTCAGTCACTCTTTACACGATATCATATTCGCTCTTTACACAATACCATATTCGCTCTTTACAATGCAATTTACTTTTGCCCTGTTCGCCGCAGCTGCGCTGCTGACCCCCGTCTATTCCAATGCAATCCCCCCGATGATCCGCCGCGAGTCTGACCTCAAGATCGAATCCTGCACTACCAGCCAACAGGCCGTGGTCGAAGCCGCCGTTCAACGCGCCGCCTCTGTCGCCAAGGCCGCCGCCGACGCCGCCGTTAATGGCGACGCTAACATCTTCGAAGAGTTCTTCCGCACCACCGACACCGCATCCCGCCAGGATGTCGCCGCCCGCTTCGAGGCCATCGCCAACGAGGCCTCCAACTTCGGCAGCGGCAATGTGACCTTCAACTGCGGCAATGACGAAAAGCAGGGCGTCTGCCGCAAGGGTGTCCTCGCCTACGCTCTCTCTGGCAGCAACAAGGTCGTTACCTGCCCGGACTGGTATAAGATTGTGGCCGCGACCGATAACTGCGGCGGCACTGATCAAGGCACCGCCATGGTCCACGAGCTCTCGCACCTCAGCGTTGTCTACAGCCCGGGCACCGGAGACTTCGCGTACAAGTACAACGACCTCGTCCAGCTTTCGGCGGATAAAGCCGTCCTGAACGCCGATACCTACAGCCTCTACGCTAGTGGTGAGTTTTGCTTTATTCCCCTGTCCACCATGACATGTCACTCGCTTACTGACTGCAACATCTAGCCATCGAGCTTGACTGCCAGAAGGGCGAGAGCAAGGGCGTTGAACTCCCGGATTGGATGATCGATGAGATCGCTAATGGGAAACAGTAAATAGATACTTATTTGTACACATCATCTTCTAAATCTGCTAGCCAGATGCTATGGGAATTACATAATATTTCTTTGTCCATTTTTTGCTGTCTGAAATTAGCTGTTGGATATCAATAGTTTCAAGCCCTTACCACTCGTCAATGGGTGTTTTTGGTCTAGTGGTGAAAGAATAAGAGTTCTACATTAGATCGTTGTCTTTGGGTTTTGCTAAATTTAGGGCTTTGTTGGTTCGTGGTGCGGAAAGGAGCAACGGCAAGCCGATATTATCTTAGGTCCTCATGATTCTTTCTCCAGGAGTACATCACAGCAGGGCACTGTACCCAGTATTCAGATAGAAGAGAGCCAGAGGTATGATAAAAAATATCAAAAATGAAAAAACATATAACAGCCGGGATTCGCATGCGGTCACTCACCATGCTACTAACCGGCAGGCGTGTGGCTTGAACGCGGTTAAAAGGTGGATAAGTATTATCTGGGTGAGTAACTAGGTGAGGCTACTTTTAGTCACGCGACCAGGAGTGTAGAATAAGTATATAATAAATAGGATAAGTAATTACTCGTGTCACGCGAGCTTTCTTATCAGTGACTCTAGTAGATTTATATAATAGTAGAGACTCTTTTATAATTTGCTACTAACTCTATTAGTAAAATATCTAAATACTTAACAAAGTATATAGTCATGCTGATTATTCTAGGCAGTATTATTCTTATATTATTATCACAGGTATAACAAGCTAAGTATAGTTTAATAGTATATCATTGCTATCTAGCAATTCATGAAGCACTGTGATATTGATACTGAGTATTAGTTAACCAAACTTATATTATAATTCTAGATTAAAGGCTATAATTAAACTATAAAAATTTATAGTCTTGGTCTAAAGACTAAAAGTATTAAGTTACAGTTTTAGTTACAGTTAATCATAGCCTTTGTGGATAGTGCCACAGTCTATATATCAGAGCCTCGGGCTGCTCTATCTTATGTTCTTTCTACTAATTACTGGCTCTTTCTTCCGCGACAAGAGTCATGCTACTACCACGTAATGAGAATAACTAAGAACCTTGTATAGCGCCGGATAGGAAAACAATACTTGACTTTGCAACTTGCTGGCATGATATACAAGATCTACAGCTGCTAGATCTGATTAATATATGGCTTTTGGAATATTCTTCCAAGCTTAAAGATCATCTATCTTTGTTGGAATCAGGGCACAGCATTGCTCTTTACCGAGGTGAGAGCTTAGCTAGTCTATGACTTGAGAGAAATCTGGAGAATCTCTTCTGAACTGCTGTGTCATGGGTGATAGATGGCCCTTTAATCACTTGGGTGACATTAATTTTTTTGGTTGGGCCATAATCTGGTGAATCATCGCTGATAATGATTAGGGACTCTCATGTCGAACTTTCTGTAGATAATTTTGATCTTGTCCGCTCCGATAGATCTTGATGTTTTCTTTCACCCTGGCCTGATAATAAAGATTACAAAGGAGAGCTTTGATCTATTAAGATAACACAGCAGGAGCTAATCAATACTCAGCGAGTGATTAACGAAGCTTTGCTATTATAAGCCAGCTAGACAGAAGGTGGTGCTCACGTTATGTTATAGTTATTAAGCACATCGTTCTGCTGGAAGATTGCTTAAGGATCTATCATTTACTGGTTGCCTGTATATTCCAAGATACAAGCTTAAATGCTCGACAGACCATGAATTCAACGTGGAATGGCGGCCGAAATTCTGGCGATAGCTGTTCTAGCCTTGTAAGTGCTGATAAATCGGTGATTCTATGCGCAATAATGACCCATCCAGTCTCCCAAGTGCCAGCCCAAACCCAGAAGAAATGGTTCGAAGGTGTGATACGGAGGGTGTTGATCCAGTCATTAGTACAGGAGCAGATGAACGAAACTTCCCTCATTCCAACAGCCTACAAGTAAACAAGTCATACTCCAGGGAAAATGCATGCTTCAAAGTTCATTTTTATAGCGCGAGGATGTTATCTTGAATATCTTTCGCCTCATAAAACTAAGTAATTATAGGGTTCTTGGTGATCGGCGCAATCATGAAGCCATGTGCTGGTCAGAGGATGGGTGTTGTTTCTATCTTGCTCCTGAGGATAATCTCCCCCCACTTGCTCGCGAAACTCTCCACGGCCAGTTACGGCTTGTTTATTCAATCGCTTTATGACTTTGGTTTTCGCAAAGTCAAAATGCCGGTTTTATACGGGGTAAACCAAGGTCATACATGGGTCCTGGGCTAGCACTCTGGTGACTTGAAATCACCAGATGTAGTAATGCAAGGAGAGAGCTAACTCCTGCTGCTGATATCTACTGCTCAGTGATAAAGTTTTCCTTCACTCTGTTTCTATCATACAGATTACTCTGTATAATTATGCTGTCTTGATTACTGATAACTAGTGTCATAGGAACTTATTAACAAAATTAGGTAGAAACTATTGCCGTGAATTATTTTGTATATCAGAGCAAACAGGTGTCAAGAGATAAAAACCTATGAATCCAATAACATGCTAAGATCTTATTTATCGTCACATAGGAGCAGTCCTTTGTCTGGACATACAAGAGCGCCAGCAAAGTACAGCGACCCACCCAGTCATAAACAGCGTCACTTTATAAACCACCGCAAAACAGAGACGGAAGGTGGTATGGTGTAGAACGCTCCGTTGTTGAATACGTTATATCATTATCAAACAACATACGGCCTCGCTCCATCCCCAAAGAGCAGATACGGCCTCTCGGCCGCAATTTTGAGAATTGCCTGTGCAAAAAGCGAGTTGGCCCATGCAAACCACGACCGGGTGTATTTGTTGATATCGTTCACGTCGATAGATTCGTGCACAAGCCCGAGAAGACTCGAGTTGCGAACGAGGTTGATGCACTCTGTAATTTCCGAGTCAATATCTGTAGTCATTGCCTGAACAAGGATGGACATTGGCCAGGCATTCTTGAAGCCAGCTGTATAGTTGTTAGTTTTTGAAAAGAACAAAAGCAACAAAGGAAGGTAAGGGAAGGGAAATGTACTGTGAGGACCACCGATACCACGGAACGCGGAACCTATCATGTAATATGGATTGCCAGTCTTTTCTAGGATCATCCTTCTAGTGTTTTGATACACAGAGTTGCTCTGCTCAACAAATCCCAGTAAAGGCAGCGAGAGCAATGAAGGGACATTGGCGTCATCCATGATCACACGGGAACCATATCCGTCCACCTCAAAGGCAAAAACATTGCCATATCTGGCATGATCCACGACTCCGTAGTCCCAAACAGCCTGTTCCAAGCTTTCACCTCGTTTTTGGAGCTCTGTGGCCAGGTCTTCATGACCTCCTGCCACCTTGACAACCGTGGCAGTCTTTTGCAGCTGAACAGCCATCATAGCATTTGGGGGAATAAAGAACCCAAAAATAGTTGCATCATCACTAGGACGGAAGGCGCTGCGGATCAAGCCGGTACTTCCATTCAATGGATTCCCAATTCCTTCCAGGTTAAGGGTTTCCGTGCCCATGTTGGTCTCGCGCTGGAACCTGTACTGGTTGGGGACATACTGGTTCTGCGCGTCGAAAGTTGACTGAGACTGAGCATCCAGAACAGACAGGAGGGTATCCAGTGCCTTGTACCAGCGATTGGTCAAGAAATCAGTAGATTTTGTATTTTCATAGAATTCGGTTCCCAACGCGAGAAAACTAGCCAGCGAATCAAGCTCATATTTGCACTCAAATACCACTGATGGTTCATATTCTGGGTGGACTGTGTCCTTCTGTGAGCTTGGAACAGGCTTTTGACCGCTAGGAGGAGGTGGTTGGAAGGCGTTGCAATATGGTGACTGAGTAACAAACTCAGCCTGCGTATTAATAGCTCCCAGGATGAGTGTTTGGAGAGCCGGGTCCTGACTGGCCAGGGCCTGGTAGCCCGACAATTGGCTTGTGGAGTCACGCAACCATTCCGCATTAATGTCACCGGTCACTACAAATGTCTGCGGTCCCTGCCATTTGGAATCATCCACCTTGTGTTTTCTCGATGACAACGGGTCCTCCGTGGTCGAGCCGTTCCGGTGCCATCGGATGGTTGTATCCAGGGTGTTCGAGAATGCGTTGCGAAACAATTGAGCCAGATCTTTGTCTATCATGCGTGATGTGACATCTTCAATGACATTTTCAACTGCTGACGAAGTGAAGGTGCGACATTCCTCTGCTGGTCGTTGGAAAGGGAGGTTCAGAGGACCGCCACTATACGGAGGGCTGGGATGTAAGGACAAGTTAACCCAATTGATTGCTCGATATAATGTCTATAAGGTCCCAGAATGTTTACAAGGAAAGGCCACTCACTGGCGAGCCGCAGAGTATGAGGTATAGTCTGGACAGTCCTTTCGTGAAACCGCAATGTTATCGCGAAGTCCTGCAATAGTTGTAGCTCCACAGCCAAGGGTCAGGACTAGCGCAAGGGCCGTCGACGAGAGAGTCATGGTTATAGAGAGGAAATTCTGAATTAGTCAGAGCTAAACAAGGGAAAAAAATAAAAAAAAGGTGTGTCTTAACAGCCCGAGAGCATTGTTGAAAGAGAACCAGAGAACCGATTTCTACTATTTATTCCTCGAAGGATGATGTCTTGATGTTTCCCCACATGGTTTCTCCGCACGCTGACCCTAACAACACTAATGCCCCCGGGGCATCATGGAAAAGTTAAAAAACACGCATTCGCGGTTGATGCCGCCGACATGCTAAGGATGATGTTGCAGCGGGGGATTTCAATCATGTCAAAGATACTACCTTCTTGCTTAAACCACCTTGTTACTAAATCGAAATCCGAAGAATAAATTGTCATCTGCGCTCCCCTCTCTCCATTTCTTCTTATGGTCGTTGGTTGGCCAGTTCCTCATACATCGAACTATTATCAACATGCCTTCTCTCTCATGGGGAAGAAAGCTCTTCGAAGCTGCCTCGGCTTCTCTCCTTGCTCTTGCCTACGCCGAGAAATCCTCTGCTTCTATGGTTGATGTCTTAAATTATGTTGATCCATTGATTGGGACATCCGATGGAGGTATGTTGGCTCTGCGAGGTCTCTAGGCCTGATGCTACAACCAATGCATGTTGACGCGTCTATGTCTTAGGTCACGTATTTCCAGGAGCTACACTTCCTTTTGGAATGGCAAAGGCCGTTTCAGACATTTATAATGGGGAGAATCAAGGCGGATTCTCTGTGGATGATAGCCATGTCGGTGGATTTAGCCATCTCCATGACGATGGTACGGGCGGTTCCCCGTCCATGGGAAACTTCCCAATCTTTCCTCAGCCAAGCTGCCCCGATGAAGATTTGAACAAGTGCAAATGGCAGCAGTCTGATCGTGCGACCAAGTGGCTAAAGAATTCCCCCCAGGCGAGACCGGGTTATTTCAGTATTGACCTTGCAAATGGTGTCCATGCGGAAATGACTACCACAAATCACTCTGCCTTGTACCGCTTCCAATTCAACAATGCTTCTGCTACTCTCAGTCCAGTCATTCTGGTTGACCTGATGGATCTGCCTCAATCACGAACAAACGGCTCAGCCTCGGTTGACCCTTCCACTGGACGGCTCACCGGAAATGGTACATTTAGCCCAAGCTTCGGAATTGGCAGTTATGATGCGCACTTCTGCGTCGATTTCAAGGGCGCTGAGCTCCGTGATACGGGTGTCTGGACTCAGAATCGTGCGGCCACGGATCCGAAAAGTGTCTCGATGGACCCATCAGGCACTGTATCAGCATCCAGTAATTCCGCCGGAACATTTGCCCGGTTCCACACGCCCAATAACAACTCCATAATGGCGCGCGTTGGTATAAGCTTCATGAGCGTGGACAAGGCCTGCCACAATGCAGAGACAGAGCAGCCCGACTTTGACTTCGAAGACACCGTCTCTACAGCTGAGGATGCATGGAGACGAAAACTGGACGTGATTTCCGTCGACGCCGATGGGGTCTCCCAGGAACTTCAAACGGTCTTCTGGAGTGGCGCGTACAGGACCATGATCAGCCCACAGGACTATACTGGAGAGAACCCGCTCTGGCAGAGTGATGAACCATATTATGATAGCTTCTACTGGTAAGCATACGGCCAGAGACGTCAAAGCACCCCGTTCTAGGAGACTAGTCTAACGTTAATAACATGTAGCATATGGGATTCTTACCGCAGCATTCACCCATTGCTGACCTTGATAGACCCCGTCTCACAATCTCGCATGGTCCGGAGTTTACTCGAGATATATCGCCATGAAGGATTTCTTCCCGACTGTCGCATGTCGCTCTGCAAGGGATACACTCAAGGCGGCTCGAACGCCGATGTGGTGATTGCGGACGCATTTTTGAAGAAGGTCGTCGATATCGACTGGGAAACAGCGTACGAGGCGGTTGTGAAAGACGCTGAAATCGAGCCGACCGATTGGGATGTCGAGGGCCGCGGTGGGCTCAGAAGCTGGAAGAAGCTTGGCTTTATCCCAGAGGATGACTATGATCCAGACGGGACAGGCACGCACACCCGCAGTGTGTCGAGGACCGTTGAGTATGCGTACAATGACTTCTGTGTTGCTGAAATGGCAAAGCACATGGGACACCCCGAGGACCATAAGAAGTACATTGAACGCGCTTCCAACTGGAGGAATTTGCTGAAGAAAGATCAGCGGTCGGCCATTAATGGCACAGACACCGGATTTGTTGGATTTTTGGAGCCTCGTTATTTGAACCTGACCTGGGCGCTTCGAGATCCTATCTTTTGCTCTCCCCTCATAGGTCATGAATCGTGTTACCTTGACCCTAACGGAGGGCCTACATATGAAGGGAGTTCCTGGCTATACACCACGTAAGTCCCCGAGCCCCTTTCGGACAGGCTGACGCGAGTACTTGGCCTTTCGCCCTGCTCAGCTGGCTCACACACCTCCAGTCCTTAGTGTAACAGGAATGGTACTAACAGGGAGTAGTTACGTTCCTCAAGATATGGCGTCCTTGATCGCCAATCTTGGTGGTCCCGAGAACTTTACGTCCCGACTGGATCTATTGCATGAGGCCAGTATCCTCGATATCGGCGATGAACAGGCCTTCCTGCCTGTCTTCCAGTATCATTATGCAGGACGGCCTTCCTTGTCAACCAAGCGCGCGCACTACTACATCCCATCGCGATTCAATACCAGCTTCGCCGGCCTCCCGGGTAACGACGACAGCGGAGCGATGGGCTCGTTTGCTGTTTTGGCAATGATGGGACTTTGGCCTGTTCCCGGCCAGGATGTCTACCTCATCAGCGCTCCTTTTTTCAAAGAAGTCAGCCTCCGCAACAGCATCACCGGCAACGTTGCCACTATCCGCAATAAGAACTTCGATCCGGACTACAAGTCCATCTACATCCAAAGTGCCAAGCGGGACGGCAAGCACTGGTCGCAGAACTGGCTTCCCCACGACTTCTTTATGGAGGGTGGTGTGCTCGAGCTCGAGTTGGGTGAGAAGGAGAGCAACTGGGGGACAAGGATTCAAGATCTTCCACCCAGTATGAGCCATTACCAGCAGCAGCAGCAGTAGTAGTAGTAGCCCATTGTGTTGGTTAGTTGCATCGTGTTATTTGACGCCTGTTGAAAAACATATTGCGATATGCTCAAGAGGCTAGAATGAGACGATAGAAGCCCGCGAATAACGATAGACTATGGTCGGTTAGGAAGGAGCGTGTGCAAGAAGATGGTATCTAGGGCCAGAAATTGATTCTTGTGTCTAGAGAACTAGTATCTAGTGGGCGGATGTCTCTGAGACTATATAAGGGGCAAAGAAAAAGCAAATAGATGATCTATCAAAGGGTCGATGTGATATATCACCAGGTGCCTCCACTTCGTCCCTCGTCTCTTAACCAAGATTTTGTAACAAGGTTCTTTTGTGTTTCCTTATCAAGGTTGCCTTGTATCCTCATTCCGTGGTTTTGTGATGGGCTCAGCTAGCAGTCTACGGAAAAAGAATCAAAACTAAACTAGATAGCATTCAACGAGAGTCTCAACTATGGAGAGGTAAGCAGGGAAGAGGAAGAATAGCAGGTAGAAGAAGAATGTTTATACCCGTAGCTACAACCTCGCTTAATAGCCAAGCAAAGGAAACTTGAAAGCAGCCAACAGGTATAAATACGTAAAACAGTAAGACAGCAGACAATGGCAGCAGCACCCTGGCAAATTCACGGTGTAAAGTGTTGGAATTTATCCGCATTGAGGAATACTTAATACACGGATTGATCGATTTACTGGCTCTTATAAATGGCTGTGGCATTGCCAAGAAACGTGTTGAATGCCTCTTCGCCGATAATCGGGGAGATCGAGTTGGGGAGATCCTGACCCTGGCTGTTACGGTCGTTTATGGTCTTGGCTTTTGTCTTTTCAACCCAGTCCTGGGCAGCGTTGAACTCACTGTCTGCCGTACTCTTGTCCCCGTCATCGAGCGCGTCAAGCATAGCGATCAAGTGCTGGCAGGCGTTCGCCCACTGCATGGCAACGGTCGACCAGGGTGCCACATCCGAGGCGAAGTCCTTCATAGCCATACGGGGAAGGAGGTCGGGGAGCGTGGTGAGGAGTGAGAGGCGGCTACGCAGCGCCAAGGTGCCATCTTTCTTATCTTGGTCGTGGCCGGTACCTTTTCCACTATCAAGAGTAGAAGACGGAGGAGCGCTGCGGACGTCCCAAAAAGCGGCAATGTCCTCGTTAAGCTGGGGCGAATGAATCTCAGGGGTGCGGTATGGCCAGTTTTGGTTTAGGTCGGCGAACGCCACGACTGCGTCGTGGACGAGTTGGTCACTACCCGCAAGCTCCCATAGGACTGCAGCCATCGACTCGTTGGCGTTGTACGCTGGCCCGTTCCACGTGTAGTCGCCGTAGTTGGCAAGCGCGGGCATGGAGGCATACGGCTGCTCCATCGGATTGGAGGTGAAGCCAAGGAGGTGCTGGTACAGGTCGGGGGCACGACCGGTAAGCGGGTTGAGGAACAGGCGTTCACGCATGCCGTCGTTGACAGGGAAATTGTCCCAGAAGTACAGATTGTCGGTGACATAGGTCGAACCAGCCTGTACGACGCTTGCGACGGTTACCTGGGCACTGAAGACTCCTTCACCAGTCCAATGAATACGAATCTTTTTGTCCAGCCTGGTGCCAAACTCTTCTTTGTAAGGGTCCGGCTCGCTGCCAGCATAGTTGGTTGGGACGGTTTCAAGGTTTTTGAAACCGTTCGGCTCGATGTACTCTTTCTGAACACGGTTTAGATAGTAGGCCTGCGAGTCGGCAAACCCCTGCCATTTTCCCGCGTTGTTCCACTTCTGCTTGTCCGATTCGCAGTGGAACTCGAGAGGGATGTCATCGAGTGCAATGTAGAAGCTGCGGACACCGAGCTCGCGAATCTGGTTAAACTTGGTGATAGTAGCATTAAAGTCTGCGTCGGACGAGTAGCATAAGTCTAAGCCGGGCGAAAGAGCAAAGGTGAAGTCGACGTGGTTTGTATTGGCGGTGTCGATGAGCTCCTTGAGCTGGGAAAGAGCGGGGCCGCCATAAAGAGTGCGCCAATGGGCGCGAAGGAGGTCATCATCTTTAGGGGTGTAGATGTAGGTGTTGAGTTTGTGCTTGCCGTAGAAAACGTACTGGTCGAGACGCGCCTGGTGAGACCAGGGAACGCCGTAGAAGCCCTCGATCGAACCACGGATAGGCATGAGCGGCCAGTCACGCACCTGGACCCCTGGAACATGGTGACCATCAACAAGTTGGCGGAGAGTCTGTGAGGCGTAGAAAGTGCCGCGCCTGTCTACACCATTAAGGACAATGCTCGGCTGACTCTCATAATTGCCAGATGCCAGGACGTAGCCATCGGCGACGAGGTCATTCGCAGATTTGCCTGTGAGCGCCTTGGCAACGACAGCAGCAGCGCTGTTTTCTTCCTCGGTGCCAATGAGAATCTGCGCGCCATTGTCGGTGGGTTGGGACGAAAGGACCGCATTACCACCGGCGGAAGACACGGCTGCCTTGACTGTGTTTATCGTGGCAGGGTCCGTGGAATTGCCAGTCACGATCGTGACAGCACCGTTGAGCGAGACCCCCGAGCCAGACCACGAGATCTGCTGAGGAGGGGGCCACACCGCGCGGAGTAGATGGTGTTGACCCTTACCATCACGATCTGTGGGTGCAGCATTTACCGGCCCAAGGGTGACTGGCCCAAGTATGAGGGTGACAAAAAAAGCCCCGATCCACGTGATATGGTGGTAGAACATGGTGGCGTGAGGATACAATATCCATCGTCAAGGGCGAGGTATATATACATTATGATGCAGTTAGGTGGGATTCACAATACCAAGTGCTGTTGACAAGGTACAGCATGGTCGGTTACATTGTGATGAGGAGAAGCGTATTATGATCTGCGCCTAGAAGAGATAATAAAATCTGACCGTTGCACCAAAAGAAAAACGAGATTTCAAAGATTTGGGCCTCAAAGATACCGCTAGACTAAAAAACAGACCATGGTTGATTGAATCAGTTGTAACAAGAACTTCACCAAAGTCAACACAAGATCACTGTTAGGCTATAGTCAAAGTAATGTCATGGGAGCTCTGCCAGCTTAATGGAACATTAACTTATGTGTTCTACCTAGGTAGCTATCAATAGTGACATACAATTGATGAGCATGGAGTCAAAATGTTAATGTGATTCTATGCCTCATCACGTCAAGGCACAGTCCTCTTTGCTGGTGGCTGGTATATAAGGCCATAGTCAATCAACTTTGAATTGATTATGTTAAGCCAGTGTAACGGTTGGATTGAACTACCACTACTACTACATAACTATTCCTGATGGAGTTCAGCACTCGCCTAGCCTCATCTCCTTAACTTTAACTAATATGATTAGTAAACAAGCAGCGCATCTTCCCGACTGTAGTCAGAAATAGTGCCTAGTTTAACACCAAAAAGAAAGAAAAAAAGAAGCAAAGGTTGCACTGCTGGCGGGTTAATTCAACATTTCTGTATCTCAGCTTCAAGCGCGTCTCCATGGTCAGCAATCCCATAGACAGCAGCACCCTATCACCACCAAGCACCTGGATAATCCGCAAGAAGCAGCCAGAGATATACCAGGCCCTGTGAATAAGACGCGGGTATACCATTTCATCAAGAATCAATTACCAGAGGGCACTCACTGGGTGAGGTAGTTAGCGTACGTGGGAAACCTTGTGGTATATTTTTGGTAGTTAGGTTCAGGATCACGAGGAACAGGAAGAGGTAGGTGAGGGAGACATCTGCTGCAAAATAATCCATAATAATACATAATAACAAGCCCCGATTAGGATCTCGTAACATAGAGATGTACAATCCAGGCCACATAGGCCACCAACATGCAGTGATTATGGAGTGATTTGGGCCATGATAGACGTCAGTGTACTATAGATGATCTCAGCTAGTTTAGTTATATAGAAAAGTTAAAGATTAACTAGGTGTACAAACTATGGAATCTGCAAAATTGCGCCAACCTGAAGGACGGTTAAAGTGCGCTGACTGGCCCTCACTAGTACTGCAGTCAGGTAGACTTGTGATCTCTAATCATACGGACTAACAACTACATATAAAGAATGCCAAAAGAGAAGTTTATTGAGAGCACACCAATCCATGTACCACAATTATGCAGTTATGCACATTTTATCACTCTGAGATAGGGTCAAGTAAAAGCTGATGCCGGTCAAAATTAGAGTGTCATAAAAATAGGCAATTGATGTAAACAGTATTAGGGGACAGACTCTGATTGCCCCGATCTAAGAGTTGCCTATGTGTGAGATCGAACGACTGAAGACTAGGATGGGAATTAGGAATAGGCTTAATATAACTCAGTAAGGGAGGTGTGTACTGGTGCTGAAGAAGTAATTATACAAGCGACAAGCGATGACCGCTGCTGGGCTGGCAACAAACAATTGATGACTCTATCTAATATAGCACTCGAGCACCGCACTCAAGTGCTCGAGTGCTTTTTTTTATCTATATATTCGAAAAGACTGGCCATCACATATCATCCTTATAAACAATTATACGTTGTTTTGAGTGGGCAAGCGGGTTTGATTGGATAGAGAACTGGTAACAGCAGGTGCCGCATTGTTGAATAGGATGGGTGGCCTGTAACCTGGCATTGAGGCCTTGGCATGTGCTGTGATGAGATTCTAGTAAAAATACAGGTTTTCTTTGTTGTGTTGTTTATTGTCCGCCCTGAATTGGAGATTCGATATTTCTATCGCCACGGATCACCGTTGCCCACAACTTGGTGATGCTACCGTTGCTTCTTCTCCGCGCGCGGGGGTCGTGTTTTTATTTTTGCAGGTAACGCATCTACTCTCACAGGCGCACGAACCTTCTTTCTGCAAATACTGTTAGTAACAAACTTCACTGATCGGAGAAGGAAATGATTGCTCATATTTAAAACAGATAACCTGTTAGTACAGTGCGCGGACACTTGAGAATCTCAGTGACTGATTTGGATTTAACTAACAGATATCTTGGCCTTAATAATTTCAATCTATGTTAGATTGCAAACAATAATTAAACTTCTACAAGTAAACTGTTTTGGAGCTTGTAGGTGTCTCTGAGAAGTGTTCAGATTTAAGAGAAAAAAAATTCATTGGCTCACAGATCTGCTGATACAAAATCATCTTGGCTTGTCTTCAATAAACTTAAAGATCTTCATAACAGTTGAGCTCTGTGAGCAATTCATTGGTACAACAAACAATCAAATTCGTTAATACACCTTTGATGTTTCCAAGGCTCTCAGTAACTATAATTACAGTCCTACCCTGACTCTGAATTTTGGCAGCGCGCCCAAAATTGTCAATGACACTGCCAATGACCCAAGCTCTCAAAGTAGGTCTCGATGATCCATTACCTAGCAAATCTTTAACTTGACGTTTTTTTTTTTTTTTTTTTTTGCAGCGTGGCCTCTGGTGGCGTACAACAGACATATGAGCTCACAGACCGTTGGTTCACGCGGAAAGAGCAATCTGGCTTCGGATAAGACTGGGACCCAGCATTTTCTCCTGCGAGTCCATGGAGAGATGCCTCTCATACAGTTTGAGCATAATAAGAGCGTGTATAATCTTAATACTGACTTGGATATCTTCTGTAAAGGCTAAATTAGTTACCTTACCCCAGATCAGAGCCAGTCATGAATTATAAACATAAGTATCAACTTCCTAGGATCCCTGTCAAAACAACCTTTAATGGCTATTGAGATTAAGAAGGCTATCAGGAAAGATACTCATGTCTAGGTCACTTAGGCATATCTCCATATCTGACTAGACCATTACAGGAATAATCATAATTAACTCTAATGCGCCCAAGCTCTAATAGCTAAATAATCTAGGCAAACAGAATCTCTATAACACAACTATCACCCTTGAAAGTAACCAGCAAATAGAATGAGCTATTATATTTATGTATACTGGTTTCTGTTTGATCTTTCTTAATTGATGTAATATTACTAAGAAATAGCTTGCCCAGAATATCACGCCTGGTATAAACTAGCACTTTGAAATTAATAGTCAGGAGTTCTATGTGAAAGGCTCTAAGCTTATTTTACCAGACACTTTTTAGCCACAAGTTACTAAGACTAAAATACAGCGAATTTTTAGTATTATAGTGACTAGTGTTGGATTGGGGCGGATCGGTTTCTATATTTTCAAACCGATCCGACTGAAATTCTAGGGAAAACCGACCCAATAAACCGATCCAACTGGAACCGATCCAGTCCAACACTAATGATAGGGGTAATAAAGGGAAATTTCGGACAGTTTGAAATAGGATAATAGCATACTACTTGATTAGGTACACACTGGGTTGGATAAAACCTAGGTGAAAAACGAAGTTATACCTGACTGAGCCCCTAGCCTCGTAGATTTGCAGTGACCTCGCGAGCCTTAATAATATATCTGGACTTTGAGCCAAGCCAAACATGATATCGCCAAAGACAAAAGGGAATGGGAACACATGCTAGGGAGAGAAAACTCGGAATAGATGATGCCCAATGTATCCCTAGCGCTTGATACATTGCGGGCGTGAACAAAGGGAACACAGCACCCAATATCGATCTTAAGACTGAACTAGCAGCCAGACTGGAGGCCGCAAAGACTGAATATGTGTCCACAAGGTAGTTGCTCATGCTGATGAAGATGTTGACCAAGCCAAATCCAAAGAGCGCCGACCCAATGCAACTGACAATAAAGTGGATGGATGGGTGATTTGTCCAGGAAAATGTGAATAACCCTATTGGAATGGCTATTGCACCTACTATTGCTGGCTGTAATCTTCTCGTGGTGTTATTGGTGTTTCCCGTACGTTCCTCGCCGCGGGCCGGGGGTTGGTGGTCATAGATCATGCAATAAGCAACTCCCAAAGACATCCCCAATAGAACGGCCAAGAACGGTAGAGATGCGATGCTGGCTTTCCATCCTCGCTGCTCACGGTAAACGACTGGAAATGCCGCGAAGAGCAAGTACAGGATACCATACACAATCGCAAGGTAGGTGGAAACTAGGATGACGACCGGTTCGAGGAATAGAAGACACCATGGCCTAATCAGGGCATCTTTGAGAAGTGTGGAATGTGACTTTCGGTTTTCTTGTGCCTTGCTTCGATACACTTTGCTCGTGAGTCTAGAAAGCGCATGGGCTCGCCGTTGTAGAAGAACAGGGGAATATGTCTCAGGAATCATCAGACTTCCTGTAATCCAAAGTACACCGGACATGATCGCAATGAATCCCTCTATCCACCTCCAGCTTTGGGTTTGTTCGATGAAGCTTCCAATTATTGGACCCAGCGTAGGGCCGAAGAATAGACTTGCCGTGAAGATACTCATAGCTGGGCCTCGCTCCTTGAGGGAGAAAATATCGGCCAGCACGCCACCGGTATTGACCAGTGATGAGGATCCGAACGCCCCCGCAAAGAACCGGCACACCAGAAGTGACTCTATGTTTTTAGAACATGCAGCTCCAACGCTGAAAGCAGTAAATGCTGCGAAAGTTGTAATGAATATAATCTGCCGACCCATAATTTCGCACAAGGAAGCCCAAACGAGTGGCCCAACCGCAAAGCAGACGACGAAAAGTGAGACACCCAGGTAGGCTGTGGGCGCCGAGACGTCATATTCCTCGATTAACTGGGGCACAGCGCTCGTGTACGCCGAAGATGCTAACGCCACCGATAGGGTAGATAGAGAAAGCAGAAAGGTAATGGCCCACTTTCTTGTTTTTGAGAAGGACTGGGGATCGGTGGGATCGTTCGCCACCCATTTCACCAGAAAAGGATCGGTCCCAGTTCCGGAGCCGTCGTATGACTGGCAGAGTATGTCGCAGTTAGCGGGCCTTCGGCTGAATATTCGTTGGCCTAAGGGCATGTTGGGGCGAGAGACTTTGGTTGTTCTGAATGATGCTATTTCTCAATAGACTTTGTTCACGTGAAAGAACTGTATGAAGATCATGTAGGCATAAGAACCAAGATATTCGGCCTTTTGTCGAGATTGCTGCCTGGTCTATATTCTATAGTGAGGACGTTGAACATGTGAAGAATTCTAGCCGAGTCTGAACCTTGTGAAATTATTGACCAAAACAAACGGAATTGAAGGAGCCGGATGGACTGATATTACTGATCGGCGACAGGTCTCACAATAAGGTTTGCTATCGTGTAAGGCCAAGGTCGTTGTGGAGTTGTTTTGGCGTTCTTCAGCCAAATAGTCCCATTCAAGCAGATGATCAGATAAGATAAACCAGGGTAGAGGACGGCACTAGCCGATGGGTTTAGTATACTGATGAAACCGTAGCATTGAACTATATACTTCAATTTCATATTTCAGACGCGAAAATTGAGTTGTATAACCTTACCAGACGATGCATAGTCGGCCTTCGTCCGATACATCATGGCCATCAAGTTATATAAAGGCCCAGCATCACGAATGCTGTGCTCAGAGACCAGCAATCATTCTTGCTATAAGACAAAAAACACTCGAACAACTTCAAACAAACATCTCCGTTGCTATTTACCATGGCCCCCTTCATTACGAGCGATCCAGCGAACATGGGGAACCCGAAGGCCGAGATCCCCTGGTATCTTGAGATTCTCGAACGAATCCCCCCATTGGCCCAACGGGTCTTGCAGGATTATGCTGGCTTGAAAGAAGACGAAGTTAAAGCACATGTTATGAAAATTGTATGTGATATTTTTACGAAGTCTGAATCCGACTAATTGTTTCAGCGTGAAAAAGCGTGGGCATCATCCCCATATCCATGCATCGGTTTGTTCCGTTTCCTCGACTTCTCGCTTCCCGACTCGCCCCGATATGCCGATGTCCTTGAACGCCTCAAAAGCGGCCAGCACTTGCTAGATTTCGGTTGCTGTTTCGGACATGATGTTCGTGCGCTTATCACTGATGGGGTGCCTGCTGAAAATATTTGTGGTGCGGAGCTCAACGCGACCTTCCTCGATCTTGGATATGACCTCTTCCGTGACCGAGACACGCTCAAGTCTTCGTTCTACACTGCAAACATCTTCGACGAGAATGACAAGTTGTGGAAGGAGCGTCCAGAAGGATTCGAGGTGATTCATGCTGGATCCTTCCTGCATCTTTTTACCTTGGAGGGTCAGAAAAAGGCAGTTCTCGCCCTGCTTAAGCTTCTCAAGAAGCAGAAGGGATCACTGATTGTCGGACGTCAGCATGGAAGCACAAAGGCCAAGGAGGTTCGCAACTATCTTTACAAGCCAACAAAAGAAAGCGCGGAGAATGGCCGTCTGGATACTTTCTTCAACCATGACTCAGAGAGTTTTACGCGCATGTGGGAGGAAATTGGCGAGGAGATGGGTCTGAAATTTGAGGTGAAAACCGAATGGGGCACGTGGGGTTCTGCAAACGGCATGGACCCAGCGTACTACAACCTCTGGTCATGGGAGGATAAGGATACGCTGCGGTTCAAGTTTTGGGTCGAATTGGTTTAGACCAGATTGGCGCCTTGCTGGTTGGATAGGCATTGACTAACATTTTGGTACACATGTTAGCCTTGAGATTAGCTAAATGTTTTTTTTTTTTCTTACACTCTTTTTTCCAGTATTGTAACTAGGCTTGTATGATCGGTGACTTCTCTGCGCCCTCAGAAAAATAAATATGCCTATCTCTTTGTATACACACCAGTGCTCACAACGTGATAATCTTTCCTGCCTCATGAGATGCTTATAAGGGATAAGACGTAGTACCTAGATATCTTTTGTAATGACGGAAAGTGCTAGGAAATATTCCAATATCTGATACTGCTACTGTGAATTGAGCCCACGGTCCTGTAGCCTGTGGAAAATACTTAAATAGGCCCGCACTTGCTTTGACTTTGGTACTTTTCAATGTTTAATCTTACTCTTCTAGGGTAAAAGAAGTTCTGCTATTGATCAATATGGATGTATGCATTTTGGGGAAGGTTTGATCAATGTATGTTTTTATTGATTTGTACCAGCAACTCAATGTTAAGAATAAAGCCGACTACCATTTCGTCAAGGCCTGTACCATGCAGTCTTGAATTTGTCAATTAAAGACAAAAGGGTTTGAGGGGCAATTTTGATGATACTTACCGTGCTGGTAGCTGCCATCGCGTATATTTGGGAACATGGAATATGGGTCAGGGAATATAAGTTACGGACTGAGTATAACCAGCTAGCAAGTCATCTTTCATGTCGAGAAGCTTGAGTATCAAAGTAAGATAGATGGAGATTCCTGCTGGCTAGCTGAATTATAAACAACAATTCCTCATGGATGGACCATAACAAGACGGGCTTAAGTCTGGAAGTACCCCGAAAGCTCGCGTGCCTTGAGCAAAAGGCTCCGGGCCCTCTCGCTAACAGTTTTCTGCTAACGTCGGTCAAATTTTGAAGCTCCCATATTTCTACTTAACCCTCTCAAGCTAGTTTAACGTCATCAAACAATCCCTTTAAATAGTGTGTAATTTGCATATAAGCTACTGTAATACCACTACGTCGCATTGGTCATTAGTGACGTTCTTCCATAGCATGTGCTATTGTCTAGCTTTACATAAAAATCAAATGGCTATCATAGCTTAGTAGCCTCAAACATAACTTCTACAGAGTTCACAGTGAAATTCATTACACACTATCTTACTTGAGGTCCAAAAGCCTGTCCTAATCTGGCAATACTATACTAGGCTAGGGTTATACGGGCAAATTCACTTATCGGGTTGTATTGAGAAGGCCAAAATCAAGGACAGAACTCTGGGTTGCTCAAGATCCGGACCGCCTGTTGCATATGTGGTGCAAGCCCTTCGCCCGTCGCATCGAGACTGGGAATTAATTTAGTTTCCGCCACAACAGTGCGAAAAGAAAGATTTGAGCATCGCGGACTTTGGAGCCGGACTCCAAGGCTTTACAGGACTTCAGTGATTTGTGCACAACACCTGCCGCTGTAGCTTGAGGCCTCCATTCCTGCTGGGTCCTGGGCAATTCCATCATGCAGACTGAGAATAAAGCTGTGACGTGATATTTTGAATGTCAACCACGCAGCCGCCCGTCTCTAAGCGTCTCCTCTTTCTCCTCCTTTGCATCCTCATTCAACCACGCAGCTGCCCGTCTCTACACATCTCCTTCTTCTCCTTCTTTGCATCCTCTTTCAATCATGCAGCCACCTGTCTCTACATGTCTTTTCCTCCTCCTTTGTATTCTTTTTTAATCACGCAGCCACTCGTCTCTACACGTCTCCTCCTTCTTCTTTATATCCTCTTCCAATCATGCAGCTGCCTGTCTCTACATATCTTCTTCTCTTTCTTCTTAATATTCTCTTTCAATCATATAGCCGCTTGTCTCTATATATCTTCTTTAAATATCATAAAACAAGCAAGCCCGGCACTCCTGACAGGGATATTTATACTTATACTCTTTATACTACCAGGAGACTAGTAATATCCCTGAAAAATCTCTAGCTCCCTAGCTACTTCTACTATCTCTAGTTATCTAGCTATTTATCTAGAGATCCTGTAGAGAGTTATCTCTTACTAAATAGATTTAGATGTATAAAGAAACTCTTATCCTGGATACTTAATCTAGAAAATATATATCTATAGGCTTATTCCAAGTGACTAAGAATGACTTATTAAATATTCTTATAGATCTAAGTTATAAATACTCAAGTTATTATTTTTGAACTAATCCTCTTTGTGAGATATCAAGATTATAAATATATTATTTAATCTTAATCCTGTCAAAATCATAAATATTTCTTATATTAAGTATTCTATACGACGGCAAGGGCTGGAAACCGCCCCCGTTGGCCCGCCGTTCTGCGTGGCCGCCTACCCAGCTGCAGCCTCCTCTTTTCGCCCCCGCCGATTCATGTGCACTGACACTGGCGCGGCCCCTTTTTTTGCGTCCCTGAATGACCGCGCACATCGGATTTTGCCGTTGACGCTCAGCCCAAGTTTCCCACGTGTTCATTATCACTCTCCTCAAATATGACTTCCACCAGAGTTACAACATTCGTAGTCCGTTCCCCCCAGAGGGTGAAATTTGCCAGTAACTGTAAAAGTAGGTAGAGTGATAAATTACATAGCGAAGCCCAGTTCGCCCTTTCAACCAAACGGCATATCTCAGCGTGGCACGAAAATATTTTAGTATGGTCACATTTAGAGTCGGTCTGTGGTTCTTCCTTGGCTCGATAGTTGGGACACTGATCAAGTCGCTCCAGTAAGTCGGCCCAAACTCTAGGTAATCTTTCTGGATGGAAAAGGTTTAAAATAATATTGGTAGGATTCCATCGCTTCGCAGACCCCTTCAATATTTGATTACCAATGCGGCATTGGCCACTACGGGGATAGTAAGCCGGAGAAGGGGTGGAGTAATCGCCAGAGTATACGAACTCGCAGTGTATCAGCAACAGCTAGGCTATCTTCTAAAGCTTTTGCACAACAACTGGCGGGTCCATCTCCAAGCTCTTCACTTCCTGTTCCCTATATGGCAGGTACTCGCAGGGATCGGCTCCTCTTCTGAGAAGCTCGTCCACTATTGCATGCTCCATTTCCAATGCAGCCATATATGCTGGTGACGAGCCAGAGGAGTCTTTGGCATTTGGATCAGCACCCGCGTTGAGTAGTTGCTGAACCACCGTCAAGTGCCCATTAGTCGCTGCCCTTATTAGGGGTGTTGCACCATACCAGTCTCTAGAGTCAATATCAGCCCCTCTGCTAAGTAATTCTTTAACTACGCCGTCACATCCCTCCCTTGCTGCGAGATTTAGCGGCGTGTTATAATCCCAGCGATGCTCTATATTAGCACCCTCGTCTAGTAATCTCCTGACTGTTGCGGTTTGTCCGTACCGCGCCGCCCATATCAAAGGCGTTGGATGCAGGCCATTTCCACACTCGATATAGGCACCAGCATTGAGTAACTGTTGGACGACTGAAGTGTGTCCATTCACTGCCGCCCATGAGATTGGAGCTCTGCCCCATTTGTGATCCATGTCCTCTAGTTTGGCACCTCGGTCGAGGAGCTCTTTCACAACTGCAGCATGACCTCCTTCTGCTGCAAAAGATAGTGGCGTTCGGTTGCGATAGTCTTTTGTCTCTATGTCAGCTCCGTTATCGAGTAGCCGGTTCATCATCTGAAGGTGTCCATTTTCGCAAGCGTGCGACAAAGGTGCTTGCTCGTGACAGTCTCTCCTGTCCTCTATATTGGCTCCGGCATCGAGAAGATGATTTATCACTCCAACCTGACAATGTCTAGCTGCCACTAAGAGTGGACTGTAATCGATGGAGTCCATGGCATTGACGTCGACTTCCTCTAGCATAGCCTGGACTGCTTTCTCTAACCCGAACATCACTGCGAGATGCAGGCCGGAGGACGAAACCCGCCACAAAGCCTGCGAATGTCGAAACTCTTGCCTCTGTAGCATTTGGAGTGAGGCATTAGCCTTGGCGTTGCAAGTCAGGAAAGGGATAACTTCCGGGCATGGCTTCAGAGCTTCGCGAGCATGGTGTCCCCAGTGACATGCGGAGTACTCGTAGAATTCATACATATTCAGCCGATCTAGGAGCTCGGAGTGATTTCGACAAATTCCGCTTCCAAACGTTTGGAAGGAGAGATAGGAGACACATGCCCTAGTAATCGCTGTTTCTGCGTCTGGGAACCAATCTTTCCGTGTTCTGGCGAAGTATTCCTGCGTGGTGTAATGGACTAAACGGATAGTGCCACTTTCCTCGTCAACTGTCACTAGTCCGGCGCAGACAGAAAGTATATCGGCCACTTGCGAGAGATTCTCTTCGTCAAAATCGGGTTGGCCAACTTCCACTGCCAAGGCATGCAGTAGTTCTGGGATAGCGAGCTGCCTCTTTGCACAAGTAATCCATGCTATAGTCTGTTCGGCCAGTTCCCGAGCACTCGGTACCTGCCCCTTGATTCTTTCCATGGCCCGGTTATAAGCGGAGTCGTACGCATTTGATCCTTGCGGGAGCTTTTTCAAAGCAATTCGAATAGCCTTTGGTGCCCTCATGCAAACCAGAGAATCTAGATGGAGTCGTGCTAGTAGGAACCTTGACAGATATTAGTACGTATTCAATGGATCGGGAGGGGACCTCCATACATTCCGTCCACAGCGGCCATAATTTCGGTCTTAATCTCTTCTTGCAACATTGGGTTGCTGACGACAAAGCCTGGCAGACGAGCCATATGGCTGTTCAGATAGTTACGGATATCCCCGTCTGTAGCTGATATTTCTTGTGAAGCGCATCCATCGAACCACTTCTTAATATCCGGTATAGGCCGCGAGGTTGCAAGGAAGCTTATAGCGGATTCGGTCTGAAGGCTGAATATGTTGGATAAAAACCTTGATAGTGTTCCATCAGCTGCTTCGCATTCGTCCAATGCGTCGACAACAATGAAGACTCTTGTATACATAGCGGCAGTCTCCAAGAGGCTCTTCGACAGTTCGTTAATTGATGGACGTGTGTTCTGACTTTGGTGGCTTGCGTAAAGTTCCTTAACGTGGGCTGGTAAAGAAGGCAAGCACTGACTCAATTGTTTTATAAGAGCTTCAAGAAGATCTTCAAGTTTCTGCTCATGTCTCCGATGGAAATTACAATAAATATACGCAATTCCGATAGATTCATCGTGAAGAAACCTTGCGCTGAGGTCGTCGATAACTGTCGCCGCCATTATTGTCTTTCCAACTCCAGGAATTCCGGGGCAGAACAAGGTTGTTGTATTGTTTGATCTCCACCAGTTCTGATACCCATTGGAGTTCAGAAACCACTGCCCGGTGCCTGGCTGTCGGCCTTTCAGGAAGTCACTATGTTGAGGACCGTAGTCAATGTCCGTGAGCCAACCTAGGATTTTGAGATGCTTGTCTTTTATGGACTTGGATCGTAGTACTTTCAGGCTGGCATCCATTCGGTCTACGTCGTCATCACTAAAAGAAACATCAGATACTTCAGGTCATTGAGATGCTGCTTAATAACTTACCAGCACCCAAAATTTCCTTCACGGGACGCTCTTCATTGACATCGCTTGGATGAACATATTCTAAAAGCTCTTTTGCACATGCCGCAGCCACAGAAGCAGCATATTCCTGCCAATCCTTGTTCTTTGTGGAATCAGCATAATCACATATTCCCCTGATCACGATACAAGGGATAGTATTCATTAGCCCCGCGGCTTCCATTTCCACGCATAGTACATTTCCACCGAGATTCTGGTCGACCAAGTCCCGAAGCTCGGCATCCTTGATAACTTGGTTACCCGACGCTATCAAACCATAATGCACGCGTATATCCTTTGGCTGGGCTTCAAATTGACTGGGCGTGTCTTTATCCGCGTCATGCTGGGTCAATAAAAGCTGCTGCCAACCTAAAAGAAAGAAAAGAAGGTCTAGCAACATTCTCCAGAGACGAGAAATTTGCCATTCCTGGCTCCCTGGACGAGACTTGATTGGAGAGACATTTCGCTCATCATGAAGTACCGGACAAGTGAATTCTTTCATGAGATTTGGCCATTTCTTTTCCATTTCTTTCAGATATTCAGGTATCCTTGAGCCGCTCAGCTGACTTCGAGTCTCCATTTTGGCTAAAGCTGTCAATAAAGCGTTTGGAGGGCTGTTCTGAGAGCCAATACGTCTAAAATTCCCACCCTGCTCTGTCTTGCCTAAGTCCCACTGAACTACCCCTGGATATTGGTCCACAGGGGCACCGATCACCACGTCCCCCAGCTTGGTCTTAGTGGGCAATCCACCGCCGATGCCAACCATTAGGCCAACCTTTATGGAGAGAAATGTGCGTATCATTTGAGTCGCAGATATTGCTGCTGAATTGTTACCGATTCTCCCTTTTGGTAAACAAGCGACAACGATGTTGTGTTTGCCGATGGACCCCAAAGTATACGTGTTGGGATCATTGGGCGGTTTGGGAAGGTCTGGGTGTATATGGTCTAACATAGCTGTAGCTGCAGTCTGCTCTTTGGGGAGCGCACAGATCCATCCCACAGTATAGTCACTGCATTGCAGCTGGCTCGAGAGAGGCTTTGGATCCTCCATTTCGCTGTCCATCTTACATGCGTGAACCCGATGATGATCAGTTAGGCGATAACATGCAAGGTCGAGTTAGGCTCCTAGTGACCAGTCTATATAGACCATCTAAGCACCCAGATAGCCTTATATACCGTGATTGCTGATCAAAGGGGAAGTGGAAAAGAAAAGAAAGGTCAAAACTGGCCCCTCATGCGTGAAATATCCCGCTTAAGCCGTCTACATTAGTGCGAAGTAGGAACCAATCACATGTAGGGACGTGCGCGCGCGCCAAATTTCAATCAAACGCCAGCGACTAGAAACTCGACAATAAATAGAAGAAAATACATTATTCCGTATGTATGCTTCAGAGCCTCATGCTCACCCACCGGGCCAGAGCCATTTTGATAGGGTGTCTGATGCCCCGTCCCAGCCCCCCGTAGTCAACCTCACATACATCTCATAACCAACCAGTTGAGAATGCCCTCTGATTATTTCGGAAATTAAATGGCAAAGCAGCAAACGTTGTCTCTAGATATCTCGAGTAGTTTGTTCGTTAGTAATCATTAACCCAAGATTCCATAGTGGACCTTTCGCGGTCTTTCCAAAACGGTTTATGTTTGCGAGCTAACTTGCGGACCACCTGTGACATCAATCAGAACTATACATGACATAGTGGAGGAAACACTGGAGGCTGAGGGGTGACTTCGTTCCCTACCCGGCGCATCTGTCAATTCATCTGCTTTCGATCTTTTCTGAGGTTGCTCTTTCGAAGACCAGCCGAAAAACCTTCCAGAACGTTTCCAACGAGCTTTCTCGTTTAATTCTAGGCAACCGTCTTCCATTTTCACCCGGTCGTAAATCCAAGGCCCAGTCAAGAAATATATGCGGAATGGCAATAGATAGCTTCCGAAATCTGATCGAGAACGGCAGTGGTGCCTTTACTATAATCTTTCTGGGGATACACAGACCCATCAAATTCTTCGAGTTTCTGCAGGTAATAGTCGGGTGTGTTCATTGTCTGCAAAAAGTTGCGCAACATCACTAGGAACTCTAAGCTGGTCCTCATTGAAGTCAGGCTCAGTGGGATCGGTATCGTACTGCTCATCGCTACTGTCCTCGGAACTATTTTCTCCAATCTGTGAATCATTGTCATATGACTCCGACCTCGCCTGTCGCCGAGAGCGGGCCATGTTGTGGTGAAATGGAGAGGTTTATTGAGGTGCGAGTGGAAGGGTCGGGGGCCAACGTACGTAACAACAGAAGCCATGTGATCATAAAAACCCTAAATGTATATATAACCTTGTGTGGGGGCATTGGGCCGTGTCACCCATGCAGGGGGGGAAGCCCTAAAGATCGAGTGTCTACACCAGGCCTTACATTGATTACATTTATAGCTTTGCCGTCAAATTTTATTCATAATATTTATATTCTATTCCTTCCCATCAGAGACGGGATAGTTTGAAAGCCTTTGATACTCAAGACAAAGTTCCCTATACAAAATTCCGGCCCGTCACTCAGCCTTGACTAGTACTACTCAATCTAACAATAATCACAAGTACAAGAGAAAGTAGATGACAGCGGAGATGAATATTATCATATAGACAATTAAAAAAACTGTCGTATCTATATAATGCAATGCATTGGTGGTGGAATTGTCGTGGTGCTCAATTCGGGGGAAATGATGTTGAGGTCCAATATAGCGTAAAATCCAGACTGGCTTTCCACCGCGTGCTAATTGCCATGTATCCGCAAACCATCCGTGGCCCTGTCCAAGAAAATACATTGTATAACACAGGAAAATAATACCTAGGCGCTAACTATTCTGTGTATCGGCCACCTATTATTGCCTGGTAGATTAGGCATCAATGACGTACATGACTACGATGTTCATTCATCCGCATTGTGGCAAATGGGATGCGCCGGGGCTAATGATCTCATAGCTTCATTAATCATGCCATTGTTCTCCCAATAATGCATTAATTCTCAGAGTGACCATATTTTCACCTTGCAGATTTGACACCAGGACTATCCCCACCAGGTTATCACCATGAAGCGCAGTATCAACGACACGGTCAAGGCGGACCATGTCACAATCCTAGCATGCCACAACCGCATCGTCTACGAAGGAGACAGGAAACAAAAAATCCGATTCCGGAACCTTTTTACCTGGGAGGTTGCTCGCACACTGGTCAGCAAAGAGCTGGTGCTGCTTCCGGCCATGGAAAAATACCTACCAGAGGGCGACCTTCTCGCTCGCCAAAACCGAGCAAATTACCACGCCGTGAGCAGGACACTCGACGTATCCAGCATGTGGTGATACTGACGATACATGCATCAAGGTCAAAGAGGAACTGAAGAGGTTTCAAAAGCTCGACCCGACCAGCCCTGACTTCCTCCCAAGCATCAACCAGTTGATAGGCTACCTGCAGCCACAGATCCGAGAGGAGGAGGCACATCAACTGCCCATGTTGGAAGGCGTCATTACCGATAAGGAAAGCAACGGACTGGCCAAGTCGTTTAGCCGGACCAAAATCTTTCTGCCAACGCGCGCTCATCCTGGCGCGCCCACTTCTCCGTTCTTCGAGACAGCCCACGGCCTCGTCACAGCACCGTTTGACCAATTTGGTGATTTGTTTCGCAAGTGGCCGCAACATGTTTAGGTGTATCTGGGTCTTACAATCAGAGATGAGGGGATATCATGTTCAAGATAGTGATCTACCGAGTCGGACTAATTCTCCGACCGATCATGCCGAGTCCTGCGGGCGATTAAATTGATCGCCTGTATGGTTTATTTGGCACATTACATAAATCTAATTATTCTAATTTTTAATTATTTCTGGACATTACTCCAGAGACAGTTTGCAATCCATCCTGGCTAGCAATAAGCACCACAGAAACGGAGCACAAACCTGTTGGTATTTTTGCAGACCCGTACATATCGAAACAGTTCGCGCAAAAGTACCGATCCCGTCCCGTTCAAATAAGGTTCGGCTATTTCCCTACGCCATGTGGGTCGGAACGTACAACCTTACGTACTCTATCTTGGGGAATCGGGCCCTAACTTTGATGCGTCCCTCATCGACACGTCTATTTCCAACAGATATAAAGCAACATCGACGAATTAGGTAGATAGTAGATCAACATGACACCAGGCCTTCAATATTGCCGCCTCTGCAAAGAAATCAAGCATTCAAATTCTTGAGATATTCGACAGTGTACTCATCCGGATCCCAAGTCAAATCTTGGTCTCCATCTCTGTAAGCTCCATTTCCACATATCTCTCCATGAGTTTTTTTTTTTTTTTTTTTTTCCTTTTTTTTATCGGGTTCTAAGAGACCAACTCTCTCTTTCCATCTATCGCAAATATTGTTGCGTGAACTGATCGGTTCGAAGAATCTTTGGTCAATCTTCCTCCAGTATATGGCGTCAAAAGCAAAATTGTTCCTGGCGGCGTACATGATCCAGAAGTCGCCACTCTCTCAGCTGTGTTGCTTTTGATTAAATAGCCGCTGCTTGCCTAGAAGTTCTCTCTCTTCACAATCAGTCATAGCCTCGAGAAAGAGTTGCAGTCGTTTCTCATATTCTATACACCAGTCATCAAGCCCTTTCGGCCAATATTCTGGCTTTTCGAGAATAAGCCACCAAGGCGGTGCATCAGTGAACTCAACTGGAGCGGCATATGTAAACTCCCAGTCCACCACCCCGGCAATTTTGAGGCCCGCATCCACGAGGACATTTCCAGGCCGAAAATCGTCACACTAGACCGGAAAGGGGGCCATTATCAGAGAATACCCACTGCGATCTGTGTGTTTGGTCTCGAACAATTTTCCGAAAGAGGAACCTAGCAACGAATTTGTGATAAATGGAGCCGGGATCGCATATTTATATGCGATAAGCCGCATGGCCGCGACCTCATTACGCACCTTTTCTTCAGGAAACATGGTAGCACCAGGCAAAGGGAACCGTATGATAGCATATCGGGTTCTTTCAAATTCCATGCGCAGAGCGAGATTGAAAGCACCAGTCAAACAAGGTGTTGAACTCTCATTCTTTGCCACTAGACCAAAAACACCAATTTGCGAGTGGTAAGGGCTTGAAACTATTGATATCCAACACAAGGTGTTAATCTGACGGCGTCACCAGCCTGGCAATGCTCGAGAAGAAGACGTCCAACCGCATTGAAAACAATTGGATCGAAAATGTGGTTTGGCCAGGCATCGGCGATCTTATCGCTGATTTCCCAGGCAGCGTCATCGTAGTGCATCCGTACTTCCATCTTGGCTGGATGTGAGATATGTAAATGGTAAGCTTATGGCAGTACAATGTCAGGACTTTCTGGTTTTCTAGATGAGAGGCATTATTGAACTGGGCAGAAAGGGGACCTACATCACGTCAGGTTCTCCAAGGATCTCAACGTGGTCGGCGAGCCGCACCCCTGAATTACCTTCAAATCGATGCCTCCTGACATAGAAGGTTCCCAAGTGCAAGAATAGCGGTCAAGAGCCATGGGCATCCCAGTCCAGCTAAACCGGTGAGGGCAGCTAAGCCACAGAGAACGGAAGACTCCCCACAACCAATGAATCACCCCCAGGGCCCTATAAGTTCTGTGGGTGATATGGGGTCGGGTTTCCGGGCGTAATCCTACCAGCCTACGTAGTAAATAAAAAGCAGCAAGAGAGGAGCACTATATTAGGAAGAGGAGCTGTTGGGGCTACGTAGAAAACCAGGTACAATGTATATAGATATAGAGAGATAGCCTTGTTATGCAGAATGTATAACTCACACTTCCCCTTGGTTTCTCTTCTTCAACCGACCCTGCCCAAATACCGCCTCTATCCTTCGATCGACACTGACCTCGACATTCTGGTCTTAGACATTAGCATCGCACATCATACACCGCGGCTATCTGGGAGGATAAACCCACGGGATTGTGTTTGAACAGCAACCATCCGCCAACGGTCAGCGCCATAACAGCCCCCAGAAACGGAAGATACCACCACCAGCTGGGGTTGTTTTCTAGGAGGTTGATGTTCATGCCGAAGACAGTCTTATGCGGGGATTAGTCAAATATATTCCATAGGAGGGAAGCCCAAAAGAACATACTGCAGCGAAGGTAGCGGGGAGAAAGATAAACTATCGTCTCGTATTAGTGAGCTGTCATAAAATATGCCATGCAACGTACTGTGATCCAACTCAGCCGTTTCATACTTATGGTTGTAGATGTCGACAGCCGGGCTTCGTTGATCGAAACAAGGTTGAACTCCTGGCAATGGTTGGTTTATCGATCATCTGATCACCGTCGTCGAAAGAAAAGAGTAACGTACGATTTGGATAAGATCCTGACATGCTTTATCCAACGAATCGATCCGCTGGCTAACATCCCCGAACAAGCAGTCTGTCGCTCCGTGCACCTGCTTCATGGCGTCGTCGCCTTCCTGCCGCCGGCAGTATTCATTCCCGAACTCTTTTACTTTAAGAACATGGTCCTGCAGGGTGACTCGGAGGTAATTGCACATATCTGTGTTTTGAAGGAGTTCGTCGAGGAGATCGCGGGATTCGCCCTTGCCGCGGAAGACGTTCCGCCGCTGTGAGCCAATTTTATTAGCGACCTGCTACGAGAACTGGGTTGCTGCTACTGACAAAAGTCTCCAGTGACTTCTTCTCCGACTCGGTCAGCTCAACCCATTTTTGATTGAGATAACGCAGGAAGTGAAGTAACAGGTCGATACCACCGACAGGCATCCAGACGTACGGCAGTGTGCTATAGTAGTCTGTTGACTGCCAGTACTCGGCGCTCTCTTCATCCGTCTGCCATCTTACTTTCCAGGCTATGCCAACTTGGTCGTGGCTCTCATTGGGGTTTTCCGGCTTGTGTCGATTGGGCATATATGAAAAGAGCGCATATTGAAATTCGGTTTCATCTTGGTGCCTTGATATATGGGTGGCCAGCTCGAACTGGGCCGGACTGACTCTTGGGATGGTGAAGATGCTATACCACGGTATGCAACTCCCGTGAAGTCTGGTGTTTTTTAGCATTAATCTATCTGCATCGATGGAAAACCCACATGTAGTGTCTTTTGTGGCCGCTGCTGTCGGTTCCCACCGCAAAGTCCTCCTCAGAAGCGATAAACTGAAGAGACAGCCCTTTGTTGTCCTTGGCGGCCAACACTGCGATATCAGATCGCTGGCGCCGGTACAACCTCCGCCACTCGGATAAGCTAACATCTTCCGGCGACGCGCCGTTCCCCAGAAGAATGTCAATGAGATGGTGTCGGTAGAGCTGGACAGCAAGACGTAGCGGGGTCGCGCCATCTCCATCCCGGATGTTGACATCTGCGCCGGCTTCCACAAAGTCCATTAACAAGTCCTGGGCGCCCGAGGAGATGGCGCTGTGCAGAGGTGTCCGTCGGAAGAAGTCTAGAGAATTGATGTCGTATCCCGTATCCAGCAGTCTCCTGATCAGATCTCTCCTGCCGACTTTGATCAGCTGTCGGAGCGTGATGTTGTCCTTATCTTCTAGTACTTTCACCATCCGATGCTGTCTCTGCTCTAGCGCCCACCACAATGGGGCGTGTCCATTGCTATCTTTGGCTTGAATCTGCTGCCCCTCGACGACGAGCTCCCTGTACAGGTAATCGAGGCCGAAATGTGCCGCGACATGCATGCCAGTGGCTGTAGGATAACGTTGGCTATATCCCACCGTGCCTGGCTCTGCAAAGATGCCTTGCAAGCACACAGATACCCTAGCAGCATCTACCAGTAAGTTAAGACCTGGCGGTTCCCCAAAATACCTGTGCCGTGCATGGAACCCCCAATTCTTGGCGGAGTATTGTAGAATGGATGTCGAGCTAGACGCCGCTCATACTCCCCGTCCGTGCCGCAAGCTCCCGCCGCAAATTCCTGGAGTGAAAGATAGTTGATACAGAGTCTAGCAATTCTAAAGTGGGCGTAGGACGCGTTACGCGTACACTTTCGTTTGATGTATTCTGCCGCTGTGTGGTGGGTGAAATCAAATATGCGTTTTTTCGGATTGATTGTGAGAAGCCCGAGACAGGCCGAGAGCATGTCGTCAACTTCAGGCAAGCTGTCTGAATCTAAGGCGGCGGCGCATCTGGGACCCACGGAGTCCATGGCCACGGCATGCTGGATTTCCGTCAATGTCAGAGGTCGTTGCGAGCAGACCAAAAGCGATAGAACCAGCTTGCCAGATGGCTTTCCTTTCACCGTCTTGTTCACTATTTGATGCAAGATGTCCCTGTAGAATCTGTTCATGGCAACCGACATAGGGAGTGCCTCCAGGAGGGCCGGGATAGCTCTAGTAGATCGACACGCGGCCAGTGTGTCCATCGAGCGCACGGCAAGAAGGAACCTGGGCTCTTAGCGCTGTCCCATTGGAGGAAGAGGTGACTTACATTCCACACGCCGCACTGCTAATGTCACTGATGATTTTCTGTTGAAGTGATGGTTTGACACGCAAGGGGAACGCTTTCAGTCTCCACCCCAGATATGTCTTGACATCTCCTTGGTCGGCGCGGATCTCGAGCGTTGGTGCATCGTAGAAATATCGTGTTATGTAGGGGACTGGACGCGAGGTGGCGAGTAGATTCACGTTATGTCGAGACCGCCAGACAGTTATCTCGGACAGGACTAGCTCCAGCCCTTGGTCCGAGAGCGGCAGTTCATCGAGCGCATCTGCGATGATAAACACCCTCGAAAACAAGCCCATCACACTATCCAAGGTCTTGAATATCTTCTCTAGACATGGACCGGCTCCACGGCGTTTTTGGTATCGGTAAATCGATCGAACTGCGTCGGGAACTGTTGGTCGACACAGCGCCAGTTGTTTCAACAGGCTCCGGAGGATATCGTGGATATTATATGTATGATCAAAGGACCGGCCATATATATATGCAATGCCTACATTCGCTTTCGCGAAATGATTCTGTAGATGATCAATTATAAGCGATGCAGCCATTGTCTTGCCGGCGCCGGGGATGCCAGAGCAAAAAAGAGTCTGCTTTTCGCCGTGCAACCAGTTCTGGACACCATTTGACGACAAAATCCATTGTCCTGTTCCTGGGCAATGATCACGCAAGGTCCCTTCTCGATGCCAATTATGGTCGATCGAACTCAGCCAGGCCATAATCGTGACGACATTGTCACGCGGTGCAAGGCGCCCGATCGCCCCGACACTCGACGCGGTCGACTCGCTCCAGCCATCATCTCGCGAGGACAACTGTTCATCGAACGATCGGAACGATCGTAGCCACGCCTGTAAATTGCCCTCCGCTCGTTGGCCATCGTCGAAAACCCCTAAGACATCGTAGTCCTCTCTGCTTTCATCTTCCTCCGATGTTTCCACGACCGTGCTTCGGTCCTCGTCGGATGACTCGAAGACATCGTAGTCTTCCCTGCTTTCATCTTCGTCGGATGTCTCAACGGCAGTGCTTTCATCGTCCCCGATCTGAACTGACTCGTGATACGGCAGCTCCGTTCTATTCGTCGTTGTTAGATTGACCGATCGACAAACCTAGTTCGAAGACTTACTTCTCTGGAGACCATTGAGAAGAATAGAGGTTCCCAGGAAGCGACGACGTTCCTCTACGGACCTGCTGTTTGAATCCGGGTACGCGAGCCGTTTGACGATGGCCCCTAGTTTTTGAGCCCCCCATTATCGGCCTCGAAGGTAGCGAATATCCAGCATAGACTGCTGCGAGAATGGTTGATAACGGGGGTAGATAAGTCGTTCTATCCCGAATAATGATACATGCTGCTAGGCACGCGAGCGCCTGGAAGGCGGAGCTCTTGCTCTTCCTCCGCAAGGCTGACACATTCCAAACAGTACCCGACTTGGATTAATGCATCTCACATATACGCATATTAGACCTAAACCAGCTAGTGCTGTCGAGCCTCTTGGCTCCGCCACCCTGGATGGGTTCCATGGCCGCCGAGGCTGAGTGACTGAAGCTTGACTGCTGTTCATCCTGGTAGCGGATTTCAATATCCAAAACATTATTACTTAGTGACGAAGAGCCATCGAGAACACTTATCAAAGATGAGTTGAACCTGGTTCTATACGCACGACTCTGGTTGATGGAGCTGTCGACTGCGCAGTAGATGTACGATGGATCACGAAATAGTCAGCAGTCGATAGACATCACAGGAGGGTTCTGCCACTGACTGGATTACTGAATATCTTTTCTTTGCGCACCTAGCAGACCTTGATTAGACTTTGGTTCTCCCTCGAGTGACAGCCTTGTCACGAACAGAAAACTAGTAAAGATCTACGCAGTAAGCGGAGGAAGTTGGAATCCTTTGTTTGCTCCAAAGCGAGTCAGCACGACCAACTGGAACGCCTGATTCGTCTGTGCTGGCACTTGCTTAATTTCCTGTGCTTCTTTGTCCGACAAAATGGATTTTCTTACTTCTTCTATTCTTTTCTGTTCGCCGTACAACAATGACCCTGATCAGACGAAGGCGCTATTTCCTCCGATGGACGCGAAAGACGCGCTGGTTGCTGTTCGTCAGCCTTGCGCTCGCAGCATACGGCATCATCAAACATATCCCCGCCCCTCCAAAGACGAAAAACAATACGCGCGCAGATCGACCGCCTCCTGAGCATGATGTCGAAGATGTGCCTCGGTTTTTGTACCACTCGTCTTTTCGCGAGGATCCAGATCTGGTCTACGAGGGGGAGCTGTCCGCAGCCCTACAGGCAGTAGAGCAGTCGGTGTCTTCTGCGCCTCCATACAGCAGAAGAGACAATGGAGAGCAGTCTATCTGGCAGATACTGCTAGGGAACAAGCCAAACCTCCAGCGAGGCGACGACTCTATTCGCCTGGAGCGCGCGAACCCAGACTGGGTCTACAACGTGAGCACCCCTCCCAGATCCTCTCATCAACCCAAGAGACTAAATAAACCACCAGCTCGTCACGAACACAGAAGCAACAGAATTCATCACCACCCTCTCACGCACAATCCCCAACCTCCACGAAATCTACCACGCCTACCCGCGCGAGGTCCTCCGCGCCGACCTCCTCCGCTACCTCCTCCTCTGGTACCACGGCGGCTTCTACGCCGACATGGACGTCTTCCCCGCGCGGTCCATCAACGCCTGCCCCTCCCTACAGCCTTTCCTAGACCCTCCCAGCAGCAACAACAACATCTCGCTCATCGTCGGCATCGAGATCGACGAGCCCTACGCCTCTCCCCAACTCATGCGCAACTGGCACTGGAGCCGCAGCTACGGCTTCACCCAGTACGCCATGTACGCGCCGCAGCGATTCAGCCCGCTCTTACGGCGTGTTATCGTGCGCGCCCTGGCGCATGCCAGACGGCAGAACGAGCGGCACCGCTGGGGGCTACGGTCATTGTTCTGGGCGCCGTCTTACGACGAGAAAGTCGTTTTGGAAGCTACTGGCCCGGGGGTATTCACTGATGCGGTGTTGGACGGGCTCTCTGAGACGTTGGATCCACAGCATTGGCTGGTTAGGCAGTCTGTTGAGGCTGACGAACGTATTGGCGATCTGGATAGTGAGCAGGTGTCGTGGGCGCCGTTTCATCGTATCACTCAGCAGGTCTGCGTTGATGCGGATGAGGCCCGCGAGGGGGATATGGGGGGCTTTTGTGTGCTGCCTGTTAACGTGTGGGGGAATGGCCAGCGGCATAGTGGTGCGGAGGGATTCAGTAGTGCCCATGCTTGCTTAAACCATCGGTTTGGGAGGACGTGGAAGAAGGGGTGGTGGGAGTATCTGGTGGGGTAGATAAGTATTATCGTGCGTTTCATTGATTGAATGTATGTATTCCTAGCTCTAGACCTAGCACAGTGTTCATTCCTATCACTATCCACCATTCACCAAAACTGGAACCCATCCATCAATCAATCAATAACACTGACACCCCTCCTTCGGGGGATCCTGGCACCTAGCCTTATCGGCTCCACAATCTCCACAGAAGAAGCACCCATCAGGCGCATAGCAATTCCCTTCGCCGATGGTGCACAGTCCGTGGTGACCCACGCACTCGGTGCACTTCAGAGTCTCGAGCGTGTCTCTCTTCTACACGTAATGCATATTAGCTTCGTGTACTCCACAAGATGTGGGAATGGAGTGTGTTGGTGGATTCGCTCAACGTACGCTGGTCATGAGAGCCTATAGCGTTACAGCCTCTGTCAGTATACTATCCAAGGTACTGACCCTAGCTAAGAGCGTGAGGAGAAAGGGGTAACACACCACTTCACCGTGGAACGTCACTCCATTTTCAGTGAAGGAACCAATTTGGAACCGGTTGGTATCGGGAGCTGCCTCTGCGAGGACGACGGCGGATGAAACGCTGCAGGCGACAAAGGCCGCGACTTGCAAGAAGACCTTCATTGTCGATTTCTGTTCTTTGGTTTGGTGGTTGTGGACTGACACGCGGTGGTAATGGCAATGAGAAAGAAAACTGTTCGTGTCTTGTCTGTACACTTCAATTGCAACTTACAACCGACCACCGGGCCCCATTTTATACCCTTCTATCTGTCTACCTCAATCATGGATTCTTACCCCCCCCCCCCCCCAAGCAACCACCCATCTCCCTGACCGCTATACACCCTTGACGATTCATGCCCACCCCCCATCCCACTCGTGTTTGCTTCACCCTGACGCAATGGCTTTTCTAGTCAGAGGCGCGTGCGGATGGCTGGGTGGTTGTGAGGCACCAGTAGGTATCCACGTAGCAAGCGAAGCACTTGCATGGTAGGCTCTTGGGAGCGCCAGGATGGACCGATTGCGTAACAGGAACCGGGACCGGCCCTGTTCGGGTTCATGGGAGGATGGGAATAGGGTGGTGTGGGTATTGTATGTGAGTGGTGTTTGGTTGTTTGGTTTGAGGGGGGTTTGTTGTGGTGAGCGTGCGACAAAAGAAACGTAGACGCTATTGATTGTGGCGGTTGGTGGAGGATTCGCTCATGCAGGAGACGATGTGTGATTGCTTTGCGGCTCATCGTGGGGATGATCGGCTCGTATAAGGAGTTGGGGGGATGCCGGGTGTTGCTCGCTTTGGTTGCACTGCGTGCTCATAAAAAATATTCCTGTTGTGGATTCCAATAGAAGAGTGATGTATCAGATTCGTTATCATTCATTGATGCCATCTCATTAAATACAGTAACACTAAACATGCATGTCATTCCGCTACCAGATACCACTTTTCATATCCTTGCCCATCATCGACGCTGGACGGGCTTACCGCCCAAGACGGATCACACCCGCCGCCATCAGCTTCTGGATCTGAGTCCGCACTTGCGAGTTCTTCATGTGCTCCTGGAGGGCAGCCGGGTCGGTCTTGGCCTGCTGGAGGATGCTCTGCATGACGGGGTCTTGCAGGATGGCCATGATCTGCGACAACATTAGTCTATATCCATAGATACTGAAACCAAGGTACTTACGTCAGGATCATTTTGGATCCGCTCCATGGTCTGCTGCTCGGTCTCGCCGGCGCGCGCGCTGAACTGTCCGTCCAGGCACTTCTGCTGCTGCTGCTCAATCTCCCGAGCGTGCTTGCCGTCGTCGTGCTCCGACGCCTCGGTGCACGCATCCAGGGCCTTGTTGTACTCGTGCATCGCCACCAGTGCCTGCGACTTGCGCACGTAAGCACGGATGAACTTGGGGTCGCGGGCCGTGGCCTCATCGCAGTCCGCCACCGCTTGCGGGAACGCCATCAGCTTGATCAGCGCCGCGGCGCGGTTGGAGAACCCGCGGGGGTCCTGCGGGGCGCGCTTGGTCATCTCCGTGAACGCGTCGACGGCACCGGGCCAGTCGGCCTCCTGGAACTTCTTCTGGCCCAGCTCGCGGGCCTTCTCGGCCTCGGCGGGGTCGATGTAGGCCTCCTTCTCGGCCTTGGCCTTGTTCTTCTCGGCGCTGCGGAGCTTGTTCAGGATATCGGGGGTGCGGTGCTCGGTCAGCGACTTGTTGTAGTACTCGATGGCCTGAGCGAGGTCGCCCAGCTTCTCGTACGCCGTGCCGATGCGGCCAAACGCCTTGGCCATCGTCTTGAAGTCGGCGCGGACCTCACGGCCCTCCTCGATCGCGTTCTTGCAGGTCTCGATGGCGCCCTGGTAGTCGCCCTTCTCGAACTTGGCGGCAGCCGTGTTGTTCAGGTAAGTGATGTCCTTGTGCAGCTCCCAGGCCTTGGTGTAGTGTTCGATGGCCTCGTCGAACTGGCGCTTCTTGTAGAAATCGTTGCCAATCTTCTTCTCCGCGTCTCCGGCCTCCTGGGCCTTCTTCTTGGCCAGCGCCTCCTCATCCTCCGGCTCGGGCTCGGGCTGGGGTTCGGGCTCCTTCTTCTGGGGGCGAGCGTCGGGCATCGGGGCGTCTTCCTCCGCCTCGGGCTTCGCGCCGCCCGCCGACTCCGGCGGAGCACCGAAGCTCATGTCGATACCCAGCAGAACGCTCATCACCTGCAGGAAACGCGGGTCCTGGATCTCGGCACCAACACTCTGGGGGTCCTGCTGCACACGCTTCAACTTGGCCATGAACTCACCGTCCGCGAGCAGAGCGGAGGTCTTGGGGTTGCTGGCGAGTTTCTGGAACAGCTGGGGGTCGTTGAAGATGCCACCCAGACCCATGGGGTCGGCGGGGGCGCCATCGGCCTGGGCCTCGGCCTCAATGGCCCGCTTGACGGCATTGAAGCCGGACTTGGCCTGGTCGTTACCGGGTTCGATCTTCAGGGCTTCTTCGTAGGCATCGTGGGCAGCCACTAAATGATATTAGAGAAATGACCATTTGAAACAATCTCTTCAAGTGACCTACAGAGGTCTCCAAGACCACGGAAGGCGGCACCCTTTCGGGCCCAACCCTTGGACCAATCGGGCTTGATCTCGGTCGCCTTGTTGGCATCCTCAAGCGCCTTCTCGTACTGCGACTGAGCAGCAAAGACTGCCGACCGGTTGGAATAGAGGATCTGATTCTCGGGCTCAATCTGGATGGCCTGGGTGAATTTCTCACTGCACCATTATCAGCACAAGTGGGGTAACGGAGCTCTCAGGATATACCTACACCGCAGTAGCGTAATCCTTGGCAGAGAAGGCTTTGTTGCCCTCGGCTTTGAGAGCGTCGGCCATGATAGAAGTAAAAACCGTGGAATGTACAGAGTAGGGGAGATGGTGGGTGTGGGTGAGAACTGGGGAAGGGAGAAAGAGAGAAAAGCGGGAGTGAATGATGGAAGCGAATGGATCGATCATTCGTCACTTATCGGAGCTTCGAGAAATTTCGGGGAGCCTTGGTGCCTGAGGCAGTAATCAGAGTTATTGTGCGCTATCCCGTTCTCGGACTAGCGTCGCGCTAACCCAAAAGAATCATCCGAAAAGAAACGTCTTTTTATCTTTCTTACTCACTGTGTTCCCTCCATACTTGAATCTTCTTGCTCTCAGGACAATCGTGTGCGATGCGTCTCTGAACATGCTACCTCCTCCACCTTAACTGCGATAGACGACTCCCTTCCTTCTCGGCTTTTCCGACGTCAAAATGGCCAGCAACTCGGTCCCCGAGCTGGCGTCGAAGATCTACGATATCTGCGTCAGCAATTACCCCTCGGACCATCTGTTCTACCAGCAGGACCTGTTGGGTCTGGGGATTGTTCCCAAGAATGAGATCCCACTGCTGCTGCAGTGTACCCAGTCGCTGGTCGATCAGAAACTGTTCCGACTGCTGCAGGGTAAAAATGACCGGTTAGCGTGGAAGGTCATCTCGCGTGAGGATGCGGAAAAGTAGGCGTGCCCTATCTTCATCTTGTCCGGTGTGGGGAGACTAATGTGATGCAATCAGGCTCCAGAACCTCTCCCCCGACGAAAGTCTAGTCTACAATGTCATCCACTCAACCGGCCGCACCGGCATCTGGGTGCGCGCCATCCAGAACCGCACCAACCTGCACAAGTCCATCCTCGACCGCTGTCTGAAGTCGCTCGAAGGCAAAAACTACATCAAAAGCGTCCACAATGTCAAACACTCCAGTCGGAAGACCTACATGCTCGCGGGGCTCGCCCCCAGCGAAGACATCACGGGCGGCGCGTGGTTCACCGACGGCATGTTGGACGAGAACTTCATCAACTCCGTCGCCGGCTTCATCGAGTACACCGTCAGCCGCAAGAGCTGGTACGAGATGCCCTCCGCCGACGGCGGTCCCCGCAGCAAGCGCATCAAGACGGCCGACGGAACTGCCTCGGCCAGACAAGAGCCCGGCCCCAAGGAATACCTGCCTTTCCCCGCGGGCTACCAAGGCTACCCCAGCGTCGAGATGATCACCGCCGCCGTCAACGAAAGCGGCATCACACCCGTCCGACTGGGCGAAGAGAGCATCACCCAGCTGCTGGAGATGCTCTGCTACGATAACAAGCTCGTCGCGCTGAACAACGGCGAGATCTACCGCTCTGTCCACAACCCCGAAGCCATCAAGCAGAAGACGGCCAAGAAGCCCACCACCGACGACACCGACGACCGGCTCGTCACCAACGGCATGACCGAGGCGCCCTGCGGTCAGTGTCCGGTCTTTAAACTCTGTGCACCCGGCGGCGCCGTCAGCCCTGAGAGCTGCGAGTATTTCGACCCGTGGTTGGAAAAGGCGTTGGGTTTTTAAACCTGGCTTTCTTTCTATTCCTCTTTTTTTTGGTTTATTTACGTGTACTGCCGGTGCACTGGCGCTGGGTTGATTTTGCTTTGCATAGCGATGGCGTTATTGTCGATTGGGATGGTCCCAGCGTGGTCCTGTTTTCTCAATACACGCGATGTATGAATACGAGAATCTTGCAGATAGGATAGCATCTAGGAGGATAAGACGCCTACCATCAAATAGGCAGTGTTGGATCAAACTACCTCGAAAATACAATCCCGAACATATTCCCTACCCACCAGTGCCGCTATTCATATCATCATATAGTATAAAACAAAGAAGAAAAACCAGGGTATACCAAATCAGCCCAATTTAGCCGCACACTGCGGACAATACCACTTCCCGACAGGCTCCCGCGTTAACCCCACGCACTTCCAGTGAAACCACTCAAACTCGCAGTCCTCGTTATCACAAGCTACCATGTCGCCGTGGCTGACGCTCCGGCAGGTACAGTAGACCTTTGTGTCCTCGTTGCCCTCATCTTCGTCGTCCTCGTCCTCGTCGCCCCGGCGGGGATCGCTCGCGATCTCGGACTCCGACATGTCGGCGCTGCTCAGCATGGAGTCATCTTCGTCTTCGTCGCCGCCTGCGGCTGACGGGGATTTCTTGGGTCCTGAGAGCTTGATGCGCCCGCTGGCGCTGGATGAGCGTTTGCTGGGCTTGCCTAGGCCGGATGATAACCGGACTTTCTTCACTTGCTGGTGTGGCGCGACTTTCTTCGTCAGTGCTTTCTTGGTCGTGGCTGCTGTGCGGGGGCCGACGCTGCCGGCGCGGCTTGTGGCTGGGGTGCCGCCTTTGGGTGTGCCGGGGCCGAGAGAAGATTGTCGGAGGTTGGAGGACGCCGCGGGAAGAGTGCCTAGGTTGAGCCTCCGGCGCTTGGTATCGACGGCGCCGGCGGAGGACTCGCGCTGGCGTTGTTGAAAGTGCGCTGTGGCGGCGGCGGGCGTGGCAGGCGCAGAACTGCGCGCGTGTGTGGGCGAGTTCAGGGCTGCTGGGCCGACGGAGCGGGCGAGGGACTGGTTCAATCGTTGTGTGGCGCCGATGATCACGTTGGCGTTGGCGGAGGTCGAGTTCAGTGGGGTGGAGTAGGTAGATTCGGAGGAGGCTTCGGGGAAGAAGATCTTCGGGGGTTCGCGGTATTCGTCTTTGTTGTTGAAGAGGGAAGGTAGAGGTGGGTCGTTGCTGAGGACGCCGTCGTTGACCAGATCGCGGATTTTGACATCCAGCTTTCGGATCTGTCGGTCCAGGAGAACGCAGGCCTTTTCACTCAGTTCGATCTTTTCGTCTTGCAGCTGCTGCGACTTGTCCAGGTTTTGTAGGATCGTCTTGCCGTACTGCTCTTCTTTCGGGTTGGGCGTCAGGCTGCCGTTGAGTTTGATGAATTTCTGGAGACTGGTATCACGCGAGTTGATCGTTGTGCGATAGTCTTGGATGGTCTTGTCTTTGGCCTGGATCTCCTCCATCAAATGGCTGATTTCGGCCGGTAAGTTCGCGACATCGTGGACAAACTGCTCCAGCACCGACGCGCAGTCCTCCGAGCCGTGCGACATTGTGTCTTTCAAATTTGCACCACAGACACTACAGCACTAATGCATTTGAATAAAGGGGTTTAACAGATAGTCCCTGATACCGAGTTGAAGGCAGCGATGAAAGCATCGAGTGGCGCAAGGGTGAATTGAAGCCGTGAAATGAAGCGATAGCGGTCTTTATCCGGAGTAATATTAATTCCGGCATGCGCCACACATTTGGAATCACACTAGCCACATACGGCTTAGCCACAGTCTTATCAAAGCGGGGCAGTTTGCCTGAGATCTCAGGCAACACGTTATTTTGTCGGCGTTGACGGCTAATGCAAATCAATGAAATGCTTGATGATTGTTCTAATGACTAGGTATAATATCTTTTATGTCATATCATGGGGCAATTTGCTTTATATGATTGGTAGTCAAAACTGCTTGTAGATCACCAGCCGGATATATATATAGTGTCCTACGCCTAATTTACCCGAATACGGACCCGACAGACCATCATATTGACTTCATCTTTCCTAGTGTTAACAGAACATGCCCTGAGTGTCAAACACCTCCAACGTTAAGCATAACAGAAAAATACCCATAGCAGAGGTACGTCCCCTGGTGAATGAAGCATGACGTCGACCAGCAATCCCTGGCAAACAATGCAAACACTACTATCTTTTTGGCGATCCCCCGCGCAGCCCGTTCGCGATTTCTTCGTCTTGACTCAATCGCCCCGCCTAGAAGCTATTTACTGACAATTTGACATAAATCGCGAAGCGCAGGATTTTTGAATTTTATTAATCTCTCCATCTCAGATATTCGGAGACAAATTGCGAAAATGGGCCAGGAAGGATCCCCTCCGCAGCCGGAGGGCGTTTCCTCGCTGCTTGATACTGATTTGTACAAGTTGACGATGCAATGCGCCGTTCTGAAATACTTTCCCGATGTCCGTAAGTACAGTCTGTGCTGAAAATATGGAGGGTGAGTTCTCACGACATGCAGATGTGACCTACGGCTTCACGAACCGCACCCCGGATATGCAGCTGTCCCGCGGGGCCTACAAATGGATTCTCCAGCAGATCGAACGTACGTGCAACTAATCGCGAGCGCATGCTATGAAAGCTCGGACTTACAATAATCGCTAGGTCTCGGCTCCATTCGAGTCACCCCCGACGAAATCGCTTTCCTCAAGAAACGATGCCCCTACTTCAACGACGGATACCTGGACTTTCTCTCCTCCTTCAAGTTGAAACCCTCGGAGCAACTCGTCGCCACATTCACCCCCGAGCAAGACACAGGCAGCGACAGCGACAAGGGAAGCGTGGAATACCTCGTCAAGGGGCTCTGGCTCGACACGATCCTCTACGAAATTCCGCTCCTGTCCCTGACCAGCCAGGCCTATTTCATGTTCATCGACAAGGACTGGGATTACAGTAACCAGGAGGACAAGGCCTTCCGCAAGGGCTGCACTTTGCTCGAGAACGATTGCGCTTTCTCCGAGTTCGGCACGCGACGACGTCGCGACTACCACACCCAGGATATCGTGATGACGGGCTTGCAACGCGCCGTAGAGGAGGGCAAGAAGAACGGCTGGTCGGGGGTGTTCACGGGCACGAGCAACGTGCACTTTGCTATGAAGTACGATGTCAACCCGGTCGGCACAGTAGCTCATGAGTGGTACATGGGTATTGCGGCCATCACAAACGACTACCGCAATGCCAACGAGATGGCGCTGCGATACTGGCTTGGATGTTTCGGCGAGGGGGTAAGATACTTTCACAACCTCGTCCACAACTCTTCCCCAGAAGTATATAGGAGACTGATAATTTCTTTAGGTCCTAGGAATCGCCCTAACAGACACCTTCGGCACCCCCAACTTCCTCGACGCCTTCCGCAAACCCGTCCCCGCCCCCCCCACAGACAGCGAGTCTTCCGTCCGCGACCCGAAGAAGACCTACGCAGACGTCTACACAGGCGTGCGCCAAGACTCCGGCGACCCAACACAATTCGTCAAAATGGTACGCGAGTTCTACCACCAACAGGGCATCCAGCAGCCCAAGACCATCGTCTTCTCCGACTCGCTGAACATCGAGCACTGTCTCGATTATAAGTCTATTTCCGAGGAGGCTGGCTTCAAGCCGACTTTTGGAGTAGGCACTTTCTTTACCAGTACGTTTTCTTTCCCCTCCTCTCCGATCGTAGGTTTGTCAAGACAGGCTAACCACGACTGCAGACGACTACATCAACACAGCCACCAACGAAAAGTCCAAACCCCTCAACATCGTCATCAAGATCGCGAGCGCAAACGGCCGTCCCGCAGTCAAGCTAAGCGACAACCTGGGCAAGAACACAGGCGACAAGTCGACTGTGCTGGAAGTCAAGAAGACCCTGGGCTATGTTGAGCAAACATGGGAGGCGGGCGACGAGGGCAATCGGTGGTCGAAGTAAACCTGCATGCCCATGTATAGATCAGTATGTAGGTTTATTTGTTTTATTTTGTTTAGAAGTAAGGGAGGGAGATCACTTTTCCCAAGATCGGCATGATGTTGAATTATAGAGCTTTTGGTTTCTTCATGAAGAATACTTGTATATCATACATCTGGTTTACTGTGTCAGGCTTGACATCTCCGTGCGAGAACACACTATTTATTTATTCATTTGTTTATCTACATCATGAATCGTTGCCCTAAGGTTCGGGCATACCCAATATCCACTGTTAGACGGACAACGTACCCATAGTCAACACTTCGTATTGGGAGAGTCCTTGTGGATGGGGATCCTACACTCCATAACTCGCTAGAGTCTACGGAAGAACGCCAACTCACTTCCTTACTACCGATCTTTATGTCTGAGTTGGGCTCTAGTATCTACTGGCGTGAAAAAGGGCAAGTGTGAAGCATAAATCCGGGGAGATCAGATTGTTTCAGTTCAATCTTAACTTATAGCATATTATTGACCTAAAACGAATGACCGAGTAGGTGCCATATATACCTGTTGTTAGACACACCCCTATATCCATCTAATATCCTATCCAATAAATTATATACACATCCAGATGTCATAACATATCATGCGTAACGTAAACGTATACCATAAAAATCAGCAAGAAAAACACGGTAAACAAGAAATGATCAACGCTGAAACGCTAGCTAGCTAAATCAATCAAAACATCTCATCCCCAGATAAACCGATCCCCAAGTCGCGGTCCAAGTCGCCTGTTATATCGCCGCTCGTGTTCTGAGAACGAGGATGAGCATGAGGTCGAGAACGAGGAGGATGGTGCACGTCCCAACTACCACTGCCAGCACCGGCGTTAGGAGGAACATAAGATTCCGCCTCGGGCGGGAAAACAAATACGTCATGCGCGAAGTCCTCGTCTGTTGTTCCTGAGAAATCGAGGCTGAGGTCTGTGTCGCGCAGTAGCTCCTCGGCCCAGTTGACGTCCATTTCGGGCCAGCTGGTGGGGTCCGGGTAGGGCTCGGGGCGTGGCTTGAGGAGGTCGCCTTGGGGGTAGGGTGTTGTAGAGGGGGGAGAGCGGTCGTGGAAGATGCTGTTGGTGAAGTGGGGGGTGAAGTGGTCTGGTGGGGGGCGTTGGTCTTGTTGTTTTGCGTGGGAGAGGGAGGGGGTGCGGTGGCGGGGGTTGGTTGGAGGGAGATTGTTGGGTTGTCGGGTGTAGGTTGTGGGATGCGGGTGAGATGGTTGTTGTGGTTGATTGTGCTGGCGGATGGAGCCGTCTTGGACTGCCCACTCGGGTGGTATTTGATCGTCTGATGGGGATGGGATAGTTTGGACGGTTGGTGCTAGGCTGTCTCTTCGCTTTTGTGGCTCGGATTGCCTATCATTGTACTGCATGATGCGGAGGAATGTACCCACGCTGCCAGTCTGAACCTTGACGGCCGCTTCCACGTTGGCCATCTCCATGTCTGCGGCGGGGTAGATTTCTTTCATACCCTGGAGGACTTGAATGCAGCGCTGAAAGTTGAAGATGCCGGCTTCGCGAACGCTCGGATTGTCCGACATGGTACTGGCTAAGTGTGCCACCGCCGCAGGGGTGATGACCGTGACGCCGGACTGGGGCAGGAAACGAGTCAGGTTGAGCCGGTTCAGACCCTGGATGATCTGTGTGATCCCGACAGCAGCGTCGTGCATCTTGGTCCGTGCCGTGTTCGCTAAATCGTGACGGGCTTTGTTGTCGTCTTTGGTTGGGGTGAAGGCCCAGGGCCGATGTAAGGCGCTGATTGTCGTGTGATACAGCATCCGGAGCATGGCGCCGTGGAGAAGTAAGACGTCTTCCCCATCCTCAGAGTTGGGTCGTGTAGCAGGAATGAACTGGGCATCCTTTGGGAGGGAATTGAGCCAGGACTCGAGCCGTTGGCTGCATCTGGCGAGCTCCGACTCTGATGCTTGTCGTGGGACAAGGGCTATTGTCGTCCGGTGGGTCATGCCGAACTGCCGCTGCGACGGCGAATATTGAGCGAAGAGCACCCGGCCAATGGACTGGCAGAGTTTGGTTTTCTCGATGAACATGGTGGCGAGACGCTTTTGATGCGACGAATCTTCCAACTGGCGGCAGTGGAATAGCTCGACCACAGCCGGGTGGTATGGCTCGAAGTCAAAGTCCTCCAGCCTCAGCAGGGGCACATTGCTCGTCCCCTCGTTGACCTGTGTCGGCCGCCTTAACCCCATGGCGATCAGACGATCGCGTGCGTATAAACTCCACCATAGCCGCACCCTCAACCGCTTGGTCTTCTGATCCATGTTTGGGGCGGAGCTGGGGTCTCGATTCAACCCGATAGAATGCGCTTGGATATTGCAAATCCCGATCCAGTCCCATATGTCTCGATTGGGGTGGTTCATAAGGTCGCACCAGTACGTCATCAGCAGCAGGGTCTGGAGGATCACGATCCGGTCGTCCTCGCAGTCTAAGGAATAGAGAAGCTAGTCAAGAGTTAGCTGGACCCCGAGCAGCTGTTTGAAAATACTAAACACCTACTCGTAACGGGGTATAGAAAGCATTGCGGGCTTGTTTCCTTGAGGAGTACCCCGCCGCCTGTAAGTGCTTAAGATCGATAAAAGCCGTCGCAACGAACATCACGGCCTGAAAAAGCAGCAGACTAATGTTGCCGTTGGGATCATTCTCAGCGACGCATCGCAAGAACTCCTGGAGATTGATGACCGGAATAAAGCTATGCACCCATTTGACATAACATCGCAACAGTTCATTGCGAAGCTCACTCTCAGGAATCGACAGCACGCCCCGAAATCGCAAGAACTCTAGGTCCTCAGCGGCGATGCGAGAGGGCAAGGGTTTGAGGAAGCGGGGTTCATCATCCAAAATAGCGACTAATGGATCGAAGTCCGGGTCGATGAGGTCCTGGACGGTTGACACCATGTTGGCCAGCGGCAACGACGGTGGAACGGCGCGGTCGCCCAGTGTCCTCCAGGCGCGCGAGGGTTTCGCATCATGAAGCCACGGGGCGTGAGCATTGTAGCCTAGAACCGCACTATTGCTAGGACTAGAAGTTCTTTTCGTCACCTGTTCTGTCTCATGGATCCCCGCGTCGTGCTTGCGCTTGGCAGTGATCATGCTGTCGGACGGCCTGTCAAGAGGCGCAGCATGTGTCAGAGACGATTATAGGTGACATAGACATCTACCGAAGATCGGAGTAGATAAATGATAGACGGAAAATAATGATCATGAAGAATCGTCATATCATCATGGAGCAACGATAGACGAGAATCGTTTCCCCCCGGCGCTAAAGAAGGCGGTGTTCGGGAGTATAAGACTATGTGGGGACTTTGGGAGTGATTTGCGGGGAGAAACAGCCAAAGATTGGCTGATCAATGGGATTGGTGCGTCAGTGTCCATCACGTTAGAAGGCGGAAAATTATATCGAAGATCCTGGGAATGTTGGCGGTTGGAATGAATTCTGGCTAAGATGAAGTTATACCAGTTGGCGATATATCCGAGCCTGCTAGTATACGCCTGAGGCAAATATAATACTATATCCATAGCATCATTATAGATATTTAGTATCCATTTATTTGAGTCATTCCGTTTGATATTTTTTACTATCGTAGAACCTATGGACATGACCGTTATCTTGATTATCAATTCTCTTTCTTTTTCTCTGCTTATACTGGATTTAACCTAACTCGCCTTCTCTTGTTGTCAAAAGCAGCATGTAGTTTATCCTAAATTCGACCTATCTGCCTAATGTCACTACCATCGAATCATTATAGTGGTCCGTCATATACCGGCAATGAACAGGGAGCTTCTGGATTCTCTCCTATGAAAGTATGTAACATCCCTAGCACTGCAGGTCTGCTTCGACAGTATATCGTTTATGCTGTGAATGACGAAAGACACGAATCCATTGTTATATCTATCAAACAGGAAGACAACATGCCATCACACCGTGTCCGCCAAGAATCCCATGAAAACAAAACTCAAACAATATAATACAGATCCATTAAGTCGGACTAAGTCAAACAGTACCGGTATGAACATAGGCCGACGCAGCCCCAATCATACCGGCAACTGTTGACTGCCATCCGACAATTCATATCACGCAACAACGGATGTATCAGGTATCGATTTACATACTGTTGACTATTGTTAGTCTCATGTCTCTGAAATGATGACGAGATGGCAAAATCGAGATATGTTGTCGATGGAGATGTGCGGATGCGGACTTACGGAGGAAGGAGGAGCTCGCCCAGGCTGCTGTGGAGGAAAGCAACGCCGGCCTATTTAGAGAATGTCAGAAATTGAACGTATAGCATTTATTTCATTTTTTTCTTTCTTTTCTTTTGCAAATAGAAAGGTCAAACAAGAGAGAAAAGGGAACATACACCGAAAACAAGGATGCTGCGGACAATGGTGGCGTGCTCGGGGTTCGTGACCTCGTCATAGGCGTTGCGGAAGAAGCCCTTCTGAGGGCGGCCGGAGACGATGCGCTGGTTGGGGGCCATGGTTGTGATGGAGAAATTGAGGTGTGAGCGCGTAGAAAGTTGATTGTTCAAAGGGTGGTTGATAGACACTGAGGCGAGGAGTTGGAAGTTGAAGCTCCCCGAGAAATCTTTCGCCGATGCCAAGATTGGCGGCTGCGCTTCTAGCTTTCCGCGCTTCCCGTACTGCCGGCGCCGCAGGTTCGCGATCCAGCGACAAGGAGCTGTTTCGCGATCAGGTTTCAGCGAACAAATCATATTTATTTACACTGCTCTGAGCGACGGGACTATCTAATTTTCTATTCAGTGTGGTCTGTGTCTTCTGTGGTGGTTGTTTCGAATCGTTGTCACCGCCCTAGCACCGCAATCATGACGAGTATAGATGAGCTTTTCAAAGTAAGTCTACCAATAAATTACTGTACGAATTGATACTGACGAGATAGAAACCGACGTCGACAGCAAGTACAAAGCGCAAAATAGATCCCACACAAGATCCGAGTACGTTCCATGCGCACCCCGTTCCCGACAACCACTGATCGCAACAGACGAACTCTACAAAGCGGCCAAGCTCGACGCCAACGGAGATGTCAAGTCGAAAGGAAAGGCACCGATGGTAGAGGATGAGGAAGAAGATGACGGCGAAGCAGGCCCTGAGCTACCTCCGGATTTTGAAGAGGATATCCCCGATGACGAGGAAGGGCGCTTTTTCGGTGGCGGCATGGAGCGACAAACGGCGGAGGCTATGCAATACATCGACCAGCAGGAGGAGACGGAGGGAGATGTCGAGGTTTGTAATCAAAACCACTCTTGCGGTGCATGGGCTGATTAGTATAGCCGGAGAAATTCGACGTCGCCTGGTTGCGGCGGTTTGCGCTGAACTTTGAGAGGAAGATCTCGAAGAACGCGGAGTTGCGGGGGAAACACGAGAATGATCCGCAGAAGTGAGTCCATTCAACTCGGTCAGGGTATTCTACCTCTGCTGACCAGTCCAGGTTCATGGCCTCTGAAGCCGATCTAGACACCGAGATCAAAGGATTGTCGATTCTCTCCGAACACCCAGAGCTTTACAGCGAATTCTGCAAGTTGGGATGTGTTAGCTCATTGATCTCCCTGCTGTCTCACGAGAACACCGATATTGCGATCGACGCGATCCAAATCATCAGTGAGTTGACGGACGAAGACGTCGAGGCGGAACAGGAACAATGGGATGTGCTGGTCAATGCAATGGTAGGTGGTCCGTCTTCGTGGTCGATATGAGATACTAATCAGTCTAGCTGGATGACGATCTTATCGAACTTCTCACACAGAACCTGTCGCGACTTGACGAGGGTTCTGATGTAGATCGAACAGGCGTATATTATATTCTCGGTGAGCAGCTCAGCCATGGCGTAAACTCAGAAGACATGCTAATATTCCCAGGTGTCATTGAGAACCTCGCCTCGCAGACCACGGTTGCGGAGAAATTGGGGCAGGACAAGAATTTTCTCCCGTGGCTCGTTGGGCGAATCCAAAAGAAAGAAAGGCCCGTCAGCCAAAACCAGCAGTACTCCGCGGAAGTATTGGCGATCCTACTCCAGTCATCCGCGAAGAACATAGAGGCTTTCATTGGCCTTGATGGAGTGGACGCACTCCTGCAATTGCTCAGTCAGTATCGCAAACGCGATCCCGAGAAGGACTCCGACGAGGAGGAGTATGTCGAGAACCTCTTCGACTGCTTAATCTGCCTGGTAGACAATAACTCGGGCAAGGAGAAGTTCTTAGAAGGCGAGGGTGTCGAGCTTGCACAGATCATGCTGAAGGAAGGAAAGTTCAGCAAACAACGTGCGTTACGAGTCCTCGATCATGCCCTCGGCGGTCTCGGCGGTGCTCCCGCTTGCGAGCGACTGGTTGAGGTAGCTGGGTTAAGGACGGTGTTCGGAATGTTTATGAAGAAGGTGAGCTCACACGAACCGACTTTCATCACTTTGGCTAACCTCAAATAGCAAGAAAACCAGGCCATCGAGCATCTGCTGGGCATCTTTGCCTCCCTCTTACGTCTACTGCCCGGCGGCTCGGCACCTCGTATCCGCACTCTTGCTAAGTTCATGGAAAAGAACTACGAGAAGATCGAGAAGTTGATTAAATTACGGCGTGACTACTCTTCCAGAGTGTCCCCCGTGGAAGAGGCCATCGAAAAGGAACGCAAGACCTTCGATACGGTAGAGCAGGATATGATGGCTGCCGAATGGTTATCGCGCCGCTTTGATGCAGGCCTTTTCTCATTACAGGTACGCCCCCTCTACACCCCCCATCACCCTGCATAAACACCAGGACTGACGACTCTAGCTGATCGATGTCATCTTGGCGTGGTTGGTTGCTGAGGATGACGGTGCCAAGAAGAAGGTTGTGAGCCTTCTGGCGGACCGAGATGAAGACCTAACATTGGTCCGAAAGACGCTGCAAGGTATGTTGACAGCAACTCTCCTCTTATTCTTTGAAACTAACTCCTAGCAGAGCAAATCGAGGGCCTCACGGACGATGACCCCGGGCAGAAAGATCGTAAGGAGATGCTGGAGACCTTGCTACAGTTTGTGTAAAGTCACCCAACAGCAATCTACAAGCATGTAAACTATACGTAGTAAATGAAATCTCAATACCTCAAAGATCAATGTAAATCCCGTCAATCCACAATCAGCCTCGTTATTGTCATGTATTCTGTTCAGCCATTGTATACATCACGTGATACCTAAATACGGCTAGCGTGGTGTCCCCGGTCGAGGCGCTAGTGGCGGCTCTTCAAGATCCATCAAGCGCTCTCCGAAACTCTCCCGTGAGGCAAGTCTTCTTCCCCCGTTCCATTTCACCTCCCAGTACGGTTGGCTTGGGATCTCTCACATTCCATCTCCCGAGATTCCCATTCCTTGTTTATTCGATCTTTTCCGTTTTTTCCAACGTCTTGAAGGCACGCCTTTTCATCGTCGCCACTGTCCGACGAGCTGCGACCGGGCATCCTCTCGAGCGCGTCGCGCCCCGTTTGCGCTCATCTCGAAACCCTTGGCCTCCTGATCGAAGTGGTTGAAGGAAAAATATCCGACAAGATGGCAGACTACGATGAGGCGTACGAGGAGGAGTTTTACGACGATGACATGGAGGAGGGCATCACATCGGAGGACTGCTGGACGGTGATTTCATCGTTTTTCGACACCAAAGGTTTGGTCTCGCAGCAGCTGGACTCGTTCGACGAGTTCATCTCCTCGACGATGCAGGAGCTTGTGGAGGAACAGGGGCAGGTTACGCTTGATCAGACGCTGCCGCCGGACGAGGATGAAGTCGATCCCATCGTCCTTCGTCGATATGAGCTCAAGTTCGGAACCGTCATGCTTTCTCGACCGTCCGTTACAGAGGGTGATGGCGCCACTACGATCATGTTGCCTCAGGAAGCCCGTCTGCGGAACTTGACCTACGCGAGTCCGCTTTATCTCGGAATTACGAAGAAGATCATGGAAGGTCGCGAGCGGCTGGTCGCTGACCGGGACGAGGATGATGTGGAGCCGATGGAGGACCGGAAGAGCCACGGGACCTACCTTCAGTGGGAGCAGAAGGAGCTTCCGGCTGACCAGGCAAAGGAGGAGACTGTCTTCATTGGAAAGATCCCTATCATGCTAAAGTCCAAGTACTGTATCCTGAAGGACCTCAGCGAACAAGCGCTCTACAACTGGAATGAATGCCCCTACGACTCGGGTGGTTATTTTATCATCAACGGTAGTGAGAAGGTTTTGATCGCTCAGGAACGGAGTGCTGGAAACACGGTCCAGGTGTTTAAGAAGGCTCCCCCAAGTCCGACGCCTTACGTGGCAGAAATCCGCAGTGCTGTCGAGAAAGGTTCCCGACTCCTGTCTCAGCTGTCTCTCAAGCTATTCGCCAAGGGAGATACCGCCAAGGGTGGATTTGGCCCTACGATCCGCTCGACCCTGCCCTACGTGAAGACGGATATTCCTATCGTTGTTGTGTTCCGAGCGCTCGGTGTCGTTTCGGACGAAGATATTCTCAACCATATTTGCTACGACCGGAACGATACCGCGATGCTGGAGATGCTGAAGCCCTGTATTGAGGAGGGCTTTGTTATCCAGGATCGCGAGGTTGCTCTAGATTTCATTGCCAAGCGTGGCTCTTCTCAGTCAAGCATGAACCATGACCGCCGTGTACGATATGCGCGGGACATCATGCAGAAGGAGTTGCTGCCGCATATTTCCCAGAGTGAAGGCAGCGAGACCCGCAAGGCTTTCTTCTTGGGCTACATGGTGCACCGACTCCTCCAGGCTGCGCTGGGTCGCCGGGATCCCGACGATCGTGACCACTTCGGAAAGAAGCGTTTGGACCTGGCCGGTCCGCTGCTCGCCAACTTGTTCCGTGTCCTCTTCACTCGAGTGACGCGCGATCTCCAGCGATACGTGCAGCGCTGCGTGGAGACCAACCGTGAAATCTACTTGAACATCGGTATCAAGGCCAGCACCTTGACGGGAGGTCTGAAATATGCCCTCGCCACGGGTAACTGGGGCGAGCAGAAGAAGGCGGCCAGTTCCAAGGCCGGTGTGTCGCAGGTGCTCAGTCGTTATACCTACGCCTCAACCCTGTCCCATTTGCGTCGGACCAACACCCCCATTGGTCGAGACGGCAAGATCGCCAAGCCCCGTCAACTGCACAACACGCACTGGGGCTTGGTCTGTCCCGCCGAGACGCCTGAAGGTCAGGCTTGTGGTCTTGTTAAGAATCTGGCACTTATGTGTTACATCACTGTCGGTACTCCCAGTGAGCCTATCATCGATTTCATGATTCAGCGGAACATGGAGGTTCTCGAGGAATTCGAGCCCCAGGTCACACCGAACGCCACCAAGGTGTTTGTGAACGGCGTGTGGGTTGGAATTCACCGCGACCCGGCGCACCTGGTCAATACGATGCAGTCGCTGCGCCGGCGGAACATGATCTCGCACGAGGTCAGTCTGATTCGTGACATCCGTGAGCGGGAGTTCAAGATCTTCACCGATGCCGGGCGCGTGTGCCGTCCGTTGTTCGTGATTGACAACGACCCGAAGAGCGAGAATTGCGGATCGTTGGTTCTCAACAAGGAGCACATCCGCAAGCTCGAGCAGGACCGAGAGCTGCCGCCGGACCTGGACCCGGAAGAGCGCCGGGAACGCTACTTCGGATGGGATGGTCTGGTGAAGTCCGGAGCGGTCGAGTACGTCGATGCAGAGGAAGAAGAAACGATCATGATCGTTATGACCCCCGAGGATTTGGAGATCTCCAAGCAGCTCCAGGCCGGCTACGCACTCCCCGAGGAAGAGCTGCATGACCCGAACAAGCGTGTGCGTTCCATCCTAAGTCAGCGGGCTCACACATGGACGCATTGTGAGATCCACCCTAGTATGATTCTCGGGGTGTGCGCCAGTATCATTCCGTTCCCCGATCACAACCAGTCGCCTCGTAACACCTACCAGGCGGCCATGGGTAAGCAAGCCATGGGTGTGTTCTTGACCAACTTCGACCAGCGGATGGAGACGATGGCCAATATCCTGTACTACCCGCAGAAGCCTCTAGCGACCACGCGGTCTATGGAGTTCCTGCGGTTCCGTGAGCTTCCCGCCGGGCAGAACGCGATTGTGGCCATTGCCACCTACTCGGGATACAACCAGGAAGATTCCGTCATCATGAACCAGAGCAGCATCGACCGCGGCTTGTTCCGCAGTCTGTTCTACCGCACGTACACGGACTCGGAGAAGATGGTGGGTCTGACGGTGGTGGAGCGGTTTGAGAAGCCGATGCGGTCCGACACGCTCGGCATGCGCAAGGGGACGTACGACAAGATTGACGACGATGGTATCATCGCTCCCGGTGTGCGTGTGTCGGGTGAGGATATCATCATCGGCAAGACGGCGCCTCTGGCCCCCGAGGCGGAGGAGCTGGGCCAGCGGACTAAGTCGCACACCAAGCTGGACGTGTCGACGCCGCTGCGCAGCACGGAGAGTGGTATCGTGGACCAGGTGCTGGTGTCGACCAGCAACGACGACCTGAAGTTCGTCAAGGTGCGTATGCGGACGACCAAGGTGCCGCAGATTGGCGACAAGTTCGCGTCGCGTCACGGACAGAAGGGTACGATCGGTATCACGTACCGACAGGAGGACATGCCGTTCACGCGGGAAGGCGTGGTGCCGGATCTGATCATTAATCCGCACGCCATTCCGTCCCGTATGACAATCGCGCATTTGATCGAGTGTCAGCTTAGCAAGGTGTCGTCGCTGCGTGGGTTTGAGGGTGATGCGACACCGTTCACGGATGTGACGGTCGACTCGGTCTCCCGGCTGCTGCGCGAGCACGGCTACCAGTCGCGTGGGTTCGAGGTGATGTATAACGGGCACACGGGGCGGAAGCTGGTGGCGCAAGTTTTCCTGGGGCCGACGTACTATCAGCGTCTGCGACACATGGTGGACGACAAGATCCACGCCCGCGCACGGGGGCCGACCCAGATCCTGACGCGGCAGCCTGTGGAGGGCCGTGCTCGCGACGGTGGACTGCGATTCGGTGAAATGGAACGCGACTGTATGATTGCGCATGGAGCTAGTTCCTTCCTCAAGGAGCGGCTCTTCGACGTTTCCGACCCGTTCCGCGTGCACATTTGCGACGACTGCGGGTTGATGACGCCAGTAGCGTAAGTTTCTTTTCTCTTTTTTCCCCTCCCCCACCCTTGTCATCCCTCATTGGACAGGGCATCATGCAGGATAGGTTCAGCTGACAGCATGCAGAAAACTGAAGAAGGGCCTCTTTGAATGTCGATTGTGCAACAATAAGCACCGAATCTCGCAGGTCCACATTCCATACGCGGCCAAGCTGCTGTTCCAAGAGCTGGCCTCGATGAACATTGCGGCGCGCATGTTTACCAACCGGTCTGGGGTGTCGGTGCGGTGATTGGACCTCTGGGGATTGGCAATTGGCAAATTTCTGCGATGGATTCGGCATGACTGGCGTCTGGTTCTTCTTGATTTTCTACTCTTTTTTCTACTTTTCTTTCTACTCGATTCGTTTTTTGTTTCCCGATGAACCGTGCCTACTTGACTATGGACTCTGAAGGCATTTTGGCCGATGAATAGGTGCGGGCGATGCTTTGGCAGCAGACTTGTATATGGGAAATAAAAAAGAAAAGCCCTCACTATCTAGTATTGACATAATGCAAATGGAGATATCCACTCAAGAGGACCGTCGTATGTCTGATATCGTGCTAATTCCCGTCCCCTCGGGGGATGCATGGGTCCGTGATATCATTCTAAATTAACCGTCCCCTCCATCGAGAGAGTATACGATATAATTAAATTTTTCGTTCCCCTCCTGGACCCAGGTGCATGAGGATTAGACGAAATGAGAAACGATAGGCCGTGGAGTGACGAAGGGATCGTGATGGATGGAGCAGAAGCGGCAAATGCTGGCCTGTGGTTGGCCTGAGGTTGGCCATCCGCCGTCCATCACATCGTCTTCTTCGCCGCCATCCAATCTGCATCTTCATCTTCCTCTCCTCCCCATGTCGTCCGGCTGTCACCTTGCATATTCTTCTCCTCTTTCATCCGATCCAGTCTAGTCGGTCGGTCAATATGCATAGCTAAGAATAGCATCCTCCGTCCAACCCCCCCCACCGAGCCACCAGCGGGGTCACATCCATTGGCATCACGGCGTCCTTTAAAGATGCCACAGCCGCCAGGACGCCCCCAAGGCGGTTTTTCTCTTCTTTCTTTCTTCAGCAAGACTGGTCTTGTTTGAGTTGCCCTAATTTCGAGATATCCTGTGCACTGGTTGCACTTGTTTTGTTTTTGTCCTTTGTTGTTCTACTATACTTTTAATATCGTCTTTACGACCCCCCCACATACTCAAAAAATCATACTTGTCAGACGAGCTGTGCTCTCTGTCTATCCCCCCCTATATTCAGTGTTCAGGATATCTCTTGATTCTTCAATTTACTTTCGGTTCTCATATCGTCGCCGGTCGACGTGTTTGGTGCTCCGTTCAACTCAACAACCTTGCTCAGCCTCGCATTTCCCGCCAAGGCTTCTTGATATCATTCTTCTGTGCGTGTCGTGGACTGGATCCCGTCAATAGCTGCGCCATCCAACATCCAACAACCAACAACTACAAGATTCCACTCTGGTAGTGCTTCTTGCAGTCTGTTCTTCCTTATATTCGGAAGGCCTCGACACGATTATCTATTGCATTTGCATATCTATATCTACTTGTTTGTTACGCCCATTTAATACTTAGTTCTGTCAACCTGCGCAATGACTGCCGTTCAGTTGAAGTTTTCGCTGCGCACTTCGTCCAATGTCAAGACGGTCCATTTGCTGGGCTCGTGGGACAACTACTCGCGCCAGATTCCCTTGTCGCGCGATGACTCCAAGTCGGGCTCGTGGATCGGCAAGTTCCGCTTCCAGACCTCCATGCTGAAGTTGGGCCAGCGCTACTGGTACTACGTATGTTCCTCCTTTCAATCTCTCCATGTGCAAGTGACTAACGTAAACAGTACATCATGGACGGCTACCACGTGTCGCACGACCCCGCCGTCGAGTACACCGTCGAGCCCACCACAGGCCGCAAGCTCAACATCCTCGACGTCCCAGGCGGTACCAAGAAGTCGTCGAGCTCGTCCGCCGCCAAGCACAGCTCGCGCCGCACCTCAGGAGACGTCGTGACCGGCCGCGCGCCCTCGCCCTCCAAGATCCACCACCCGAAGCCGTCCAAGCCGTACGCGTCGCGCCAAATCCGCGAGGCCGACTTCGCCCCCACCATGGAGGACCTCACGCGCCGCTTTGCCGGCTCCCGCATGTCAGACGAGTACTCGTACTCCAACAGCCCGCCCAGCTCCGTCGGCTCGTCGCTCTCGTCCCGCTCGTCGGGCAGCACGTCCCCGTCGTCGCTGTCGTCCATGAGTGACCCGCCCTCGCCTATCTGCCACTGCGAGCGCTACGGCATCACCCGCAAGGGTGACCGCGTCAAGCTTGATTGCGGTGGCTCCCGCTGTGGATACGTCACTGAGTCGTCTGAGGCGAGCTGCTCTGAGTCGGATAGTGATGAGGAGTACCGTCGTGCCCGCAGTGCTGTCCGTCGTCAGGGTATCGTCGTCCGGAGGTAGATCTTTTTAGCATACTTGGTTTTTATGAACCTTGGTCTATTACCTCTTTCCGCGTGACTGCGGAGTGCCCGTCAAGCGAGCAGCGGCAATGCCTGGAATAGTCTATTCGCGACTATGCTGCTTACAGCTGTGATGCACACAAAAAGAAAAAAACACCAAAAAAAAGAGGAGAAGGAAGGGCCGGCCCGCACGCGCCTGGATACCTTCGAGGGGTTGAAGAGGGGTTTCAAGAGAGGATGAGGGGAGGAAGAGTCGAGTCAGAGAAGAGAAGAGAATGAGGCTTGGTATAAACATACCACATGTGGAAGCGAGGGGGAAGCCAGTGAGGAGGAAGATACCGAGGAAGGAAGAAAGAAAGAAAGACAATCACCACCCTGCTACGACCAAACAAGCCAAGAAAGAAGAGAACGCAGTGGCAGCCCGGTGGAAAAACAGATGATACGAGATCATATGAGATGGATGAGATGAGATGAGATGATGACGATAACGGCATGATAGCATGAACGGGATCCAATAGCGCCAGTCTGGTTCGCAGGGCTGGGATAGGTCAATATAAGAACACGCTGTTGGAAAGTATTATGAATATGAATGTTTTCATTTGGTCACTATTAGGGATGGCAAGTCTACTGTAGTGATGATAATAGCATCGTAGCGAGGGGGTAATGGTTTAGATGCAGATAGGGCAGTTTCGACGGAGCCCTAAGCCAATACTCTTATTGCTGGCTAAGCTGTGCCATTTTAGAAAATAGTTTGATACCGTGTTAAGAGAGACTATGAAGCGATGATTGACTCATTACTCAGATATCTATAAAGTAACAATAGACTGTACAAGTATGTCTAGAGCCAACTGTGGCTGAACTGCGGAGTTTGACTCCTTGGGCATGGTTAGGGCATGTGTACATCCTCGAGTCATCCAACAGCGGATTGAGCTATGGGATAGTGCTCTGCTAACGCTTTAGAGAGCCGTAGCCACCTTTATTAGAACAAAGACAAGACACCTGCGCCGCTCTGTTGAGTCACAAAAGTATAACTTCTATAAATCCCACTTGCGCCCCGCTCTAGGGCGGCAACAACAGCTACTACTACTACTACAACAGCAACAAGGAAGAAGAGAACTGACTTTTGTCAAATGTCAGCTTGAATATCCCTATTGTATCTCCAGGACGGATTCAATAATCAATGGCCACCCTCACTGTTGCGACGAAAGCCAACGGCGCTCTCACCCTTCCAGGGGTGTTGGCGGCTGCGTATCTTTCTGCGTATGGTGACTACAAAACTACCATTGAATATAAAGAACTAGAGTTTCTCGATCAAAAAGAGACATTGAAGCTCACGAGTGACAGTGGAAACTCTGCTATTGATAGTTCTGTCACTCCTTTTCTAGTAGACTATGCGAGTTCTACCCCCGTTTCTAAACGCAGTCAGGTAAGTATCAAGTTACAACCCCCGATCCAAACCACATATCTAACAAATCTTAGATCAACGAATGGATCCAGCAAAGCACAGCTTTATCAGTTCCAGAATTCAAATCTCTCAAACAACCAATGCACGAGCTTAACTCCCATCTCACCCTCCGCCCCTACATACTAGGCCATTCATTCCCTCACCATAGCAGACATTGTGTCGGGCTGGGATGATCCCCGTATGCCGACTGTGCGCGGTATCAGACGGAGGGCAATGACTGTCCCCGCGCTGAGAGAGTTAATCCTGAAGCAGGGGCCAAGTCAGAATATTGTTAATCTGGACTGGACGGCATTCTGGGCGATGAATAAGAAGTATATTGACCCTGTTGCGCCGCGCCATACTGCCATTGTCTCGCTCAATGCTGCGGTAGCCTCAGTTGAAGGTGTCATGGAGACGACTTCAGAGAAACACCGACATAATAATAGCGCGTCCCTAGGCACGAACAAAGTTTTCTTCGACAAGGAGATCCTCCTCGCGCAGGACGACGCAGCGTCTCTCAAACCAGACGAAGAATTCACGCACGCTCATGAACTGGGGCAACGCCATCGTCACTTCTATCACTACTGACCCGCAAACCGGAACAGTGCAAGACATGAGACTCCGTCTCCACCTGCAGGGCGACTTCAAAAAAACAGACAAGAAATTAACATGGCTCGCGCGGGAACCAACAGACACCATTCCCGTTGATCTGGTGTATTTCGACCATCTTATCATCAAAGATAAGCTTGAGAACGGCGAGGATCTGCTGTCGTGTGTTACTCCGCGGAGCGAGGTGCGGGTCGAGGCGCGAGCTGATTGTAGGGTTGCTGGGCTTGTGGAGGATGATATTGTTCAGTTGGATCGTGTAGGTTATTTTCGTGTGGATTCTGCTTATGCGGTTGGTGGGCGGGCTATGCTTTTTAATATTCCTACTGGGAGGGGTTCGTCTTTGGGTGGTAGGTAGGGGGTAGGGAGATGGCTTTGGCTGTGACTGTACGTTGGATTGCGATGTTGCTCTTCGGTGATGATTGCCCAGTACTACAGTGATAGCGGGACAATGACTGTGTTCAATCCTATTGGTTTTTCCCTTTTTTATCCACCCATGCAAATATCTGCCTGCAGTACATATATGATATCTCCGGGAACAATCTAATCCAACCCTCTCTTGACTGCACTGCAGTAACTCTGGCATCACTTATATCATACGGCAGACTCAACCGCCTTAACCCTTAGTAACAATAAGACACATCAAGCAAGAATTGAATTGACACGATAGAACTGAAACTTTTGTGTGCAGCCGGCTGCGTTGTTGACAGGTTCAGGTCTCAACATCCCTTAGGGTAAGCCGGATATCGAGAAGGGTATTCATACCCCTGCGGCCCTCGAGAGTGCTGCGAACAGGCGTATCCAACTTTGACATCCCTCTGTGACACGACGTGGCCGATCTGGCCAAATAATGCACACGGATCGATCGCGTGTTTGAAATAGAGACAATCGCAGACGGAGAAGCGCTCGACGACTTGGAGGCACATGTTGGTTGGTGGGTGGTACTGTGGTGGTTGACGTTGCGTTGAAGGACAGAAAAGAACACAAAAATGATGGATGAATGAAGTAGGACTCAGTCAGGACGATCTCGGAGGAGTGGTTGAGTTGATAGAGAGAGAGAAAGAGAGAGAGAGAGAGAGAGCGAGCGACAGCGTCGTCTAGATAGTTTTATATCAATGAATTCAGGCGTCGCAGCATCACTGTCGCGTAACAGCATCGAACCACTCAAGCGTAAACCAGATCAGAGCGCCGCATACAGTACCAGCCAAGTGCAAAGAAGGTGAACATGAATTTAAGGCCTCCCTCCCTCAATCAATCAATGCAGTTCGTTCCCCCAGGGCAGTCCCCAGAATGACAATCGAAAAGAAGACGGTCATTAAAAAGCCAAAGTCAGTTCTCAACAAGAGAGACCCAGTGCGTCGGGCAAGGACAAGCTAGCCGGGGCCATCCATCCATCGTGGCTTGCTCAGGGTAGTCCGCCCTACGGACTACGGACTCGCCGAACCCTGGTCGATCAGTGGGGTTCGCTGGGTTGACTGCTGGAGGACTCCACTGCGGACTCGGTAGAGGTCCGCGAGTACCGCCGCCGTTTCATCTTGCGAGTGTCGTTGTCGTGCCCGATGGGCCGGTGTCAAGCTTGGTCTAGTAGTAGTAGTAGTTCCGTACAGCTGATCTCTAGTGGATACTGAGCCTGGCAGAAGTAGTAGGGCTTCAGCTGTGGCTGTATCCTGTCTGTATACAGTAAGTACTGGGCCATTTCCTCAAGTAGGACAGGCTGACGCTGAGCCCGAGTGGAGAGCCACCCCCACCCAAGCATCAATCAGGAGAAAGAAAAGAGAGAGATGAGGCTCTGATGCAGGGAGAAAGAAGGAACGACGAATGAATCGCGCGGATGAAATGCGGCTCCACCGGCGGTGTATGGCCTCAGTCATCCACCAATCATGGGCTGAGTCCGTCAGGCAACCACGTTTATCCTGGGAAATGAGGCACGAATCCGGTGTGCGTTTCTTGGCTCTGGGTTTAATTTTCGGCCTTGTCAAGGTCCTCTCTGCGTTGGAAAGGCAATGTTCAGACCAGCTGAGTGTGGGAATGTGAAAGCTTAGGTGTGTATAGGGCTGAGCGTACACCGACTTCTCGGGTGACTCACGTCGTTCTTTAAATCTGCCATGCCGCTTGGAAAGCATAAGCACGGGGTTTTTTACACTATGTCACACAGGCGGAAAATATCATGGCATTCAGCCCTACCGCAGATCGCTTGTGATGCAGATTACTTTCCGAATTACTCCAGGATCCTCCCTCCCAATCTGGGAGATTCTAGACGTACACGTACATGCATCCCCTACATGATAACCTCTATCCCCATCCCCATCTCCATCCATCCCCATTCCTAGATCGTGCCAAGAGCCCCGAAGCTCAGCCCCCGCGCCAACCCCAGCCGCAACACGCGCAGGATGTCTTCACCGCGTGAGCCCTCGGCCAGCCCGGCGCGCCAGTCCCAGCCGCGCTCCTCTGGAATTCCGCGAAGGCCGTCGCCCGCGCGAGGCACCAGGACGCCCGAGCTGCCTACCGACCCGTGGCCGGACTGCGGCCGAGATGATTCGACCATCTCACTGCCAATGAAGGAAAACGTGCTGGACCCGGTCCCACCGGACATCGACTTCTTCAGCAATGCGCGGGGTGACGGTGGGACGAAAAATGACCCTGTCGTCTGGGATTCCTCTGGCCCGCGCTTCGACGACTGGTACTCGAGCAACGTCGACCGGAAACACTCCTCGCATTGTCCGTACACCCGCGGCGTCACGGTCTCGAGGTCCTCAATCGCTGATAGGATGGCGAATTGCTGGGGGACGGAGAAAACTGGTGTAGGTTCTGCAGTTGTGGTATTAGTCTCATCTCGGTTGCTCTTCGGGAAAAAGGCGCACGTACGATCAAGGAAGGCCAGGGCCTCGCCCAACAGCGTTAACAGCCCGTCCACCTGTACGGACGAATCCCGTTCGGCGTCGTACAGCCCGCCGTAGATGCTGTCCGCTGCACTTGTGATCACGGCGACCAACGCCTGCGCCGCCGCCCGCCGTCGCGCAAGGGGTTTGAACCGGGGTCGCTGCCCTTCTTTCAGACTGACGGCCTCATCTCGGATCTCGTAAAACCGACGTAGTGTCGCATATCCACTGAAGTAAAACTGAAGAATCGTGGCCGCCTCTTCGTCCGCGGACGCCACGGCTGTAAGACAGTCCCGCGGCCTTCGAATCATCGTCTCCAGCTGCTCGTCCAGGTCGGATGCTGCAGGGAACGCGCAGGACCGCACGAGACTGTACGAGATGAGCAGATCCACTACCGACTTGACCTTTCGTCGACTGTGTGCCCGAGCGTAACACACCAGAGCCAGTCCATATTCGTCAGAGTTGGCCACCGTAAGATCTCCGTAGCGCTGAAGAGGGAAGGTCAGCTTCATCAGACTAGTGGAAAAAGGGAAAAGAAAAGAAAGAGGACTGTGAAGAACGATTGCGGCTTACCTCGGACACCCTCCGGCCCTCGTTGTCCAGTCCCAGCTCTGAACAGAGCAGCACCACCCGATCCATCTGCTCCGACGTGTCAAGGGGGAGCTTGTCCAACAATTCAGATACGCTCTTCTGCATCTTGGCTTTCTCATCTATACGGCTCAAGACCTCCAAGGCGAGCTCCCATCCTTCACGGGTGCCGCTCTCATTCTCGATGATAGGTCGCTCGAAAAGGCCGGATGCATAAGCGCTCATCACATCATTCTTGTTGACGCCCCGGCTGGATTCGCCGGTCGCTTGGCCGTATGAGAGGACCATCAAGTCGTCCGCGTTCAACCCAGGCAGCGCCTTTCTCGCCTCCTGCAACCAGCCTGCTGTTTCTGCGACCTCGGCCACGGCGGATGCAACGCACAGAGACCATGTCTCGAGAAGCCCTATAACTCCATCTACGTTCCCCTCGAACACAGAAGCCAGACCGACTTCAAGACTACTGAGGGAGTTGATTCGGAATTTAGCATCGTTCGAGTTGCTGTTTGTTGCGCTGCTCAAGGCCAGGTCGAGGCGATGAAGGTATGATTCGCCTGGCATCGATTAGCAAGGTGCCCCCCACCAACGAATCAGTAAAACTTACCAGGTTCTCGATGAGGCCCGTCGTCATCCTCTCCATCCCACCACACAGTCAGACCAACGGTGGCCTCAACCCAGTCCTGAGCCTGGTTCATGATGGCACTTGTGTCACCGAGAATGATTCGGTAGAGAGACCGCAAACTCTGATAGATAGACCACGGAGCTCGGCTCTCGGCCATGCGTGCAGACTGCGTAAATGACGAGTCCAGCTTGGCGGGGTTGGTGGCGAGGCCGAAGTTTGGCGCCTGGAAAAGATTATCCACAGCGGGCGAGTCGGGGCTTTGCTCGTCACCTTCGGCGAATTCCTCCAGATCAGTGATTGCAACAAGCACACGCCTCCGGTACATCGCCCACTCCGCACCCCGCACATCCCAGTCGCCATTCTGCACGCTGGGGCATGACTCCAAGACCTGAAGCGCCTTGTTGACACAGCGCTGGATGTTTTGCAGCTGAGCCCCTCGATAGCCAGCCTGAGGTAGACCGTCTTCCAGCGCAGACCTGGCGTAGTTGAAATCGGCAGATCGCAGAACGTCGACAGCTTCGGACATCTGTCCGCGTAATACCGCGGCATTGATGGTTTCCCAAAAGTTGGGAGACGCAGTAGGGTTGGGATCGGCATCTTTCAGGGATTGGATGTCAAAGGCCTGACCGTGATTGGCATCCAGCCAGTCAAGAAGGACTTTGGGTAGGGGCGTGGGGGTTTCTGCCCTGTGATTCCCCAGAGTGAGGGCGCGAGAGCCAAACCCAAAAGCACCGGGCCAATTGAGCTTCGCGGGAGAAGGCGGGGGGTGGTGAAGCTGGAGCAGCAATGAGCCGAGGAAGCTTGCTTTGGCGACGTTGGAGCCGCGCTCTCCAGGGCCAACACCGGCTCCAGGCCTGGGTACCCCGCCAGATGGCTTCCAGACGGTGACAAGCTTGTCGCAGATATCGGAGATGAGAGCTGGGTAGTACGACATATGGTATTCGGATCGTCGTGCTTCATCGAACAACCGACTGATTTCGTCCTCCGTCTTGATGATAAAGTCGCTAGGCTCCTCCACAGCGGCCAGACGCGAATGAGAGGCGAAGTTGCGCACAATCGACGGCATAGCGGAATCCTTTTTGGGCGGCAGCTTCACCTTGCGCAGAGGCGACTGTTGCGCCCACTTCTCGTCGAGCTTGGGGCGCTTCGCGTTGGTTGGGTTCGTGTAGATCGGCTTGCGCTGGGCTTGGGCGTTGAAGTTGAATGGTGGAGCAGCCGGGTTGCCGAATGGGGGGCCAGCGGGATTGCTGAATGGGGGGGGGGCCGGGTTACCGAATTGCGAGTCCAGGAAACTGAAGCGTGGGCCAGGTGCCTTATTGGTCTGCCCAATCTCCATCAGGTCGTCGGGTGGTCCCTCATCCTCTTCTGGAATATCCGCATCGCCATTCGCATCCTGCTGCACGTCCTCTTCCATCTGCGACGATCCAAAACTATTGAACGCACCACCGTATTTGGTCGGCTGGCCGAATTGGCTGTCGTGTGTCATGCTGAACAGCGACTGCGACGGGGCGGAGGGCTGGGCTGGGGCCGCTTTTCTCGCCCGGGGAGGCAGGAACCCGGGAGACGCGATCGACGACCCAAAGATGCTATCGTTCTCAAAATTCGAGCGCGAAAAAAGAGACTGTGGGGACTCCATTTGGGAACGCCCGTGCGGATCGAAGGAGCTGGAGGCCGACGGCGGATTACCCGCAGGCGTATTCGACAGATTGCTGAACAAGCTGCCAGACTTTCCCGGGGTCGACGGGGGGCTTGAGTCGAAAGGGACCTTGAAGGTCATGATGTTGATCAATCGTGGATATCAAATCCAGGAAGTCGGGTAGGGGGGCTTGATCAGTGAAATAAACAAGAAAAAAGATCACAGACCGCAGAATCCTCCGCGACCAGTGATTGGACTTGTTAGCTGTTAATGACGAGCCAAGGGGTCTAATAAAAGGTAAAGGTCTCCGCCCCACTTCCAAATCAGACAGTCCAGAGAAGTGAGGGTGTCCGACAGCAACAGTCACCAGTTGAAGTGAATGATGTCTCTGGGTGGCTCTCAAGCACTTTGTCGTCTGGTCGATCAACGCGACAAGCTTGGCAGGGGTCATGTGATGATAAGAGTGCTATAATCACGTGGCTCCTTATCTTGAAGATCACGTGGCTTTCCCATACTGAGCGTGACGCTGATGCGGGTTTAGCTGTACAACTTCACTCAGAGTACGAAGTACGAGGTAGATGCTAGGTGCTGACGTACTTGGTAGCGTCTACCTACGTCTAGCCGCTTAAAGGGGAGTTGAGACTGGAGGTTGTACCTCCGCGTATCAACGTTGCCGTCGTCAATGGCAAGCCAGTGTTCCGAAGAAGGTCGCAGCGCTTATACTCGCGGCGGATTTCACCCTGTCCACCTAGGGGGCGTATATATTGGAAGGTATGAAGTCTTAAGGATGTTAGGCTTCGGTCAGTATTCTACAGCGTGACTAGTAAAGGACCTAAGGTGAGAAGCATAATCCTGCATGTTGATGGACCGACCTGCCTACAGAAATATCTTTAAGGCTGCTCTGTTACAGGGGTTCAAAAGTACTCAGCGCAGAATGTTATGGTGGACTAAACGATATTTTTGAACTCAAGATCCTCAAATGTCTAACCAATTCCAATTCCCAGCATCCAGGGTATCGAGATGCTCTAAACTTGGTTGATTCGTTCGAACGCATTGGTCCTAACCGCTGCCATACATATCTGGTGCTCGAGCCGATGGGTAAATAAAGTCTTGCAAGTTTCGGCGCGTTGTTTCCTAGGTGTCAAATACCTGCGCCCATTATGCAACGTTTCACTAAGCAACTCCTTGGTCTGGATTATGCTCATCAATCAGGTATCATTCATACGGGTAGGTAATCCCAATCGAAAGTGGTTTTTGATACAGATCTAAATTCATAACCTAGATATACATCCTCGGAATATTATGGTCCGGATCGGTGACTTTTCGATCATTGATGACTACCTAGCGAAAACATCTGTAGATATTGCTACAATTAACTCTGCATCCGAGCCCCCAAGAATTGAATCTCAACCGTCAAGGGACTTTTACATCCAAGAGGCTAGTGATCTGATGGACCTCGATGTCGCTCTGTGCGACTGGGTTGGTCATGCTAACACTCCAAAATCGATATTAGCTAGTGTAGTATTGGTGGACAGGGATTGGGACGTTTCATGGAACGAGTCATGCATGGATCAAGTCATGGAACAAACGGATCACTGCCAATTGTAGTCAGTGACAGCTAGCGGTCATGTGATGATACCCAACAGGGCAGCATGGGCCGCTCGTGGCGCTGATTGGACCACACTCGATCGCCCCCAAGGCTCAGCCTTCCACCATCGAGTACCAAGAGGTCATCCATCCACATTTCTTCCTCTCCACCCAGCAGATGATCGTCTAATAATATCATCGATCGGGCAATGGTTGTGGTGAGATCGTCCGGTCCATCGGCTCAGCCTCCCTCTCCGTCGTATCATCACGTTGGGATCATCTGAAAGAGTTCAATCCCTTTGTTCACTATACGAGACTGATGATTATAAGATGATCCATCTTCCCCCCTGTAGCTGACGGCGGTCATCTTCTACCCTCATTCCTGAAGATTACCAGCAGACAACCATGAACTCCTCCAAGCACGATCCGGCTTTGCCTGCTTACAGGAAACACCACCCAACGCCCTCCATTGACAGTACACTGGAGAACCTACCAGAGGGCAATTCTCATCTCTACCATGTATACAACACCTACTGGCAAAACCATTACAACGTCACAACGGTTGACAAGCGTCAATTATACCATGTGGATAATTCTTCGTGGACACCAAAAAAGCCCGACCTAACCCTTCATGCGGGGGCCGACAACAACGCGCCGACCGTGGCGGTCTGCAAGTTCAAACATTTCTCGCGACGCTTCCACGTCGGCCTGGGAGACCCGCAGAATCCTAACAAAATGGACTGGGAGGAGGTCGCCACCCAAAGCGTCATGCACGAGAGGTACCGGTGGCATATCAACCTCCCGAGTGGCAGGCAGGCTTTCGTTTGGAAACAGACGCGCTCCGTCGGTGTGGACGAGTCCTTTTCCGGGCTCTGCGGCACCAACTTCAAGCTCGAGGACGACCGGACTGGACGTCTTGTGGGGCTGTTCTCGAGTACCGTGATGAGTTTGAAGAAGTCGGGCAAGTTTCGAGTTACTGCAGACTATGGGAATGAATTCGTGGTCATGGCTCTGATTACCGCGCTGGGGTTATACGAGAGCGCAAGACGCCGCCAAGCTGCGGCCGGCTCCGGCGGCGGCGGCGGTGGTGGAGGATAAATACCGCCTCGTCTTTCTTTGTTCTGTTATGCTGTTTTATAAGATACCATGTGTAGATAGTTCAGTTCTGATGCAATGCATTTCATTTGCTGTTATCACCCAAGTTGTATGCTCAATGAGTGCGTCTTGAGTGTAGATGAACATGATTCTCAAAGCTGTGAAAAATGCGAATAGTACGAACACTTGCAGAAAAAAAAAAAAGAAAAAAAAAGAGTCAACACAAGTATATATGTGGTGTATGTGAGTGGGAATGACACTGCAAGCCAGCTGACATGTTGGCCGATTGCCTTCTCTCACAACATGCAGGTCTTCCCAAGTAATGAATTGGAGAACTTCCTGCAATCCTCACTCTGCCTCCAATGTTAGCACTACGATCTTCTCTTCTTCTAGCGGGTCGCTTCTGTAAAAGCTCGGCATACTCAAGCCCTCTCCGGCACACACCAATCTCAGGATCAAAGCCTCTTTTCTATTGCACAGCCAGCACATCATCAAGTAATCCTCTGCTTTCTACACAGCATATGGGCCAGTCTGGTTGCATCTACATTATTGAACATGTTTTACAGGAGTAAATCTCTCCACCACGTCAAGTCTATCGTTCCTCGTGGGTAGACACTGAACCCTCCCACGTATAGTTGCTTATACCTTCTGCAGGGCAGACGGTCAAGAATTTCTATTGAAGTACATACGTTCTGTCAACTTTGAAGAATCCCAAGAAGTCAACTACGGCGCGTCAAGCGTTGGGCCATAAATGGTTTGTGGGTGTTTGAGTATAAATCTGTTGCAGTATATTTCCAAACATACCCTCGCGCTGTAAATATATAAATTGTTATATTGTTTTGTCTAGAACTCAATTGATCAGATACTTGATCGAAAATCTTTCAGTCAAATTTACCGAGCCTCTGTATCTCACTCACCAACATTCATTGATTGCTTTGCCATAGAATACCGCTTCAGAAAATCCGGCTAAATCTAGATATTCCTCGCAAGGTTTGTTGTTGAGGGAACCAGTCTTGGCGGATCTAGAGACTCCACGGCTCACTCACCCCACAAGCTCACCGCGCTCACTCTCCTACTAGAACACGGCGTCTTGGCGTCACGTTGTATGCATCTGCCTGCTCATCTTCCTTCTACAAAACTTATAGATAGATTGTCTCTCGTCCTCATTCTTTCCCCATATTGTACTATCTCCAAATGATGAATTCGACCTCTCGTGGCAGCTGATGGCCTTTCGACGACCCCATCGCAAATCCCGCCACGGGTGCGCCGAGTGCAAACGGAGAAGAGTGAAGGTATTGTAGTTGATAATGTATAATCGACCCCCATGGCTAATTTCTATAGTGCGATGAGACGCGTCCAACATGTTCGAACTGCTCTAAACGTCAGACAGAGTGTGAATATGAATCTGCAAGCTCCCTTCTATGGGCGAATGAAGAACGCCGCCCGCAGCCAAAGTCTGCCAGTTCCGATCTTGAAGGGTTCGCGCAGTTAGACACTCACTTATCTCCAGATAACTCATTCGACATACTGGGACGGCTCGGTGGGGATGACAGCGCCTCCGAATCCCCGGCCAGCTTGAACCTTTCGGACTTGGAGTTGATGATGCAGTGGTGCAACTCAACGCATCAAACCCTATCTCGAAACACCAGGACAGAGTCGATCTGGCGATTCCGTGTACCGGAGGAAGCCCTGTCTCACACATTTCTGATGCACGGCATTCTGGCTCTCTCCGCGCTCCATATCGCGCGCACGAGAGACGACCAACGACACGAGTCATATGTCAGGACCGCTGTCGCGCACCAGCATCAGGCACTGACTTTTTTCCGCCAATTACTGAACAACCTCACCGAGGACAACGCAAAAGCGATGTTCTCCTTCGCGGGTATTGTCGTTGTCTACACGTTTGGGTTCCCTCAGGTCCCCGACCCAGCAGACCCATGGTCCTGTGTCGATGGTCTGCTCCAGGTTCTGCTGCTGGCACGCGGCGTGCAACAACTCTTGAACCAGGCGACTTCCTGGATCCGGAGTTCTGACTGGGAGGAGCTTTTGCAGTTCGATCCGTATGATCCCTCCCCGCCGGATGATGCCCGTGCCGTGATCCAACGGCTGTGCGAATTGAATAGTGCCTGTAGCGCCCAGGACCCGACGCATGACGTCTTGATCTACGAGAATGTCATTGAAAACCTGGCGGATATGATGACTGCCGTGTCCAGCGGCTTGACCTCGGTGCCTGTTGCTGCCAGGTGGGCTATCAAACTGAAACCGGAGTTTGTCGACCTGGCCCGCGAGCATCGTCCATTCCCTCTGGTAATCCTTGTTCACTACTGTGCGGTGCTCCATCGCTTGAAGTATGACTGGTGCTTTGATCAATGGGATGAGCGCGTTCCTACAGCTATATGGAAGATATTAGATGACTCCTGGAGGGTACACATCCGGGAACCTATGGTGGAGATTTTTGGACAAAATTTCGAGTTGTCGGCAGAATAAATCACAATTTGCACGGCTCACTTGGTCCAGCGACTTGCACAAAAAAAATTCTATCTATAGGTTTCAACAAGCAGTCTTCTTGGATGAATTGGCTTCCTCGCTCACGGTACACTCGCTGTACCACCACCAGAAACCACCTTGCTCTACTAAACATTCACCGAAATCTCGCAAACCTTCAGGCCCCCTTTGGCTGTCATCAAGCGACTTCTTCCTAGGAGACAATTGATCTCACTCGGGTGAATAACGACAAATATCACCAACACAAAGAACATCAGCAGCCCATCAAACACATAGATAAACACCTCGGTCGAAAGTAGATACCCCTCTGATCCCTGCAGATACTCGACGACGCGGAAAATGGACCGGATCAGAATCAGGATACTAGACGCATGCAACGCGAAGAGGTGTTTCCGCCACGGAATATAGTCAGCGACGGACTCCGCGGTGGGATGGCTCCCAATGCGCATTTGGAACAGGGCCGCGCTGATCAGGAAGAACCCGAAGAAGGCGATCTGGACGAACAGGCCGCCGATAATGACACTTTCGCCCGTGGACCGGTTATCGGTTACCATGATCCCGGCTCCTGTCAATAGCGTCTCGTTAGCGATATCCTAGCCGCAGAGCAAGTTATGTGGTCTGACCTGATGCTTGCATCAAAAAACTGAGCACATCACCAGCGACAAAGATCTTGGTCATCCAGCTAACACGGATGATTGCTAGCTTCTCGCCCCGAACTAGGGTGATGATTCGGCCTAGTTCCATGTATATGCTCGCGGCGAAGAGGGCCGGGGCGACTAGCAATAGCGTGCTTTGCATGACATACGGACCAATTGTCCAATTGGGGGATTGCGACGAAGACATCGCGCGTCCTATGTATCCGACAAATTCGACTGCATGGTCAGCTTGGAACGTAGTTCCAACAGGAGGGCCACTCACACCAGGCACCAATAGCCATTGGGATGAAGAACCACGTCTTCGTCCTGGCCAATTGGTATGAATGAAGCAGGGATACAGCCACGAAGAGAATGATGAAAACCACGGCCGCTGCCTTGGAAGGGTAGTACTCGTACGCCTTCCAGTCTCCATAGTCTGCGCCTGACATGGTGAATTGATGTCTAGTAATATAGTATAAGACAGGCGAGGGTATCAGCAACAACCTTGCACTTTCGACTCGACACTCGGTGAAGATCGAACATGAGCGAGCAAGACACTCTTAAATACTTCTACACTAGCAGTCCATCCATCCAGGCAGCTCTGAAACTTCGTCGTGGGGTCGGGATCAATTGCATGCGATGGATCCGCGCCGTCGTATATCTCGTATCTCGTACCCATTTCCGAATCGGGTAAAGACGATGTTTAACCTCGATCTAGCCGGACATTTCCCGAGAGCCGGACGTGAATACGCGTATTTAAGCCCTGACTACATGACGATCATTTTGATTCGTATTTCTTACCTGGCTGGGTTAGATCGATATCATTCATATATCCATACTCCATCACTCGGCATTATGTGGAAAAATGTCAACTGCTATATACGTAATTGCCTCAACTATAGACGAGCCTGCGTCCCCACGTCATTCACCAGCACATAACGATACCTCGCCTTGCCCTCGTGCATATCAACCAATGCTGCATTGACATCCTCCATAGGCCGCTCTTGAATCCACGGCAACACCCTCTTCTCCGCCGCCAGTTTCAGCATCTGCCGAATATCCTCCGTCGACCCAATGTTCGACCCCGTCACCTTGACGCCCCTCTGGATCAGTGAAAACGCCATCAACTGTGGTAGCGGCTCCTCAGGCGCGCCCACCTGCACAAACGCCCCATCCCTCTTGAGCAGTCTCAGATAACCCGTGAGCGGCATGTCCGGCCCAGACACAGTACAGATAATCATATCCAACGACTTGGCATGCGTCCTCGCCCAATTCTCATCCTCCCCCGTAGCAATAAACGCATCAGCCCCCAACCCCTCAACCGCATCGCGCTTCTTCCCCGACGACCTCGAAATCGCAACCACCCGCTCACACCCCATCGCCTTCGCAAACAGCACCCCCAAATGCCCCAGGCCACCAATCCCTACAATCCCCACCGACTTCCCAGGCCCAGCCCCATACTTCCGCAGCGGCGCATAAACAGTCACCCCACCGCACAGCAGCGGCGCCGCCTCAGCGCTCGGCAACGCATCAGGGATCTTGAACGCGAAGTGCGCCGGCCCGCGCCACAGCGTCGCGAACCCACCCCACGACTTGCTCTTGTCCGCGTACCGCCCGTTGTACGTGCCCACGATGCGCGGGCAGTAGCTCTCTTCGCCGTCCGCGCACGCCTCGCAGTCTGCTTTGCGCAGACACGCGCCGCTCTGTGCGCCGACGCCTACCCGGTCGCCGAGCTTGATCTCGCGCGATGCTGGAGACGATTCTAGTGTTGGCACGGCTGACCCCACGCGCACGACCGTCCCGACGATCTCGTGCCCCACGACGCAGGGGTAGTTGGTTGGCGCCCAGCCTGAGCGCAGGGTGTGGATGTCTGTGCCGCAGATGCCGCAGTGTGAGACGCGAATTTCGATGTCGGTGGGCGTGAAGGGCTTGGGTTGGAAGGTTGTGTATGTGAGTGGGCTTGTGGCGTCGTGGGCGACCCAGCCTTGGAATGTGTCGGATGAGGAGGTCATTGTTGTTTTCTTTGGTTTTGACGGTTGATAGTGGTGTGTGTTTTGTGGTTGTATTAGTTTAACTCATATGTAGCGAGATGGATCGGTGGATATGGGATGTATAAGTAGAGTATAGATTTGGCGGGTGAAATGCGGAGACGATTAGTCTCGCTGAATTGCCGAGGTTGCGGCCTGGCTAGTGATCCAGCTTTCATGGACAACCGAGCGTTCAAATACTGCAGATCCTAACTAATAATAGGTAGTATTGATTGTGGTTATTGTATGGCTTGGGGATTATCTTGTTCTGTACCTTTATAGTAAGTGTTTGATTTGGCGGAGGAAGCGGTGATCTATAAATATTGCGACGTACTGTGTATTCATGCTCGTGGTTCAATACTACTCTATTCTCGGGGTTTCTTCTATCAATATCAGTTGCAAGGGCTTTCCCACAGCTTAAGCTCTGCCTTAACCTATCACCAAAAACACCATTAATAGTGCATGGCATCAGACCATGTTTTTGATGCTCGTTTGACAATGTGGATTACCCTTCTCCCCCTCTCACCTCAAACACTGTCATCAACCACATTCAGATATCGTAAGAGTAGATTTATCACATAATGTACATCCGGGTATAATATACAAGTCTAAGCCCAGCCCAGCACAGGATATGCAGCATATGCAGCACCACACCGAGCGTCTATAACCACACCACCACCGGCCGTCCTGTCCAGCCAGTGTACAACCAGGTCACGTCGCCTGTCCCGTGTTTGACGCCCCTGCTGTTCCTGTCCCCGTCCCTGGCCCCGCCCCGCTAGGCGACACACTCTGCATTTTCCGATACTCCTCCTCGAGGGCCTTTTGCATGTCGAAGTCGGCTTGTCGTTCGAGGCGGACGCGCTGCTTTTCGACGTCGCGCTCGACGCCGCGGTGCATGGCCTATTAGACATGGATTAGCTTGGACATGGCTTGGATGAAAGGCAAATGTGATAGTAGCAGTAGCAGTGGTGGTGGTATGAGGAGGTATGAGGAGTACGTACAGCCTTCTCTTGCACCTGAGACCAGTGCACAAAGTAGACGATCCCGGCTGTGCCGAGGCCGGTGCAGGCCAATGTTAACTTGGAGGCTCGAGACATAGCGACAACGCAGAAATCCAAGTACAGCGCCTGATATAGACAAAACAAAAATCCGTACAGGAAATAGATATATTGCGCGCAAATTGATGACCGGAACAAATCCAACCGGCATAGACCGTTTATCGCGAGCGGCGGTGGCAGCCGGCAGAATACAGACCGCCCAGGGGAGGGAGCGGGCCATCGTGGCGTCGGGGAAGTCATATCGTCAGCTCCAGTTCTACGACTTCGTGATCTACTTTGCTTTATTTTCATTTGCTGCTCGCGCATTCGATTTGTACTCTACGCTGTTGACTGGGAGAAATATTGTTGGTGAATATGGTAAGTTTGTTTGCGTGTTTGGGTGGGGGTGCGGGTGGATGAGAGGATGAGGATGTGCTAATGTGTTGGTGTTATCTAGTCCGCTCAAAATTCCGCAGGGATCCAGACCCTCCTCGATGTAGGTCTTGCTTGGGATACTGACTGGGCGAGGAGTGTGTGTTGACTGTGTGGTGCAGGCTGAGAGAGAGGCCCAGAAGATTGTCCAGCAAGGTATGTTCGTGATGCGGGGAGGGGTCGTGCTGTTTGAATACCTGTTTATGCGCTGTGGTGCTGACTATTCTCGTGCTTTAGCCAGAGAGTGTACGTTTACCTAGCCTGTTATCTACTGAGCCCATCCTGATATGCTCCAGACCGCACGAAGCGGATAAGGGACGCCAAGGCGGAGGCACAGAAGGAGATCGAAGAGTACAAGAGCCAGAAGGAGGATGAGTTCAAGAAGTTCGAGGCTGAGGTTTGACTCCCTGAGCTGGAGAACGTCGCCCTGCTCAACAGCAGGAGAGTCGATGTTATACACTACGGAAGAGACGCTAAACCATCTACAGCACTCGAGCGGATACAAGAAGGCCGAAGAGGACGCAAACAAGGAGGCCGAGGTGAAGCTTCAGGAGATCCAGGACGCCGGCAAGAACAAGGGGAACAAGGTGGTGGAGGATCTCATCCATGCGCTGTCGGACGTGAAGCCCGAGCCGTCGGAGAAGATTGTCGTCAAATAGAAAGGCGAGCCATTTGTTTTGCGGCGTGGGTGAATCTTGCTTCTTTTTCAGCTTCCTGCTTCCTGCTTAACGATTGTGAATATACTGTTTTGCTGTTTGATATGGTCGTCGACTTGACTGGGTTAATTGATATACCCTAACTACACGGGGGTTTCCCTAGAAGGTTGTTGAAATGTATGATGTGAATAGAAAACTGGAAAGTACCTTTCAGTCTGTAGAAAAGTAGTAATACTGAATGGCTACGGATCGGTTGTCGAGTGTGGTAATCACCACCATAAGCTCCTGAATGCACTTTCTGCCTCAGGCATAATACGGCGGCCCTTGCGTCATCGGACGCAGCCGCAAATAAATCGCCGACGGAACGCGACTAGTTGCAATCATGTACTTCGCACAATACCAATAAGCAGTGGACGATGATGAAGCTCGGTGCTACCAGGATCTGCACAAGTGCCAGATCTGTCAACGCCAGAGCCGGGTCCTCGCATTATCGTCTAATCTGCCCAACCCGGAGCTTCCATTCCAGCATCTTGCGCTCGAAAGAGCAACTGGATCCCCGCCTGGAAGACCTGGGAAAAGTTATCCGTGATGAATACGCCGTGGTGCGGGATAGTTATGGTTGGTTTTTGCTCAGCGCTGCTCAAATGCTGTTGATTGGGCGGATTGCTTGATGACATGCTGTGTAGATGCCCCTAAGAATCCTGTTGTCCTGGCGCATGGCCTCTTCGGGTTCGATACGTTGCGCCTGGCCGGACGGTATCTCCCTGGTGTCCAGTACTGGCGTGGGATTACGGAGGCCCTGTCAATGAAAGGGGTTGAGGTCATCACCGCGACGGTTCCGCCGTCGGGATCCATTGAGATGCGCGCCGAGGAGCTGGCGAAAGACATCGCTGTTGGCGCGCGGGGGAAGAGTGTTAATATCATTGCGTATGTGCTGGTATCTCTGTACTGTTATTGCATTATCTGACGAAGAGCAATTTACAGTCATAGCATGGTAAATAGCATGATCATGTTTACTTCAGCCAGTCGATTTACTAATTGAGTTGTTAGGGGTGAGAAAGTGCCTATGTCACAAAGCTTCTGATGTGCCTCATGTTGATAGTTATCAAGTGGACTGGATTCCCGGTACATGATCAGTCGGTTGAAGCCTACAGATTTCAAGGTGTTATCCTTGACGACGATAGCGACTCCCCACAGAGGTTTGTTTTTTCTATTTGGGCGAAAGCATTGGCTAAATCTTCCTAGGGTCCTCGATTGCGGATTATGCATTCAGCCAAATTGGAGGTTGGTCTGCCTACGCTCAACTTGACATCAATCCTGACTCTCGGCAGGCGATCGCTTAGCCCAGATGTACTATGCCCTGGAGCAACTGAAAGTCGAGACTGGGGCATTTTCCCAGCTCACGCGCGAGTACATGGAGAATACGTTCAACCCCGCTACCCCTGACATTGAGGATGTGCGGTACGTATTTTTCGAAAATCCACCACACGGCTGTAGGGCTGGCTGCTAAACCAATTGCAGGTATTTTTCCTACGGGGCGGCTATGCAGCCGAAACTATGGTCCGTCTTCCGCCTGTCCCACCGCATCCTTCAGCAGATCGAGGGCTACAATGACGGGCTTGTCAGCGTGGCTAGTAGCCGGTGGGGAGGACCGCACGGCTACAAGGGCACGTTGGTCGACGTCAGCCACCTGGACCTGATCAACTGGACCAACCGGTTGAAGTGGCTGGTTGGGGAGATCACAGGCAACCGACGAAGGTAATTTCTTTGATGGTATCCTGATGGCCTACGCTAACGTGAGATTTCGGTACCTGTAGATTTAACGCGATTGCGTTCTATCTTGACATCGCTGGTATGTTGAAAGGGGTAACATGTATCGTGCAAATGACGCTGTGGCTGACAACTTGTGTCTCAGACATGCTTGCCAAGGAAGGGCTGTGAAGGGAGAACCATTGGGGAGAAACTCTGATGCCTACTCCGTATATGCGAGGTTTGCATTGGAAGCTTGGCCGCGCCCAACTCGTTGCGAAGAGACGGTAATGGGCAGTGGATGCGATGCCCCATCCGTGTTGATCCACCTCTTTCGGGCTATTTGCTCCTTTGGTCTGGATCGATCCAAGACGCCGTTTGGGGGATACCTGATTCCACGCGTTACCGGGCTGGTGATAGAGGGTGGCGGTGCAAACCGGATCCCCGTCGAACTTCTATGGGTCCTAGTCAGAACAAGCCGAGAGTGGCTGAGCCAGAAACCCCGGACCCAGAAGAGAATGGAATAGACGGGAAATGGAATTCTTTCCAGTATCCACCGACCGAGCCCTGCCACTGCTGATCATCCCTTTCTTCTGGGAAGTCATTGGCTTGACGGTCATCGTTGACGGTTCGTGCCTTATCATGTACGATTTGGTCGTATGACATTTGTGTATTGTACTTGTCTAGTGTGCTCTTTTTTTTCTATGATCGACAGCCTGATTTTCTCATTGTGGTATTATTGAATTTTATCTATTGATCTAATTGTCTAATTATACAAAAATATGTTTATGACTGAAGGTTGTCAGCTCCGACAACGCCGGGCCGTTCTAGGCGTGGGTTGGGCCCCACGGTTGGCCCTTCTGTCCCCTGTGGTTCTCAACGTCATTCTTCTCCCCCTCGTATTTCTCTCGGCTTATTCCCGTCCATCCTCTTGTGGAGGAAATACTTTTAACCCTCTCCATTCCCCACTCCTCATCTTTTAAGGGCCTTAATTTTGACATTCGAGATCTATTCTTTTGGAGTATTGACAGTCGCTTTTGAACAGTCCTCCCTCCCCGATTGAACCAGCAACAGCGCCGCCGATCGACAGGTCCGCCCGGTGCGGGTGCTCGTCATGTCCGTCACAATCCACCTGGATCGGCCTCACGCCCACTTCACCAATCTCGACTTCCTTTCCGGCAAGGTTGTGCTGAATTTGCCGTCGGAGACTCCTATCGAGGGTATTCAGGTGAAGCTCGAGGGCGAGAGTCGCACGCGCCTGTCGGGGCCGCGACATCCCCACCATGAACAATCCGATAAGAAACGGACGGAATTGGAGGTCCACAAGGTGCGAATCGGATATCCTGCGGAGGCTCTGTTATCGTGAAGATCGCGACTGACGTGGAGTAGCTGTTGTACAAAGTAGAAAGCGTCTTCCCTACACCCGGTGTCTTCAATCAGAAGTCTCCGGGGACGACGTACACCTTTGCCGCGGGGACGTACGAGTATCCCTTCCACTTCAAGGTAGCGCTCCCCCGAATCATATTCTTCTAGTGTTTGCGCTGATGTGTTTTCGCGCAGTTTCCGTTTAACAATGCCTGTAGCATGCACAATAGCATGCTCACGAACTTGAATATCACGGGTCTCAAGGTCGAGGTGGCGCGGGACACGAATCGACACGTCAAGAAGACCCTGCCTCCTTCTTTGAGCGGATTCCCCGGGGAGGCCGACATCAAATACTATGTGAAAGTGACGGTGATCCGACCTGAGTTCTATCGCGAAAATATCCGCGAGGTATGTCGTCTTATGCTAACGAACGGGACTCGGTTTCTGGAGCTCCACTGACCAGTTTAGATCACGAATTTCAATTTTCTTCCGATCGAACCACCGAAGACAGGCGATGCGAACGAGGAGACGTACGCGAGGCGTCAGAGCCAGTTTGCCAAACCATCAACCACGTCCAAAGCGAAAGGGTTGTTCCAGAAAATCTCCAGCTCGTCCCTCCGGGACTCTGAGGCACAGCTGCCACGCGTGTCTGTGGACTTACGACTGCCGAATCCGCCAATCTTGACATGCAACGAGCCCATTCCACTACGGATCTTGGTCTCCAAAGCATCCGAGACTTACGAGACGATATTCCTGCAGATGCTACAAATTGACTTGATCTCGTATACACACATTATCGCGCACGACTTACGGCGAACAGAGCCCGGGAGCTGGGTCATCTTCAGTCGCAGTAATATGGGAATTCCTCTGGGAAGAGGTGGTGACCCCGTCGGCACTGAATGGGCGCTAGACGCTAGCCTGTGGAACCGTATTCCATTACCAAGCTCAGTGGCTCCCACGTTCGAGACATGCAACATCTCGCGGAGCTACGAGCTTGAGGTGCGAGTGGGGTTGACCTACGGCAGTATTGGTAGCATGAGGGTATGTCAACGTTACCACCCCAGATTCTCCCGTTCTCCGAGCATGCCATCTGACTGACTTCAAAAGCCGCAACTTATTGTACTACCATTGCGAATGCCGGTCAAGGTGTATTCTGGAATTGCTCCTCCTAAAGCCCTCCTGGATTCCATGGCCGTCACTGGACGCGTGAAACCGACGGTGCCACCTCCGACACCTGCTCGGCGTGATCATGACGGCCCCAGTGGACGCCCCCCTATGCCACCCCGGCCGTCCAGCGCACAACCGGTTCCCGTCAATTCGGAAGATGCCAACGATGAAGCACCCCCAAGCTACGAGGACGCGATGGCTGAAACTCTGAGCCCTGTGGATGGCCCACGTCGCGAGTATAACCCACCAGACACTTCCAGCAGACCCGTTGAACCTGGAGCTGATCGAAGACCGTCAGGTCACGCGGGAAAGGGACCTGAGGCCCGGTCGCCCTACGGCAACCCTGGAGCGAATTCATCCGCGGAGAGCTTTGACATGCTTCCGTCGACACCACCAGAGTCCCAGTCCAACTCGCCCCCGACGTCTCCGGTCGCGCGCCAGCAGAGTATTCTCAAAATCCATAAGGTCGCCCCACCAGAGGACAGTCCCCCACAGTATCAGACTATCGCGGAGGATGGCACCCAGCGGCCTCCGTCCTCGGGGCAAAGACCATCTAGAGGGGATTTTCGGGCCATGAACCTGGGAGTTCCCAGTCGCAAACCCGTTCCCCGGAGTCCCAGCGGACGGCATGCCTCCTAAGTCCTAACTAGGTATAACCCTGTATAAACACGAGCAGCTATTCTGATGGATCACATCTGACTTTCTGTCCTTGCGAGACTGTTTCATGCGAGGACGGTACTCGAGTGCGTCGCTCGTGGCAGCCAGACACGGCCTGCATTGACGCTGCACAATCCCTCCATATCCACCTGCCACCATTCCACCAATCATGATCATGTCACAAGGTGACTCGAAAGCGCGCATGCATCGCCTGGCGTTATGGTTCTTATTTTATTTTTACTCTTATTTTTACTCTTATTCTTATTCTCGTTTTCTCACATTATTAATAATATTCCACTTTTTGGTCAACGACATTGGCAATCATTGGATTGTACTCATTCAGGCTCTCGTTATTCCGGCTCTACTTGCATATTGACCTTATCCTTAGTCGTGATAGATGGAATATCAATTCGGCTTTCCACGCCAACCGCAACCTTATGTTTTACTGTAGTGTCGAGGTCAATGTAGCCATCACATCAAGGAAAATAGTCAATTACCCACAATTAAGCACAGGATCGTTGTTTGTTTTGATCGAACCGTGATGCGTGCCTCAGGCGCCACACCCGAAGCGGCTTAGCGGCGAAGATCTCGGGCTGCGAACTTCTCTCGTCGCGAGCTTTGGTCTCCGTCTCACTTCTTGGCTCGCCGACACGTCTTTTGAGTTAAAGCTAGCTCAAAACATGATTGTCGTTGCTCCTTCATAATACCCGGTTTTTACTAAAGTTCATGTTACCCCCCTCGTGCAGCTAGCTCTTTTTCACCGCTCTTCCTATTCATCCGCGACGTCCAGAGCGCAAGCACTTGAGCTGCTCGCAGTCGCATCACAAATCTCAACTGCCCACTCCATTCCAGTCCCCACCGCAATTTTTTGCTCATGGTTAGAGACCAGTAACACGACAGATAAAAAGAGCAGGCTCTTGGTTTTCCCGCGATGCGTCTACACCTCGTCATCCAGCGTCACGGGCTCCCCGTGACGCGAATTCTCTGGACGACTGCGCCGCCGTCGCTTTACGCAGGCCGGTCCTCATCTGGCGTTCCGGCTGCTTCGTCGGCGGTCACCTCGTCGCGGGCGCCCAATGCGCTATACTCGTCGGGGGGTTATACAGTCGCGCAGTTGTTGGAGGATGTCAACGAGGTGATTCCGCTTGAGACCGAGCCGGCTTTGTTCGACGATGAATACAGCGGGCAGTGGGGTCTAGAGGACTATGTGGTTGAGACGGGCGGGTCCGAGTGTCTGCATTTCATGGAGGTCGAGGGTCTTCTCCGAGACGGCGATGAGGTTGTGTGAGTTGTACCCTGGTACTCGTTTTTGTTGGGCTGTTTCTAATCTCCCCGTCTATCTAGGATCCGAGCACTAGAGGTTGCGGATTTGCGCGCCCGCCGGCTATCAGGTCGTCATCAGATCTCTCACGACGGCAAACACCTTATCGATGGGGTGCCTTTCGGAAAACCGTTCTTGAAACGCTCGACTGCCTCGCGTCCGGCGATTACTATCCCCCCGCGGAAGAGGAGACGGACGACCCATGCGGCGTGGGAGAATCGGCTTGCCTACGGTGATGAAGACGCGGAGTGGCACCCTGGTGCGCCTTCGCGGTCACAGGAACTTTCTGTCATACGGCCGAGTCATGCCGTCCACCAGAAGAGAAATGACCATTACGAGGACGAGTTTGAGGATTATCATGATAACGGGGATCGCACTAGGGAAGACGACCCAGATGCGGGGGACGCGACTGTCATCCACCATAAGCTCGACGAAGGCGCGGGTGGCGTCCCGGCAGATGACTTGGAAGACTACGGAGATGTCCAAGAAAGCGGCAGTGAACACCCGTCTGAGGATATCTCCGAGTTGGAAGACACAGACATGGTAGACGAACTGGAAGGTCTCAAGGAGGAGATGGAGCTGTCGCAAATGGCGGCTAATGGCATTGTCGACTTCAACCAAGCATTACAAACCGGCCCGTACCAGCTGCGCGCGAGAGCGGGCGAGACCGAGCCCAAGGCTCGGAAGAGCTCTCTTTCAAAACACGTCGACGATAGCTCCGCTCGTCGGGATTCCAAAGCAGTCCGGTTCCAGGGCCAGGGCCAGGTCCAAAAAGAAAAGTCACCGGCCCCACAGCCCGAGAAACGGCTCGTGAGCAAAGCCGGATCGACATCCGACGAGGAATCAGCAAACAGCTCCAGCGATTCATCCGCGAGCGACTCCAGCGCTTCGAGCTCCGACTCCGACTCCGACTCCTCAGACAGTGCCCAATCCAACTCCAACGCGTCCACCTCCGTCACCGACACATCATCATCATCGGAATCCGACTCCTCCGACTCAGACTCAGACTCAGACTCTTCCATCGAACCCGAAACAAAAATCACCCTCCGCAAAACCACCACCAACCCACCAGGTCGCGGATCCGCGCGAACAAAAAAGAGCAACCTGCGCACGAAGCTACGCCGCCGCCTCTCCAAACTCAAAGAACTAGGCGCCCTATCCGCAGAAGCCGACTTCACCGCTCTCCGCGAATTCGAAGAACTCCACGGCCACCAGTACTACACGGACGAAACCACCATGACCAAGAAACAGCAGGAGCAGGCCGAGTTTGAAGCCCGGCGGCATAAGCTCCTTCGGGATCTCGCCTCCGGCGGGGTCGATATCTCCGAGACTGCCACTACAACCAGCACCATCGGGAAAGAGAACGAGGCGCCCCGCAAATCCACGAGGAAGGAAAGCACACAGCGTGCGGAACAGTCCGCTGCGGAGTCTACCCCATCGGAGGAGGAGGAGGAGGATGAGGACGAGGGGCCTGAGAAAGCGCACTCCAAGCGACGCACACTAGACGTCGCCAGTTCCCGACGAATGGTCTTCGGGTCGCTGGGCGTGCGAACGCCGCAGTCGAAGGAAGACGAGGAAAAGACGCGCAAGAAGCTCGCTGGAAAAGTCAACCACTTCTTGCCTCGCCAGCTGGCCGTTGAAAAGCCTGAGGCGACCCCCGTCGTCAGTGACGATGAAGGCAGCTGGGAGGACAAGTTGGTGGTTCGAGCGACGGAGTGCGTGTTTGATGATGTTGAGCTGACGGCGCCGCCTTACCCGTTCGAGCAGCGCTGGGACCGCGAGGCTGCTTATCGGATTAAGCAGTTGAAGGGGCCGAGTAAGAAGAGGAGGAGAAAGCAGAAGACGCAGGAGTATGAGGTCCAGGAGGATTATGGGAATGGTGGTTATGACAATGGAGATGGGTACTGGGAGGGGGACTATGGGAATGAGGGATATGAGTACGGGAATGAAGACTGGAACGAGGACTACGCCAACGGTGAAGGCTACGAGGAGGGAAATACGGGACTTGATTACGACGACGCTGGCCTGGAGAACGATGATGCTGTTATGGGGGGGACTGAACAGCCTGCCGAGGCGGAAGAGGATTTGCCTTCGATGCCTGAGAACCCAAGCTCTCTTCCAACTCTTGTCGAGAAGGACGTGAACAAAGGGGCAGTGATCGCATACAAAGAACTCGACATGTCGAAAGCGACCAACTGGCAGCCCATCGTGTCCGAGTACCGCGTCGCAGAGGTCCAAGACGTCCTAGACAACGCATTCACCCTCCGCCTCGCCGCGCGCGATCGCAAGGCAGCCCGCGAAACCGAGGACGACGAAGACGACGAGCCCGAATACAGCGGCTTCGAGATGCCCGGGTATGACGAAGACGCTGAAGACGACGGATTCCGCGAGAAATCGTTCGGGGATCTGATTGACCCCAAGCTTCTCCGGGCTGCTGAACGTGCAGATCCCGGGGAGGCTGAGGACGCCAGCATGTCAGTACAATGATTTTCTTTCACTGTCGACTCGCGTTCGTGCGCTCACACCAGCCAGAACCACCCCCGCACGTGTGGCGCCTTCACTCCGCGACTCGAGCCCGACGGGGTCGGAATTCGTCAGCGCGATGGATGTCTTGGTGGATGATTCGCAGGTGTTAGAGTCTAGTATGATGCTAGATCATGGAGATGAGGAACAGCTAGAGGTTGGGGGCGAGAGGTCGGCCCCGACCAGTCCGGTCAAATCGCCCGAATTTATGGGCTTCGAGTCACCGCCACCGGAGTCATCCAAGTCTGATACCAACACGGAGCCCCAGGCCCTTGACTCGCAAGCTGAGCCAGCCGTGGTCCAATCGGGCGAGACTTCAGACGGACAGGGCCAAAACCAAAAGAACGACTCGCACTCTACCGTTCCCCCCAACCGATCAGAGGTCGACCCGCCAACGATGCCTTCCGAAGACGACCTGCAGATGATGAGCAGCCCCGGAAGCGTGGTATCGTTCAGCCGCCTGATCAGCAGTCTCCACGACAAGGAGCCAGCGACCAGCGACGCTGCGAAGCCAAATGAAGAGAACCCCCGCTCTCCCACCCTAGAAAGACCAGCTTCTCCGTCCTCAACTACCTCCATCGTCCCCAACCCATTCTACGAAATCGACAAGCAACACGAAGACACCGAACCGGATAGTACTAGTTCCCAAAGACGCACACGCAGGAGCCTAAAACGCTCCCAAGCAGCAGAAACATCAGCCTCGACTCCGCCCGCGCGAAAAGCCCCCCGCAGATCCTCCAAGCGCAGGAAAACAGCTCAATTCCAAGAAGACCTTATCACATCTGTTCCGGATAGCATGGTTGATGCCCAGCCACCTCCCACCCAAGAATCAGGCGTCTTCGTCGACCTAACCCAGTCCAGCCCGCTCGTGTCGCCCGGAGGAAGCGACGTGGACTTTGCGAAATCGCATCGTCTGCCGCGGGATTCCGGGTGGGTGCAGAAGGACTTGCCGCCTCGCACTACGCGCAGACAGACGCGGTCGTCGGTGGGTCCGGTCGCGCGGCTGCAGGAGATGCAGGAGGTGGGTGTGAGTCCGCCGGCGCGGAAGATTAGGAGTCGGAAGAAGTCGAGCTGAGTTGGTTTTTTGTGACTTGTATGTATATAATCATGTAATGATGGATGATATGGGTGGATGGCGTATGTGTGAGGCTTGTGAGGTGCAGTGTATATATGGTGCTGATATCCTGTGTATAATCCAGTCTAATCCTGCTAGTTATGAATGTGATGTCCCTGCTCTATTCTTTTTGTAATGCAATTGTCGTATGAAAAACCATGCTTGGACGAGGAACAGTGGAATAAGGCCTTCAACAATCAGGGTTATAAAGACCCTAATGGAGCGGAAAGATCACACACAGATCTCCTCAATGCGTAGCAATACCTATACAAAAGCAGACAAATTAGCGTGGATAGAAAATCAGTAAAGACAGGAAAGGGAACAGAAGATACATTCTCAGCAAACCTGACCCCGACAACCACTCCATCCTCATCCCTAAGTTTGACTCTTAAATCCCTCTCTGTGCCAAACACATTCTCCTCCCCACTATCTAGACACCCTAGGCAAGTAACCACTACTTCAGTGTACACGTCACCCACAAGGGCGGGCAACCTCCGTTCCGCAAGCTCGGTCAAAGACGCCTTGATCGCGAACCCGCCCCGCTTGGGATCTTTATCCTCAATCGCGTGGACGATATCTAGCTCCTCCCACGGCACTGTCAGGTCTGCAGACTCTGGAGAAGATGGGAATTTCGAGCGAACGAATGACTGCCATAGTGCTATTTCGAGAAGACACACGCCCAGACTGTAGATGTCGTGTTGCATGCTGTACAGGTCCTCAGGCCAGAGGCCCTGTCGCTGAGGATGGCGGTACAGGTTGCGGGCCCATTCGTGGTCGCCATGCAAGTCGGTGGGGCCATCTGCACGGCGGGTGCGCTCAAAGCCGACGAGGTAGGAAGGTCCGAGGTTTGCGTTTGCGTTTGCTGTTGCAGGTTCTGGTACCGCCTGTTGTGACGCGTTGTCTTCGGTGAAGATTAGGACTGTTTCGGGACGGATGCCTTTGTGCACGAATCCCATTGCATGGACGAACATCACAGACCGCGCGAGCTGCTTTGCGAGTCGCACTCGCTGGGACAGCGAGCAGGTTGGTTGTTCGAGAAGAAGACAGCGGAGGGTGCGCGGGTTTGAAAGGCCCTGTGGGATCGGGAAAATAAATTCGAATTGGCTGCTATTGGGACTCTCGGGGAACTCGATGACGCCGTCGCACTTGAGCAAACTGAATGTTTTGGGGTCAACGTTTGCGAGAAGACGGGCGAGGTCGCGGGCGTAGGCTTTCGCTGTGCGTGCGGTAGGAGTCGCAGGGTACCTTGTCCCATCGAGGAGGATGGGCTGGTCCACGCCACGGTATGAGGCGAGAAACGTGGTTGTTCCTGGAATTGGAGTTTTGGAGGTTTGTACTACGGAGGCGTCTTTGAATACGGAGCCCGTCTTGTCGGTGTTGTCAGGAGAGGAGATCTGCTTGATGGCCTCGCGCATGCGAGTCAGTCGGGCCATGGATGGGTCCGTCTCTTCTTGAGCTTCATCGCTGATTTTGAGCCGTGCATCGACCTTCGGTTCCGTTATCCGTGTAATCAGGTACCAGGAGGGGTCAAATCGACGCTGCCAGCCTTCGAGGTCCGCCATAGCTTGTTTGAGGTGTTTATGAAGGAATGGAGCCCGGAGCTTCTTGTGGGGACTGGCTGATACGTCTGTTACATCGCAGAAGGCATCGACGCTTTTTATAGCCGCTAGGAGTTTAATCTCTAAATTCTCCAATGCTTCTGTATAATGCACCTGGAGCTCTGAGCGGAGGGAGGACCAGATGGATCGGAGGGACTGGAGTTGGGTTTCTGTTTTCAGCCAGATACCTTCGATCGTGAGGATTATGTCGAGTATTCCAGCCTCTAGATGTCGACTATCACGACAAAGCTTAACCAACTGACGACCGTATCTATTCCAATCAGCTACTGGACTTGCAGGAGTAGTCTATAGTGAGATCGCTGCGGATTGATGAACGGATATGCGAAGTAATAGGTACCATTGAAAGATCAAACTCACTTCAGGCAGGCAGTAATAGTACCCCCTACGGCCAGCGCCAAGCCAGCGATGCTAATGGGGTCTGTCATCTTGTCTTCTTTCGTTCAAGTTGAAGGCGGGATGTGGGGAAAGTGAGAGGATGGAAAGTGAGGGGATCAACAAGGCTGCGCTAATGCAGCAGGTGACCAGTCAGTGAATTAGTAGTGACTGTGTTGCTACCTATCAACAAGAAATCATTCCTACAATCCCTTCTTTCGCTGTTGGCTATAGAAAGGCTACTATTTGAGATACTTTGATATCCGTTGTGTTCGAGTGGTAAATTGGTTAGAATTACTTCTGGTCATCAACTGTTGTAATCTCAACGACTCGTCCATGGAGAACGACGACTTCGCACGTCACTTTCAGCTGGATATCACCGTCCAGGGTGACCGCTGTCGTCAGGTGTACTACGAGTCTGATCCCAGTCGAGGAATCAGACAAAGAAAAGCCATTAAAATATGGACACAACAGCGCTTCTTGAAAGAAAATGTATACGTGCAGCGCACGCAGTCCGGGGAGATGCGTGTTGTGAAGCAGATTGTTCGGAAGCAGAATAGCATGCCCCAATATCTCTCAGAGCTGCAATTGATGGGCCGGGTTTCAAAGGTAATGAAACCCGATGATGTGAGATGTTATGTCTCTGCCTTGCTAATGAGGCGACACAGGAAACAAGCCTCTTTGTTCAGTTCCACGGCTGGTTTCTTTCCACAAACCATGTTTGCCTCGTGATGGAGTATTGTCCTCTCGGAGACATCTCGCAGTGCTTCCATGGTACTATGTCTGAGACAACAGCGCGGACGATGTGCGAGCAGCTCCTAGAGGGATTGGCAAAGCTTCATGAGATGAAGATCACGCACCGAGATTTGAAGCCCCAGGTAAGCTCAAAGTCAGCAGGATACTAGAACTCGCGCTCTAACAGCCGATGCAGAACGTGTTGGTCGTCCGCAAAGACCCAATCTGGGTTAAGATTGCCGATTTTGACATCAGCAAACGTGCTGTCGAGGGAGAAACACAGCTGCGGTCCCGCGTTGGTACGGAGGGCTACATGGCACCTGAAACGCTGGGGTTTATAGAAGATGAAAATCAGTCCTCGAGTTATACCAATGCAGTGGATATTTGGTCTCTCGGTTGCTTGGTGTATTATGTCCTGACCGGGAAAGCCCCATTCCAGAATAGCGTGTCTCTTCGAGATTATGCTTGGGAGGCAATGGAATTTCCTGAGAAAGACCTTATTCAGAAGAGGGTTAGCGGGTCAGGACGGGAGTTTATCAGAAAGATGCTGGCTTCGGAGCCCAAGGACCGACCAGTGGCCTCAACAGGTCTTGTACAAAAATGGGCAATTACTGCATTTGAGGAGCCTGGATTGGACTCAAACGAAGAGATTCGGGATGAATCTTCTACTGAGCCAGGTACCACAGAGTCTTCTACATATGCGAACCAAACAGACTCGGCGAGGACAACATCACCGGGGCCCAGCCTGCCCACAGTCCAAACACTCCCATTAGACAACACCGAAGACGACGAAGACGTGGTATCTTTCAAAGGCAAACCCTTCCCACAGTATCAAAAACTAACAAGATAAAGGACTACCACTCTTCCGAACTCTGGCACCTAATGCTCAACCCACAAGCAAGCTCCAAGCGGATCATTCCCCTCCTAGACCTAGGCGCAAACCCCAACAAGCGCCTCGACGGCCGCACAGCCTTACACCTAGCCGTCAAGCACGACACCGTCGAAAACCTGCAGACACTCCTCGACTACGGTGCCGATACGACCTTGCGCTGTCGTCCGCAGGAGGAAATTGCTCTACACATTGCGGCGAACGAGCGCGACGTCGACAAGCTTATGCTACTCGCTTCCCGACCGGGTATCAATATCCAGAATGCCGACGGTGACACTGCACTTTCTTTAGCGGTCGCCAGATTTAAGTCCGCTGAGGCTGTTCAGCTTCTGCTCGTTCATGGGGCAAAAGCCAACATAAAAGGACGACACGGGCGCACGCCACTTCATTACGCGATTGTGCTAGATCAGAAGGAGAAGGCCGATGTTATCCTTCGGGAAGGGGGCGATCCGAACGCGAGAGATAATGATGGCCGGACGGCGTTGCATTTGGCTGTTCTATCCCACACAATGTCGTTGCAGTTTCTGGAACGTCTTATCGATGCTGGGGCTAGTGTCAATGCGGAGGATGGCTGTGGGCATACCCCGTTATACAAAGCTGCATTCTGGCATAAACGAGATGTCATGGCCTTGCTTGTTGAACGTGGCGCCAGTTCCAGCTTGGGTAATTCGGGGCTTGAACGGCGTGTGCGCCGATTACTATCCAAGGGTGGATTGTCAGCCTTGCTTCCTTGGCCTTTGGGGACAAATAGAAGTTAAATAGATGATGTTACTGGTTTTTTCGTGGTAAAGACATGATATAATTTGAAATAATGACAGTAGCTACAGCTGGTTATCGCGCTGTCGAGCTGTGAGGCAGCGTCTGAACTCCAAATCGTGTGGATTTTGTAGATTTACCTTCATTCTTGGATAATGTCCCATACCGTCCCACAGTATAAAGAGACTAGAACCTAAATGCAATGAATTACCAAACGCATTGACCTCACTTCTAACCACATATACCTTCAATGAATCAACACATACAAGCTATCTAGACGCTTGGAGAACGCGATGGTGTCCAGTAATACCGAGGTCCATGATATCACCTATTCAGCATCCAAGGAAATTGCACCGCCACCATACTTCGAATCCTCAAAGGGTAGAAATTCCACATTTTGTCGAAGCACATAGCGACGAAAAATATAGGGGATCTCTACCGATAGTCGGTAGAGAATGAGATTCCGTGTTGGGGCTTCAAATGCCAATGGCACTTCTTCTAAAGCCAAGTTCTTCGTTTCTCGCATGAGGAAAAAGGCCAAGATAAATGCAATTAGGTTGCAAACGCTGTGATGGTTAGCTTAGGGTCTAGTGGAAGTACAGGTAGCTAGAGTAACTCACGCGAATGTATATCTGAAATAGACCCAGTATATTAGATTGGAAATGGTTACTCTCATTGCGGCAAATGAGCCATGGTACATGGAGATGGTGAATGCCAGTCCATAATCTGTTCATCAATAGTGTAAGCTTATATCAGATTTGTTGGAGGTTTTATTCGGTATATGTGGAAATACGCACCACGGTATTGTATGGGGAACGACTCCGCGACATACACAGATAGAGGTACCTGGCCGATATTATACATGACAACCAACGTGGCTTCTGCGGCAATGCCAGTAATATGTGGAACCGAGAAACCCCATCCAACGGGATAAAAACTCATAACACAGGCCATAGGAAGAATTGTCCATAGTAGCAACTTTCGACGTTTGGCGCGATCGGCTGCCAGTGCTACGGTGAATATCGCAGTGAAAAGCGCCAATGTATAGCCAAGTGTCACATAGAGCCATAAAATAATGGCGTTGTAACTAGAGCCTCCCAGGCTTTGAGTTGTCATCGCCATGTGGTAGCCCGACAACGATCGGGGAACGATGACGGATACAGCGGCGAGAGTTGCGCGGCTGGCTCTTGGGTTTGTGAAAAGGTGTAAGAGCGGGGCCCTTTGGGATTGCACCTCTCCTGTCGTTTCGAACCGGATATGAAGTAGATAGAGGTCACGGGCTGCCAACAGTCCTGTTGGCCGGAAATAACGCAATGAATCAAAGGCTGCGAGCATTTGCCCTTCGCGCACCAGCCATCGTGGGGACTCGGGAACAAACCAACAGCCAATGCAGATAGCTCCTGCGCATATGCTAATGCTTGAGTAGATCCAGCTGACAGGGACGGCGAGCTTGAGCATCGCTACGAAAACTTGGCCGAAGAGGGATCCTCTTTAATAAGTCAGGATATGGCCGCTTATATCAACCCCATTTGGGATAACCCATCGATTGTGGAGTGCATACATACATTTGCCAAGCGCCTGTTACCCTGCCACGTTGGTGATCGGGGCTTGTCTCGACGCAGTAGACTGGGATGGTGCATTCTAGCACCCCGAATGATACACCCAAGCAGAAGCGCTGGATAATGTTCGCAACAGACCATACCTCCAAACTCCCAGCGATGGATGTGACGATTATCAAAACCATGGCAGTAAAAATGGCTCCACGGCGACCAACGGCTCGGTTGAGGGGCACTGTGCACCAGCATCCAACCAAGGCACTACCAAGATCAGGTGCATTTCTGTTACACCAGCTCAGGTCAATTTATCGCAAAGAAAAATAACAATCACAATCCGAGTCTCTTACAATGCCACAGACTCAAGTGTGCTGGTAGCGGGGTGCCACTGGTTACCGCTGGTGTATGTCCACGCGGAGAAATGAGCCATCCCACTTGAAACAGAAAGAGACACGGCCGATGGTGTTAGTAGAGCCGTTGAGCAGCATGATCCTATCAACTACTTACTAAACTGCTGCCGCCAAGTAGATCAACATCATTGAATTGACGATTCGCGACTGAAAGGGTGTACATTTGCCATGCCTATACTCGCCATCTTTACCACTCGCAATATCAATCTCCTCCTGGTTCAACCCTTCGGTTTGCGCCAAGTCACTGGGATTGTGTGCAATAAGGGCCGCCTTTTTTAGTAGGTCACGGATATGGCCCAGATTGTATCTTGTTGCGAATTCATCAACGTCCAGGAGAATTTGGTGCTCTCTCCTGGTTATGTTTCTTCCCAGTTGCACGTCACCAGACATATTGACCGTGAATGACCAAAGCAGGATAGTCTGAAATATGACTGTCGTAGAAATTTCTTTCTGTAAATTTGCAAAACAGGAAAGACCAGCTGTAGTCAGACAGATAACGACAGTGTAGTGTCGACTCCCATGGATGAGGCTGCGTCTTGCTCGGCGCCAGGTGCCCCGCACGTGAGGCTGCAGGGTTCAACGAATCAGACAAACTTATTGGCCAGATCGATGGCTGGTGGAATGGAAGCCTCATCATGGTTTATTGTCGTGGTGTATTATCGAGGTGTATTATCATGGTTTATTATAGCATGGAAGGAAGGAGAGGTGGGTGGCAGTGAGATGATCAGAATGAAAGCCATAAGTTTGAAGAAGCTGGAGCCTTCGGGGCAAGGCTAGCATTATGTCGTGCCTCAGAAAATCAGGCCAATCTGTCTGACTTGATCGTGTCTGACCAACAGCAAGATACCTAGGATCTCAGCAGCGATTCGCTACATTGAATGATGGTTGGTGGTGATATAGTCCACGTAGCTGACATAGCCTTCTCAGCCTGTTCTCTTCTTTCCGCAACACTCGCACGCTACCGATACTCTTCCGGGAAATTCCACGAATATGACTCCAAAGTCCAGATGTGCACTACATTGAGATAGTCAGTCATATTCCCAAGTCACCACGACGCAATCCGACAAGAAACCCATGGTTGCGAACTGGACTCAAACTCAGCACAACGATGCCAATCAGCAATGGCCGTATAACCTCGAAGTATGGAGTAACGGATGGATACAGTGTACAATCGCTTCACGGTCACCCCGCACCCCGGCCAAAAGCCTATCCCCAATCGTTGGTGGATCTGCGTCGTGCATGGTGGTGGTGTCACACCCACTAAACACGAGCATGTTTTTTTTCTTTCCTTTTGACGAAGTTGGGTATAACCGACACGGTCACCCAGGGTCTAGATAAAAAAAAAAAAAGGATGGGTAATTGGACAGGAGAGCACGACAATAGGAATCATCGTTTTCCGAAACAGAGTATCAAGGCGTTATCGCAGGGAATATCTTTCTATCCTGTCAAAATTTTGCAACATTAACGGCCAGACGGCGGCACGAGCCCCGACCATACCATCAGCGATAGTGACATATGGCTCCGTCTTGAGTCGGATTTGACAAAAATCATCAAATAACAAGTCCTCGCGAATGCAATTCTCGTACCCGCGCCCGTTCAGCCGCAGCTACCGGATTTGTTTGTGCCCTGTTTTCCGACATGGCCCACGTCTCGCCGCAGCTACCTCCACATGCTAAAACTCGAGATGCAGATGAAACACAAAGGGCTCTTGTTCGTTCTCCAAGGGATCTGACCGAACTGGGTCTATTGTGGTGTAATGACAAGCTCCCATTGGTATCGTACTATGTGTACAGGGTCTCCTGATGAGTTGGACCGGTTTCCCCCATGGGGTCCCCCATGGGGATCATCCGCTGCAAAACGTCTTGGCGTCCTTCCTAGCGATCCTTATCGCTATGATGCTGTACAGCCCGACGGGCGTTATCAAGACCCCTAATCGGACCGAAGAAGCAGGGATCGACATTACAGATGATTGGAGAATTGACAGCGACGGAGGGGCCGAAGTGGGTATTCCGGGGTTCGAAGCCAAGTTTTGTCCGGTCGGAATGCAGATAATTGCCACGGTGCTAATGGGCGATCCTTCCGCGAGCTTGGCTGTGGGATACTTAATTAGACGATATACGTCGGGCGATTCTCGACGCATGATTATTCCCCAAAGATCTTGCGACTATTCCCTGAAATAATACAGTGTTTCGAATCGAACGACCAAAGGAAGTGCCAAGCAAGGCAGTGGAGCAAGGCGCGACCACAGGCCGCTTCCTATTTGCAGCAGTCACTGGTCCGCTCAGCAAATCTCACTGGGTCTGCTCCACTTGGCTAGGCTTAGTCCATGGGCTTACCTGACTGATCCACCCCCCGATGACGATAGCTCTGAGGCTCTTGCCTTAGGGGCGGGTTTTTTTATTTGAATCCCGCTCCCCTCATCTTTCCGCTCCTGGGCGGGAAAAAAAAGGGTTATTAATTTCTAGATGAAAAACCCAAAAGGATGATTCCATTTTAAGATGAATCTCATCCGCAGCATGCAATACCGCAGGGCTGTCCTTATATTAACCGTTCCCACCCTGTTGGTGTTTGCCTTCACGTTACATTATTTTCTGACGAAGCCCCTGAGCCAACCGTTCGCGTCCTACGTGCCCAAGACGTCCTCACGACCGGAGCAGTCGGCGAGCTCATCGACCACATTTAATAAACCCTACTCGCGCACCCTTGTCATCGCCAAATCCACACATGATGACACGTTATGGGTCGACAAGCTCGTGGCACAGGATCCCAACCTCGGCAGCGCCATCTACACGGTTGACGATAACACCACCGCCACGTTATCCGTCCCCGACAACAAAGGCCACGAGGCCATGGTCTATTTGACCTACATTATCGACCACTACGACTCGCTATCCGACGTCTCTATCTTCATGCGCGCCCAGCAAAACGCGTGGTACAATAACGACATCCTAAATGGGGACTCCGCCAATATTGTGCGCCACCTGCGCAGTCAGCACGTTATCCTGTCGGGCTACATGAACCTGCGCTGTCACCAGGAGCCTGGATGTCCGGATTACATCCACCCTGGGGCGGAGACAGACACTCGAAACAATGATAACAACCGCCACGAGAGTCCCCTCGAACCAGCCGTCCTCCGCGACGTGTGGGCCAAATTATACCCGGGCGCCCGACTACCAGACGTCCTGTCGCAGCCGTGCTGCGGGCAGTTTGCGGTGAGCGCCCAGCGCATCCGCACGATGACGCAGCGCCGCTACATCGAGTTGCGCGACTGGTTGCTCACGACCGACCTGGACGACGACACGGCGGCGCGTCTGTGGGAGTATACCTGGCAGTGGCTGTTCACGGGGCATAGCGAGTATTGTCCCTCGGAGACGACCTGCTATTGCGACGGGTACGGGATCTGTTTTGGCGCGGAGGATTATCGACGATATTACGAGTATCGGCGGGAGGCACTCCGGTTGGAGGCGGACCTGAAGGGATTGAAGCAGGCTGGTGGCGCCGCTGTTGCCGAGACGGGCGCGCGAATACAGTATCTGCATGGGAGGATGGATGAAATCAAGGAACGGGTTATCACATAGAGCATTAACATATTAATCATTTGTATTTCTTTAGGCGTCAATTTGGAATGGACTGATATTTAGAGATTTTTAGTCGAACCCGAGGGATAACGAATCTACGCATTTACCACACAGCAAGAACCCAAAAACCGTCTTTGGAGATAGGATGGAGACGAATCAAACCCTGCCCAGACTAGCGTTCATGGTCCAGGATTGTACAAGGGTATCTACTAAATAGATCTCCTAACCCGTTCTACTGGGAGAAATAGCAGGGGTAATAGATTCCTGGAGATCTGCCTAATTCCCATCAGGCTACCCGTGAACCCTGAGCAATCAGGCCGCGGGGCAACAACCCTGAGCAATCAGGCCGCGGGGCAACAAACACCCCAGGCTCCTCGAGATTAGTCATGGGTCCATCCACCAATCAATCTCCTGTCACTAAGCTGGACTAGACCTCACTATCAACGCGAACACGAGGCTGTGCTAACCGCGCCAATTCCCTTGGAACCTCCTCAATCATGTCCCACAAACCGGACAAAGGCCTGGAGACATGTCCGGCCTCGAAGTCGTCGGGATCGCGGCGAGCATCGTGCAGATCGCCGAGATCGGGACTCAGCTAGCAGTCAAGCTATGCGCCTTCTACCACAAGATCAAGACCGCCGACCAGCGGATCCAGAATCTGTCCAACAATGTCGCCTTGACCAGCTCCGTGCTCAAGTTGCTAGGTGACAATTTGCAGCAGGATGAACAGGCCAAGCTGTACTCCAAACAAGCGTTCGGCACAACGCAGGGTGTCCTAGACGAATGCAAGGGTGTCTTTGAGCAGATCCGCGATGCCCTCGATCAGAGCCCGTCCAAGGGCCTGTTTCAGCGAGCGGCGAAGAAGTTGAGTTTTGTCGCGATGGAGGGAGAACTAGAGCTTCTGGGACGGAACCTGGAACGACTAAAGTCCACGCTCCACTTGATGCTCAACGTCATTATGTACGCGGGGCAATTGCGGAGGTTGGTACCATCTCGGGCAGCGCTGATTGCGCGTGTGCATGTCGTCTGGGTCGTTGTTAATGTGACGTAGTCGCACAGAGCCAACCGCCCTCAAGGACCAGCGAGATCTGATTCAATCGCTACTCGACCATAAGAGAATGTCCGAGCGACGCTTCGAAGAGATGACCAAGGCTCTCGAAGGGGCGAAACTTGATAATGACCAGCCGAAAGGCCTCCAGCCGGAACATCTCATGTGCGCCGCCACGCTGCCGACCCCTACGAACAACCCTCTCGCGGATCTGGGCAAATACTACCTCTTGGTCAAAAAGCTGCTGGCGGACGTGGACAGCTACCGCGCTGGTCTTGAACAAACTCAGCATAGTAGAGTCCGAAGCGGAGTCTTGCGCATTCACAATGATGAAATTCAGCGTATGGAAGTCTCCCACGGTCCACAAATGGCTCAGATGTTTAGGAATAGAATCTATGAGCTTTCCGATCGGTGAGTCGCGCCCTTCGTGTGTCACGTTGTCTATTCTAACGATAAAAGACCTGCGGATATTGAGCAGCACATCTTTGGGCCACCACCAAAGACCGATGCCGAGCCCCCAAGGCCTGTGGAAGTTAGTCTGCCAACGCAACCCAATATCGCACAACCGCAAATGCCTTCCCAAGGTAAGCTTATTAATATCTTGTCAAAATCCCCTGTCTGGGGCTCTGATCTGTACTTATTTTCGCGCCGTAGAAGCTCAATCCCGCCATTTCCGGGGGCGCACCATCGAGTTGTTGGCAGAATCCAACGAGGGAGTAACCCAAAGCCGACCAAGTTCCACGAAACCACCCTACCAAGCAGCACCAGCACCTCAAAGTCCGGCACCTGTTCATAACCCATCTCCTCCTTTCCTCGATACAATCAGAGCTCTCGACCGGCTTTCTCCCGCGCAACTGAGTACACTCGACCGCTTGGCCGAGTCCATACGTGATCAAATGGAGAAATCCGCCTTGGAGAGGATCGAAGCGCGGCTACACGTGGTCAACGCTGGCCGGTATAATGGAGATATCGTGCAACTTTTCTTTCGTCGCAAGGCTCTTGAGCAGCTTCAGAAACGTCGAAGTCAGATGCAAATGGGCTCCAACGGAAGCCCGGCTATCGATCCCAGGAACCTCACGAATGGGGGCTCTCCGGACATTTATGGGCTACCCGCACAGCAGCAGCAGCAGCAGCAGCAGCGCCAGCAGCGCCAGCAGCGCCAGCAAAGAACACAACCTTTCACCAACCCCGTCTCCATCCACCCTGCCCAAGGAAATGTGGATTTGGATGGGTCATACACCCAGGCAGATGCCCCAGTTAGGAGGAGGGCCGCCCGTCGGAGCGTTGCGCTACAGCCAAGTCCCTATGATAACCTTTATGCCGACCCCCTGGGATCCAGTCAAACCAGCTCGCCGGTCCCCAATCAACAACTCCCCGAACGCTCGGAGTATCTACCCACCCCACGTTTTATCTTAGACTGGCAAAACCAATCTTCCTTGGAGCGTAAGTTTTCTCTATTCACATCCTGCAAACATTACTCACTCATCCCATTTGCTCATGTGTGTAGTGATCCACCATCGCAGCAGATCCGACACCTCCGCGTCTTTCACTAGTAGTGGCAATCATGGAATGGCCAATCCCTCCCCCCAGGAAGACCGACAGCAATCAACTTCTCCCCCGTTATATGGATCTTCACCACGAGAACAAGAACACGGTTTCCTTGAATGTCCTCGGAAGAAAAGGCGCACTCGTTTAAATGACGGCTATGGCTCGTCTCCGTATGTTTGTTTCACAGGTATCAAGAAGACTCCGCCACTAACGACAGTCTTAGATCCTCGGTTTCACCTAGCTTCGAAACGGCCGTTGGTACTCCTTCCGAAGGAGTGGACGGTCCCATCACCAAGGCTACACCTAACGAGGTCGACGATCTGGTTCTCCAGTGGACGACTGTTGGTGGTGATGAGATCGCTACGGCTTTGCGAGTCGATTAAGTTGGTATGTCATATGAATCATATCGGTGTGTGTATTACACTGAATGCAGGTGTTTAATATCTGGTAGTTTGGTTATAGTATATGTTTTGGATATTGTCTTAGTGTCGGTGGCCTTGTAGTATCCTGCAACCAGGTTAATATTCACAATTAGCCAGCAAGAATTCTGCGCTGGCAATGGTTGCACTGTAGTAAATACTAGATCGAATACTCTGTACTATAAGTAGTATCAATAAATTATAATACACCGTATATGAATATAGAGAGTTTCTGACAATATCTTATCCTAGTCAGATCTAATATCAATCTAATTCTATTAACGAGTTATCAGTCCAGAGTAATCCTAGCCCCGATACGGAGTGCATCTAAGACAATGACATTAACCCCCGCCCCAACTACCAACCTACCTTCTTACCCCCATCAGATCCAGCTCCGATTTCAGTCCCAATTCGATCCCAATTCCAACGCCAAATAATCCACAAAGAAAAAAGAAAAGAAAAGAAAAATGTCCAACCAAGAATTCACAAAATACTCCAACTCCTCAAGCACCTACTGGCCCCCAGGCTGGAACTTCGCGCGATACGCGCACGCCACACCCGCCAACAACGCAGCGCTGAGCGACGACGAGCGTGCCAAGATGCAAGCTGGGTTCCGCGAGGTTCTGGGCGAGGAGGGCGTGGCTGAGATGGCGCGCGTTGTGTGGCTGGAGCAGTTGCGCTTGGTGAGGGTTGAGACGGAGAGGGAAAGAAAGCAACAGGAAGAGGGAGAGGGAGGGGGAAAGGTTGATGGAGCGGGAGAACGACGTCCGCCCCCGCCGAATTGGTTGAGGGTTTGGAGGAAGAGGTATCAGGGTCAGAAGGGGCAGGGGCAGAGTTGGGGGATTGTGGTGTTTTGGACTGCTGGGGCTGTGAAGAGGGTTGTGGAGGATGCGGATGCGGGGGGGGAAGGGGTAGAGGGGTTTGAGGAGAGGGTAGGCAAGATTGTGGAAATCCCTTTTGAGACAGCTTTGGAGCAGGGACAGTCTGCTGAGGAGGTTGATGAGGCGCGGAGTTCGTTTGGGGTTCGGTGGGTGAGGGTATCTGATGATGATGGTGATGATGATGAATCCCAGGGAAGGGACAACACTGTTGAGCGGCTACGCGCGCAGTATCACTCGATGCAGGAGCAAGAGTCTGGTCTCTTCCTACCGATCTTCCTGGTTGTGTCTTCGTCGGCCGTGGCGTCTGTGCTGTCTACGAGTGAAAGTGGAGATGAGAAAGTGAGAACGACCAGTCCGCGGTGGAGAACCGGAGCGCCGTTCCTGCTTGCGGTTGCTGCGACGGAGGATCAAGGTGTTGTGAGTGACGATAATGACCAGGAGGCTGGTGGGGAGAAAGACTGGTTCAAGTCTGTCTTTCGTGTTGCGATGGAGGTACTGGTAGATGAGCTGTGGCCGGTGGTCGAGGAGCAGATGACGACGCTGGGGAGGATGACGAGATTTGTACAGCAGGCGGAGGTGACGGAAGATATACCAATTTTAATAGATGAGGAAGATGGATTGGATTCTATCTGGTGGTCTGTACATGCGCCGCCGCGTCATATGAGGAAGCGGAGAAGATTGTTTACATAGACTCAAGATTATTACTCTTATATAGTAAGTCTCCATCCCGTCTACTGCCTCAGCTTAGGCGAGCTCACTTCCCGAAGTCTATCGCCACACTACATCCAAAGGCGCCGTCGTTGAAGTAGGGCGTCGACTGTTGGTGCTAGGGATGGTGATGAAACATACACGCGAAATACAACTGGCCTGTTGTATAGTCTAGCGGACCTTTGTATTTGCACGGAAAACACGGCATCGACTCAGTACGTGACTGGGACAGATAAGGCCAAGTTGCATTGGGCTGAGGTGCCAGAGAAGCGGGCCTATGTTTGGTTGGCAAAGAAAAATTGTTCTGATAGTCATACAATGCATGTCATGGGGTGGAAGGGTACAAAGCTCCAGTGTATGCAATAAGCTATGGTCAACTTTTATTCAAATCCAGCGTGACGGTAATACTAATATTTTATCACCCGAGCAGGCTGGACAGGCAATGCTAAATCATATCAAAGCGTAAAGCGCTGCACCTTTCTCAGTCGCTCACCATACTTATAGAATACAATAGGCAGAGGAATCATCCCGATACAAATAAACCCTAGCAGCGAATTCCCCCAGCCCAGCCCCAGAGTCTCATACATGGACGGCCCGGCGAGAGGGAGGAACGCACCCACTAGACTGCGGAGGACGGTGTTAGCTGCTATCGCAGACGCCGCATACATGGGGTAGCAGTCGACGAGGTAGGTCAGAATCGGCAAGAACAAGCCCATAATGCCGAAGCCGAAAGGCGCGAGCGCAATGATGGGCAGGATCCAGTGCGTTTTGTAGTAGGCACACCAGCCGTACCAGAAGAAGGTGATGGGGAGGAAGAAGCCGGAGAAGATGCTGATTGCGAGACGCATCTCGGGCTTGAAGCGGCCGCCGTTGGCTTTGGCTAGCTTGACGACGCTCTTGTCGGAGTAGAGCGTGATTAGGAACCAGCCGATGAAGTTACCCAGGCCGAGGGAGAGATAGACGAGGCCTGTGGAGCCGATGCTGAAGCCGTAGACGGATTCGAAGACGGTGGGGATCGTCGTGAAGAGGAGGTAGAGCACGCCGTAGACGAAGGCTATATATAGGGAGAGGAAGAAGACGAGGGGGGATAGGGCGAGCAGCTTGATCGGGCGGATGAGGCCGTTTAGGAGAACCTGCGTACGGTTCTGGGCGTCTGCGCCGCCTTCGTAGCAGCTTTTCAGGTCGTCACGTCCCAGCTCTTTGCGCAGACGGGCTACCTTGTGCTGGATGAGGATACGGTGGTTCGTTTCGCGGTTGAATATCTCAAGCACCACGGTCAGGACACCGCCCAGCATGAGGATGATCCAGAAATCCCAACGCCAGCCGATGGTCTGGGTCACGTAGCCGCCCACGAGTGGTCCAAGAATAGGACCTGGTTCGTCTCAGCATTGAACAGGACAAGATATTGCATGATACGTACCAAACAGCGGACCCAGAGTCCAGAAACCCATGGCGAAACCCCGCTGGTCCGTGCGAAACATGTCTGATATCACACCTCCACCCAGTGTCTCCAACCGTCAGTATCGCACTCGGTCCTTCTTTCAAGCTGGGGTCTTACAATACACCCCGCGCCCCCAATCCCAGTGAGCAGCCGGAAAACAATGAGAGCTGCCAAATTCGGAGCCAACGCGCATCCAATCTGCCACACACAGAAGAACAGATTCGCCGCAGCCAGAACCAACCGCCGCCCATAGATCTCCGACAGGGGCGCCAGAAACAGCGGTCCGATCACATAGCCGACGAGATAAATGCTAACCGTCATGGAGCCGATCGCGATATCGTCATTTCCAAACTCCCGGTCAACACTACCGATAGCAGGCGACAGGATAGACGACGCGAACGGTGTGGTGAGCGTGACCAGCGCGATCAGACCCAGCAGCAACCACTTCTTCCACGCCGAGAAATTCATCGGATATTCGGGGTCATCTTGGGCGTCCCACCCCACGATGCCTTCTTCGAGATTCGACGTCGGGATGGGTTCCTGGCGCAGTCCTCCGTCTTTATTCCGGCCGCTGGCGGCGCTCAATATCCGACTGATCTTGCTCTTGACACTTCCGCGCGTTTCGATCTTCTCGAGATCCTCGGGGCCTCGTAGCTAATCGCGTTAGATATGGGTCAGTCTTGGAAAGCGAGTGACTCACCTCTGCGAGCTCCACGTCCAGCTGGTGACCCGGCACGGTATCTTCGGCGTTCACCACGTCATGACTCACACGAACCCCGTCACTGCCAAAAGAGCTGCCAGAGCGACGGTCGGACGTAATACCGTGTTTCTCCATGCTAGGGGTGGTCCAAGCTGGGGTCACTCGTGGGTAGTTGGGGTTACGCGACAAGCTCCGAGAAAGTCGACGACGGCATAGCTATTAAGTATGATTGAAACAGATATTAATGCTTACCAAGAATTCCACTATGCTAGGACAGCCCCGGATAAAAGCCTTTTATGCATTGCGCACAGCGGGGTTGTTGAGGGACGCCTCCAATGGCGGTGTTCTTGCAGGGACATCGTTGCCTTTCTCAGCTAGAACGACGAATTAGTGGCGGTCCGCGCGGTGAGGGGGCATTCTCGGCAGGTGCCGTGATTGCCGTCTGGTTCGGGCGTATTTTTGGAGGTTGTTTTATGGAGAATGTGGCTAAACTGGAAATATCCAGATGGAATGTTGGAATGATGGGATCGGTCAGGCTTTGGTTATTGAAGGCAGATTTGCCGCAGCCCTAAGTAGGGCATCAGATGCCTCGGGTGCTATATCAACGAAGCTGCGGCAATCACCGCAAAGACGAGATGAAGGGTATCAGTGACGGTATTAGCACGGGCTATAGCTACTAGCCAGTCTAATTTGAATTGGGCTGGAAGTCCTCCACAGGAACCCCGTCGAGACTGCTAGTACGTCTGAATGCTGACTGCATGTCCGGAGCTAGGTGGACCTGGATCATTCCGGACATACTTTAAATTGGTTAGTATAATCCCAGTATACAGCTAGGGATGTGTAAAGTGACTGGTAAATGGAGTCATTCGCAGTACAGATCCAACAAGGCTGCGGGGCTGAACTACAGTCAACTTACTATGCCCTCAAACAAGTATATAATCCAAAGTCCCCACTATACTATCCATCTCCACCAAACCAACCACCTGACTAGTAAAAAGACTACTACTTTCCTACACCTTAACATCGACTGGCTCAACCACCCTTCCAATACATATTATAGCGTTTTGAGCATCCTCGCCACCTATCTTCCCCCGGACTCTCCCATCACCCCACAACAAGCAGCCGAGCGACTCCAAGCAACGCGATATCCTCGCTTTTCAAGCCCCCGTCGCGGCGATCCACCTCAATTTGTCCGCTCCTTAGTTGCACTGGGATTGGTTTAACAGACTGTATTCGGATGAACCGCCAGGCGAACTTGGAAAGGGCAGCCTGTCAAAGGGATGCTCGGTCCCAATGTAGCAGTTTTGGAGGGTGCGGTTGGAGATGCTCTGGGCTTTAAGAGTGCGCCAGAGGAGACCGTCTTGATGCATAGGAAGGCTGTGGGAGTCATGGATGGTGTGGGTCATTGTGGTTAGCGTTATTTACTACATATTAGTTGAATGGTTCACGAGATTTATCAGTCAACTACGAAATAGTTAGTTATATACAGCGATCAAATAAAGTATTACCGCAACCTCACATCCTAACAACAACAACCAGAACACCTCACAAATCAATGTACTAAAACATGATAAAATTGACCGAAATCAACAATCGCAGATGTAATACCAAAAACCCCAAGATTCCTTCCCCAAGGCAGTGAATGAGGCTGAGTCGGCCAGGATTAGCGCTTCTAGCTTTGGCCCCCATCCGGGCACCCAAAGCTTGAGCCAGCCAACGATAATCGAGGCATACAGCCTTCCCTATGCTGTATCAGGAGTGAGATTGGCGCAGGATTCAACCGGGGGACAATCCTTACTGCTTGGATTTGATTTGTCTGTGGGGGGTTGCATTAAGGCTGAGCTTTCCTGCTTTAATGGGCGATGTATTTAAGGGGTGGGTGCTGCTTGCTTTATTTACTTGCTATTTAAATACTTTTATATCACTGTTGTTGCTGTTGCTGTTGCTGCCGCTAATTCTATCTCTGCTTCTACTACTACTACTTCTATTTAAATACTGCACTGCACCATTACGAAGCGGTCAATAACGAAATAAAACGATAAAATGAAACCATCCATCCCGTTCCTACTATTCCTAACGAATGCGCTCCTTCCAGCCAGCGCAGCAGCCTCCCAGTCCAACCCCCCCAAAACAGACGCCTACACACTCGACTATTTCCGAAAAGTCGGTGCCTGCTTCTTATACACCGGAAAGGGGGGAGATCGCGAAAAGGCCATCTCACCGTGCAAAGAGTGGTGTCCTGCTCATGAAGGGAAGGATAAACAGGGAATTGGTGTATGTTCCACTTCTTTCATCCTTTATATGAATATATACATCATTTCCGAGGTCAATACTAACAATAGTATAGTGCTATATTCCAGGCATAACGACCCTCGACAAGCTCGACCCCAGCATCTTCCTCAACGACGAGCAAGGCCACGAATACATCCCCGGGAAATGCCTCTGCGAGAACCCCCAGAAGTATCTCCCCCTCGTCGAGCCAGTCATAAATTCGCTGTCGAAGCTGGACGACATTCTCTGCGGGGTGTTCCTGGAGAGTTTTAAGACGATCGCCATGTTTGGACTTAATACCGTGTTTGGGGGTGGTCAGGCGGAGGGGCTCCGGATGACTGTTGATGGGACGAAAGGAGCTGGTACCGGTGATGGTGCTTGTCGGTTTTTGTTTGGGTGATTTTGTTCATGGTATCGTGGACTTACGGTCATATTTGATGGATATGGAACATGTTCGGCACTGCTCCCGTGGAGCGCGTTTGCACGTTCCGAACAGGGCTATGGCAAGGCAGCCTGGGATATGTGGGCAGGTCAAGACGCGCCATCGACAATTTTCGTGGGTCGACTGGCTGCCATCAGCAGCTTACGGCTGGATTCCACACCGGGACAACTGGAGGCCACTCTTTTATCACCAAGGTGATTAAGCCTTGCAGTTCAAGGTGGAGACTCACTATTACCGCCCCTGTCGGGCTATGGTCTTCAGTATAGCCTGAATCGATCAACAATCGAAATACAGGCGTCATGGTTAAACCAGCTAGTGACGTACCAGTGCAAGTTGAACATCTTCATTCTGTTTCGTGTGCCGCCTTGTCCAAAGGAAATGGCATTGGTATATGATGACAGAAGGAAATGAATACGTCTCAGCTTATTTCATCAATTTAAATACCTCAATTCGTGCTCAATTGTTCTATGTTGTCATTCTTATAATGTCAGCCCGCAGAATCATGGTGACATTCACATTCGACCGCGTTTATGGACTGAATGATCAAACAAATTTGTTCGGGTCTGCGTGAAACAGCTTGATAGCAGCGGGAACCTGGTGGTCGAAGTCGTCGGCCTCTGCTTTTGCGATCGCACTGAGCACCCGGTCCCGACTAGACAATAACTCGCGGGCCACTTCCCCCCAGCCAACCCTCTGCTTCGGGATAGTCACCCCGGGAAAAGACGGGTCGATCTCGACAGAGGTCAGTTTCCCATCGTCCTTACGGATGCGCCCGTCAACAATGACAGTGTCAATATCTCGAACGGACGAATGAAGCACAATAGCAGCGACGGGATCCTCTTCGGACGCACAGATCATGCCTGGACTTCTGGCATCGAAAATAACCAAATCCGCCAGCTTCCCGACTTCGATCGAGCCTAGCTGCTCCTCCATATGAATGGCCCGAGCACCCTGAATAGTGGCCAGTCTGAAAGCATCCTGTACGGTGAGATCCAAAGATCGGGAGGACTTCCCCTGCGCAATGAGCTCCTCGTGGCGATAGGATCGCTCGCTCTGCAGCGCAAGACGCATCTGCGTCATCATGTCGCTAGAATTGTTGCTGTGGCAGTCGATGCCAAGGGAACTGATATCCCTGCACCCGGCCTGGAAGCAGACCGGCTTCCCGTGTCCCATCTGCAGTTCCGTGTCGGGGGTTGAGGAGATCCAGGATTGTGCTTTTTGGAGTTTTTCGATGTCCGTAGGGGTGCAGTTGGTGGCGTGTGAAAGAAGGATATCTGGTCCGAGGAGACCGTAGTCCTCAAGTAGGTCGACATGAGATCCGGGGCCTTTATCTGTCAGGGAGGAGGAACAAAAAAAGGGGAGAAAAATAAGAAATTACCAAAATATTCTCGAACATAATGCGATGTAATAACCTTAGCTCCCGCCTTGCGAGCCCGCGTAAACAATGCTATCACCACTTCTCGAGGAAGCATGAGCCCGTCAAAGCCCAAACCAAGCTGCACTCGGCATTCGCCAATAGGAAGTGCGGCACCGAGCTCGTCGAGCTGGCGCAAAACCCACTCGTCCAGGATATTGAAATCCGGAATCATGTCAGGCTTCCACATTTTGAGTTTGAGCGTGGGCGTATAGCAAAACACAGACCGGATACCGGACGAGACAGTCGCCTCGACTGCGTTCCATGCTGTAGCTTAAGCGTTAGCTATCAGATGCCAGTCAATTCCATTGAAAACGTACTATGAGCCGGAGAGACGTTCAGATGAGCGTGATCGACAACTGTCGTAGTTCCGGCGTCCAAAGCCTCGAGACAACCCCCAAGCTCGCCCCAGAACATATCCTCCGGGCTGAAATTAGCCTGTTGGAGGTTTCCTGGTGCAATGGGTCAGTCCGATATCATATCGCCATATTCATGGTTAAGGGTGGGCTTACCCGACGGCATGTATTCCAGGAGGGTGTGGTTTGCATGACGACCCTTGAGCTGCGTCTGCCACATGTGGTGATGAGTATCTATAAATCCTGGCGAGACAATCTTGCCGGTGCAGTCAATGACACGCGTCTGTTCCGATGGTGGGGAAATATGAGGGGAAATCTGCGCGATCTTGTTCCCTTCGATGAGCAGGGAATGTTGGCGGAGAGCAACTACGGAATCATCCGGGTTACCGGATGGAACGAGGATGGTCGCATTCTGTAGGATAGTCGATTCCATGTTGATTGTTGCGAAATATCTCTGGGAGTCGAAGTTAAGAAAAAGAACAGTCGATGAGAGGTGACTACATATAGCGGGGTCAGGTGACCACGCTTTTCCTTTCTTGACCCCATAGTAAGCCCTAGATCAGATCCATATGAGAGGAAGATGATAGATTGTAAGTTACTAATTACAAAGATCAAATCAAATGAGTGGACGTTCCAACCAAGGCACTGGAGACGAAAAGCCTTCAACCAATCATCCTCGATGTTCCTGATATCCAACACGATGAATCCGCGGCT